CATATGCCAAGATCCCAACGGAGTTAGGCGTCTCAAAGCTAGAGCCTTGATTGATCAAATATGCCTTGATTGGTTACTTTGGACGCGGAACCTATAAGCTGTGGGATCAGGTGTCAGGCATGACAATTAAGAGTCATGACATCATTTTCAAAGAAGGTCACGGACACCGCACTATCTCCAGTGCACCCTCGAACATCGCCGATGTTGCCTTCGATGATGATGTCCTGCCAACAACTCCAGGAAATAACAACCCTAAAACTCCTGGTGTAGTTGTTACTGCGCCTAAACCACTCGCTCTGTGGCCTTGACCAACTGACCCTCCTCTTCACCCTGAAGACACTGTACCCACCACACCAATGAATGCCTCTGGCCCTCCTGCAGCACCACTGGTTGATCCAGCAGCTGTTGTACCTCACCGCTCTGCTCACATCACCATTTTGGGAACTGGCACACCCGAACCAAACACAACTGTGCTCCTCACTACGTTACCCAACTCGCAGGTCCCACGCGGCTACTGGGAGGCGATGACATGTCCTGAATTATGGAGAGGACCAATGGAGACGGAATGGCGTATGTTGTGGGACAAGGGGGTGTTTGAGCTGGTTTTTGCGCCCCCAGAGACAAATGTTATTGACTCAATGTGGGTATTTGCAAACAAATACGCTGCTGACAGGGATATACGCAAGCGCAAAGCACACTTAGTTGCAAAGGGAAATACCCAGATACCAGGCCTGGACTATGACCAAACATATGCCTCCATTGTCCGTCTCGAGTCTTTCTGCATCGTCGCCACCATTGCAGCCACCCTCGACTTACATATCTGGCAAGTCGACATCGTCTCTGCCTATCTATACAGCACCAACAAGTTCAAAACTTACATGCATCAACCCCCTGGTTTTGTCGCCCAGGGGGAGGAGGAGAAGGTACTACAGGTCGTCAAAACTTTATACGGTATGATGCAAGGTGGATATGATTTCCAGGCCAAGATGTCAAGTGCCTATGAATCCCTTGGATACTACAAGTCCCTCGCCAATCCATGCATTCACTCCCGCACCATCGAAGGAGTACAGACCATCATGAGCACCTACACCAATGATATCTTTGGTGCATCTTCAACCAAGGAGGGGGTGGAGAAGGCAAAGGCGGAGATTGAGAAATGTTTCGAGATAAAGGATGTCGGAGATCTTGGGTACATCTTGGGGATTCAAGTAGAGAAAGATGAAGCTATGGGTGCAATCTCTCTATCTCAAGAATCCTACCTTCGACGTGTTCTAGACCGCTTTGGCATGCTGAACTGCAACCCCAAACACACACCTCTCCCTTCAGGTATCGTCTTATCTGAGTCCGACTCCCCTAAACGGATGAAGATCATCTCTACATGAAAGACAAGCCCTACTGCAAGGCTCTCAGCTCCTGCATGTGGGCCCAAGTAGCTACACTCCCTGACATCTCCTATGCCATTAGCGTCCTTGTGCGTTTTCAGTCGAACCCTGGACCAGCGCACTGGAAGGCCATGCTCCATCTCCTTGCATATCTCAAAGGCACCCTCAACTACAAAATCACCTACAAGCATGGAGGTAGTATTGATCCCATTGGATTTGTCAACGCAGATTATGTGAGAGACATTGACACACGCAGATCCATGTCGGGGTATGTCTTCACCATGGCCAGGGGTCCCATGTCCTGGAGTGTGAAGAGGCAAGCCATGGTTGCTCTCTCTACTATGGCAGCCGAATACATGGCACTCACACGCGCCGCACAGCAGGCACTTTGGATGTACTCTTTCATGTCCAAGGTCGAACTTGCATGAAAATTCCCAGCCATTCTCCATGGAGACAACACTGCTTCCATTGCTCTCACACTCAACACAAAAGGACACATGCATGCCAAACACATCGACACTCGGCACCACTACATCAGGGAATGCATAGCAGAGGGGGAGATTGGGCTGGTTCAAATCCCCTCTGAAGAAAATCTTGCCGACATCTTCACCAAGCCACTCCCTCACATTACCCACCAAAAACTTGTCAGCATGCTCAAGCTCGACTCTTAGAGGTCCCTCGTTGTCTGGGGGAGTGTTAGAGGAGACCCCTCGTGACCTCCTTTGTTTACGCGTATGTTTTGTTTACACCCTATCGATCATTCTCTCTTTTTCCATTCTACATATACTTCCGCTGTTTGCTAGTCTTTATTCCAAGCCACCTGTTTTTCATATAAAAACCACAAACCTTATTTTTCCCACCTCAGTCGTCATCACAACTGTGTCTGACTCTGAGGTGAGGTTATTTTACTTATACTTATTTCTCTCAACACTCACACTACCTGTATTACAGTTCTGTATGTTAACAGGTAGTTTACCCAATCCAAGTCATCATCACAACTGTGTCTGACTCTGAGTTCTGTATGTTAACAATGGTAGGTGAATCTTAGATAGGATCCAAGTATAATGTCATGACATGTACTGCTGCCAGTTCCAAAGCCTTTGTCCTACTTTCAGATTTCACACATTTGCACTTTTAGTCAACTCAACCAGGTATGTTCATTGACTCTTCATATCATTGCAATTATATGTAGTGTATTCTTTAGAGATGACTTTTATAGGTAAAATTGTTAAAATCAAATTTTATACAGGCAAAATGGTTTCATCTGTATCATTGTTGCCAAGGTGGTTCAAGAATCCTGACTGGGGGGGGATGAGGAGGCTGAGGATGAGGTAGAAGACTCGGATGAAGAGCAGGAGGATGCGGCCCCATTATTGGTGGAAGGAAAGGAGCTGTGTGAGTATTTGGAGAAGCTGTGTGTCATCCACTCAGAGGCTTGTGGCATGTCAACACTGCTTTTGCAACAACAATTGTGCAAATTGAGGGCTCATCTTCATGTTGTTCAAGTGAAATCAGCCCAACAAACTACTCTCAACTCTTTTTTCAGTAGTAACCTCTCTCCCATGGATGTCGATAGCCTGTAAATATGCAGTCTTTCTAGTTTTCATCTCACTACTTAAAGGACATTTCAAAGTGTGACATTTTTGGCTGATGTCACAAATAGTCACATTTTGTGACATATTTCATCTTGCATAAATCTCACAATGCATAGAAAAAGTTGGGGACCAGCATTATGCATTGTGAGAATATCTACTGTATATACAGTGATTTTCATATTGCTTTGCAGTGTGCACAACCAATTTTTGTGAGTGCTATTTGGTTGTTGTGCTGCAACATGACATTTTTGGTCACATCCTGATTCCCGATCCCCTGTTCTTGGTTTTCTACATCCAAAAGACTTCCAGAAGCTCTTACTCACCCTATCACATCATCTATATGCAGGTTCAACACTTTGTGTAAAGGGTAAATATGTTACTGTAATAATACGACCAAGTTTTCACGCCACACATCACATCAGAAAAACAAGTATTTTTTTTTTATTTGCCTTAAATAAAAAGAAATTTTTTCGGCCATCTCAGCAAGAAAAAAATTCCAAATCAATGAAGAGTTGGTCATATTTGTACAGTACTCTAATGATAAACAATTTTATCTATCAAACTACTGCTGCCATGTAGGAAGAATGGCCATGAAACTTGATGGGTATGCAATTTCACACTATTCTGCCCTACCTTACTTACTACTATGGGTCAAGCAGCCACCTCAATATGGGTTTGCGTGGTGTGTAGGGAGTCTGCTCAAGGAAGGAGGCAAGCAAAGCCATAAATGATTACTAACATTACCATATGTATTTGGACATGTGCTTGATTACATAGTTAGTTAGTCCACCCAAAGTTGAGGGGAAAAACAAATCGACCCCAGGTATTTTTTTCAATCCCAGAGCCCCCCTGAATATTTTCAGTCCTGTAGACTGGACTTGCGAACACTAAAGATAAGCTGCCTGAATATCCTTGAGTTGCTCTGACATGATTGTGGCAGATAGGTGAAAGTCAAGAGATCACAATGTGAACAATCACAGTGCTGAGATGCCCTCACTAGATCCACAATCAGCTTGGTGGTTCCTGGGTTCCTAACAATTGACAAAGATTGTTAGAGATCATAGCTAGGTCCCTCAATTCTGAGGTTGATGGAAAGCTGAGAATCTGGAAGATTATGGGGGATTTTCCCAAGATTATTCAGTCTCAACCTTGCTCATGCACCAAACGTACATACCTACAAAATGCCAGATTGCCAAAGATCTCAGGTTGTAAATAAAGCCAAAGCCTAATTGTAATGGAAAGATTGTTGAAGAATTGCAAAATTGTTGAAGATTGTTCACAAAATTTGACTTTCTTCCTTCACACGTTTCTGAGTAAGATAATCTTTGACAATCTTTGACAATCACCAGCTTTATTTCATAAAAAGTATGTAGGAAGAAAAGAAAAGTGGGTTTTGTCCACAGATGACCGTCAAAAAGTACTGATAGGGCATAGTAATTCAGGATCTCTGTTTTGAAAGAAAACTCTTCGAGCTGTGGTTAACGCCGCGGGTTCGTCAAGAAAATTTGACCCCACCGTTATAATTACATTCAAGCATGATAAAGATAAAGATATTTACAATCTTAGAGGAAGAAATACATCTGCCAGGTGCACCAGAAGGTATGGATGCAAGAATTTCATAAAACCGGACACCGGTTCAATACTTCTCGCACGAGGCCCTTTCGACTCTATCACAAACAACCTGGAAATGGAAACTATTGCAATGACGCTGGTATTTCCGACCGTCAACTGAAATCGAGACAAGGGAGTGTGGGGAGTACCTAGTACTAGATAGGTGGTAATAAATGGAGTTAAAGGAGTGGCTGGCCCAAGGACGTCGCAACGACCTCGACTGTGTAAGAACAATACTACAACTTCGTGTATTGACCTGGATGCAATGAATCAAGAGTCCCTAGAATGTCGATTGAGAAGCAAGATGAGAAAAAGAAAGGCGACCAAGAAAGGGATGAAGAGGCACGCGGAGTCCGCCATCTTCATCTTCGCAGCGTCCGAGTCCAGGAAGGTAACAAACATCATCATCACCCTAAAACCTTCTTCTATGATGATGCATCACATTCTGCATCTTTCTCAACCTGTACAACACCTTCCGCCACCATGGATACATCTCCGTCTTTGGCTCGAACAACACTTGATCATGATCCGCAGCTTTCATGCTGGTAGGCGACGCATGCTCCGGTGATGGGGTTTCAAGTTCACCATCCTGCTCTACCTCTTCTTGTTTCAAGTGCTGATGACGAGCAGATGGCGTTGGAGAGTCCCTAGGCGTATTAGGCTGGGAGTACATCGACGGCGTATCCCGTCCGCTGGCTGACGAAGGAAGCAATCCCAAGTTTACCAAGTTCATTCCTCGAGGCCCCAGTCCCAAATCCAAGGCCTTGTCAATGCCCAGATCAATCTCGAGCCCCGTGTTCAGCTGCCTGATCTGTTCCGGGGACATCATGGGGAACTCGACAATAGGCACTGGTCGACGTTTCTGCTGTTGCGGCTGGGCATCAGCATCAACCTCGGAACTTTGCTGCGTCTCAGAAGCAGAGGACGAAGAGGAGGGTTCGGAGGTATTGGACCCTAGGACACTTTGTATGATTGAATCCCATTCGTCCTCAATCGCAATCGGAGCCAACTCGGGCGCTTGCTCATGCAGAGACGCCTCGCTCCTCGAATGCGAATTCGACTCGGGCGAGCGCGTGCGCACAGAAGACAACGGTGAGAGGTAGCTCCACTCGGGCGTCACAGACCGCGCGGAACGCTGGGACGGTCGACTGGCTGACTCCAACGACGTAGAACGGACTGCGGAGAACAGCACCCCATCTTCACCGACTTCCTCTGACTCGGATATCGAGCCACCCCATTCCATCCTGCGTGTACGGTCAATAGGTGTCCCGCGCCCAGCATATTTAACCAGAGGCCAGGATCCCCTTGTGCCATTGGAGGACGACGGGAGAGAAACGAATTTGGGTATTGACAGCTTTTTCGATGGCTTTTTCACGATAGTCTGTGATGCATACGAGGTAGTGAATGATGTGGCTCGAGAAAGCTGGGGTTGGGGCGATGGAGGAGGGGAGGGCGTGTCTGGCGGTAAATTAGAGGTAGACGCAGCAGGTGAAAGTGGTGTAGAGAGGCAGGATAGATCCAGCTCGAAATCCGTGAATTCAAAGAGGGCGGCGTCTTGTGACACGTCATGGATGCTGCGAATGGTCTTGTTGTCGTCGTCGTCCTCGTCAGGCGTTGTCGATGCTTCAACATAACGGCTCCCGTTTGGCCTAATCGTGTCAGAGCGATACAACGATGCCCTGTGAAAAATAAAGCTATTCAGCCGGATGTTACGAGACACAACAGCAGAATTTACGACTTACATGTCTTCTCTGGTTTGTATTTGCGGCTTGTTCTGAAGCTAAGTCGAAAGAAAGAAACAAAAAAGCCCCCCGTCTTCGGGAGTGGGCTGAGTGAAAGCGGAAGGAGAAAGAGGGCTCTTCCTTCAACGGCCGGTGAGGGCAAAAAGGATGCTCCACTCGATGAACGATCCACGGATAGCTCGGAGTGTCTTATTAACTTGGCATTCTGGAAACACGCTGAAGACCGGGAATTACGTTCAATTTATAATCCTTTTACGGCGTTTCAAAATAGAGCTTCCACGGAGGCGGAAGAAGGGGTCCGGGCTATTTGGGGTGTCAACTGTGAGCAACTGGTCTTTGAATCGACAGAGGAGACCAAGCTTCACTTACGATTCAGTGGGCCTCAAAATAACGAGGCCAGCACAAGGTCTGAGAGAACAACGCAAGGCAAGGAAACCAATGGATGCTGGCATGTTTACACATATACAGTAGCGAGAAGGGTGGGTTCTTCTGACGTAAGATGCAATGGAAACATTCTGGGTTCCGAAGCTTCTATGTACCGACCAGGGCCATGATTTGGGGTCGCGGTGCCTCAGAGCTCACTGCAATACCGTGACAATACATCGTCAGACAAGAGCAAGGAAACTGAGGCGAAAGTGGGCGCACTTGTCTCCATGGGCATTTCAGAGCAATCATCTGTATCCTAGCACTGAGTCTCCCACTCGCCATGCTGTTGGCAGTTTCTCTAAAGCTACTTTCGCTTCGAAAGCATAGCATTACACCCAAGCGTAAGGAGCCCTAAATCACATCAAGGTCAGTACTTAATGCCGATCGGGTGGAAGGGGTGAGGGAAACTCTCAACTTGTCATCATCAACGGTGTTGGTCCTGCATCATCGATGGACTGTTGCTCCATTATCGATGGGCTTCATCATCGAATGGCTGCCGATGGACCCAAGGGACACTGAAGGGTGCTCATTGTGCGCTGAATGATTCATACTGCGCGGTTGAACTGTTATGAGGCAAAGTATTGAGCTTATTTCAACGTCTGAAAGGATCTTATCGTTCAGCTCAAGGCGACGGTCCGGTAAGCGTAACTTTTACCTAGGCATCCCCATTCCCGCGGTTAGAAAACTGCCCAAGATTGGCCCAAGACCTCAGCGTAAACGACGATGGTGGCAGTAAGAGTGCAACTAAAAAAACATTCGAACCACAACTCCAAGGCATTCAAACTAATAACCGATCCCAGCCCCAATGTTCCTCCAAAAAGCGAGTATATTGAACAAGGGATATTTCCCAAAGATCCTACAACGATACAGAGCAAAGATGAGTAGCAGTAAGCAAGTGGTCATGAAAGCACAGAGATAATATATAGTACCAACACCTACGACTCGTGAGAGGGGGTCATAAATATAATGAGAAGAGGAGAAAAAGGAAAAGGAGATATATGTGGTACACAAAGAGGAGAGAGATTCAAAAACCAAAACACACGAGTCGTAGGAAAGGAAAAACCGTCCATCCAAAAAAAAACCCCCAATAAAAGAAATCCTCCAAATTCCATGGTCATAACGCGGGAGCAACACCAACCAGCCGGTCTAACCAAGCGCAAAGCTCAGCGTACTGCTATGGTTCCCAGCTGACTCCCCATACGCACCTCCTCCTCCAGCCTCACTCACAGGAGACGAAGGCTGCGGCGAAGCAGGCACCGATACTGAGTGTGAATGCTCGCCCATCCACCCAGCTGCTGCAGCAGCATTGACATTAACACCCATCCCCATCCCCACACCAATCCCAATCCCCACCCCCATCCCCACGCCAAATCCCATCCCAAACATGCCCATGCCAAACATCTCTGTCGGCGAGGGCGGTGTCAGAGGGGGTGAAGGGCGTATTGTTTCTTGGCCCGAGTTAAGAGGCGAGGAAGACGATGATGAACAGGAGGGCGAGAAGGACCGTTGTTGATCTTGCTGCTGCTGCTGATCGGAACCAGTATCACTAGGCTCAATGCAAGCCAAGAACTCATCCCACACAGCCTGGCCTGGCATGTAAGGCTTGCCCGCTAGCTGCGGCTCAGGCAAATAGGGTTTTCCCGTCAAATGCTGTTGCGACTTCATTTCGGCCATCATGTCCATTCGCATTTCGGCAATGCTGTCCACTCGCATATCGGTCATGTTGTCCATCTGCACGTTACTGCCACCACCACTACACGCCGGCGCTTGCGGCAAGGGTAAGGACATGGACATGGGTGTACGCAAAGGTATTGGCGTGGGCAGGGACATTGGTGTGGGCGTTTGCAAGGGCATAGGCGAAGACATGGGCATGGGCGGCAAGGACATAGACATAGCCGGTGATGGCGGTAAAGACAAGGGCATGGGTGTGGGCGGGCGATACGGCGATGAGTGAGAGAGCACAGCTTCAGGAAGGCCCATCATGTTCTCCGGCAGCCTGATCCCATCTCCAGCAATAATGTCAGCGGCACTAGGCAGACTCATAGGATGAGTCGTCTCCTCACTAGCACCCACACCATCAACATCAACATCAACCCTCAGCTTTGGCCTCTCCCCTTTCTCCTTGTCTTTGTCTTCCCCTGTCTCCCCACTACTTCCTTCCCCTTTCTCATCGACCAAATCCCCAGCCGCATTACCCGCACTTCGACCCCTAATCCACTCCTGCGCTCTTACCCTATCAACAGGCGTACCCCTCCCCACAACCTTCATACCCACCTCCAAGTGTCTCAGCATATACACACGCACACTCCCCAGTCTCGGAGGCGGTAACGGCAAAATGGGTGAAGGAGGCGCAAGGTGCAGCTGCTGAAGTGGAGACTGTATCGGTGAAGGAGCCGAAGACGCAGCATCCATCTCGTACGAATAAGTCGAGGGCAGGCTCAGAGGAGAACTCATCTCATACGGCGAAGAAGGTGGAGAGATTGGGGGAACGTAGAACGAGGACAAGAGTGCAGATTGGGGAGAGGGTGGAGGAGGGGGTGAGGTGATGGGAGATGTTGGTGAGGACAGTTCAGCGTTGAACGAGGGGTCGGAGAGCGCTTCGAGATCAACTTCCATTTCTCCCTCTGCATCTTCGTCCGAGCAGTCAGCGTCTTCTGATTGGACCGCCGCTGGAGAGGAAGGCGAAGAAGGTGCAGGGGAAGAGGGTTTCAAGCTTGGTTGTTCCTCTCCTTCAGGATGGTCATTAACCCCCTGCTTCCCCTCGCAGTCGTTGTGCTCCTCACCATCATCCATCTTCCCCTCTACATCCTCGTAGCTTTCGTCTTCATAACTTTCATCATCATCCTCATCCTCCTCATCGCTCGCCAGTTCCCAATCATAATACTCCTCGTCCATGAACATGCCAATCCGTCCACGCTGATACCCTGGAGGGAACCCGCGCACCGAAAAGTAGTCGTGTGCTTCTTGCGCGACGAGGAGGCGAATGGCATCGGGTGTATAGCGACGACGTCTAAGATGAAAAGACACGTCAGTATCTTCGTTTTTGAAGCACAAGAAAGAGCAAGGAAGTAAGGCAAAAAGAGAAAAATAAAAGAAAGAGACACCACGCATCGCCACACAGAAGAAAAGGGTCCACATCTTCCAACTGAATCCAACGAAAATCCCGAAAAAAGTAAAGCCACAAACAAACAAAAAAGCGCATCCAAAAAACCACCTCAACATCGAAAAAAAGAAAAAGAAAACCAAAAAAAGACACGTACAGCTCCCAAACACGCATCTTACAAGCAATCTTCCAAACCCCCCACTCTTTCTCAATCTTGGGCTGTTCCTCCCACCACATCGGCGCGGCTGGGTACCCCTGATTCTGCTGCTGCTGGTGCGGATGTTCCTGCAGCTGGACTTGTGGGTGTTCGTGTAGCTGCTCGTGCAATTGAAGCTGCTCATGGAGCTGGACTTGCGCATGTTCATGCAGCTGGACTTGCGTGTGTTCATGGAGCTGCTCATGCATCTGGACCTCCGGCATCTGAATCTGCTGCAGCTGCTGGTACTGTTCCCCCTGCTGCTGCTGCTGCTGTTGATACTGCCGTTGATACTGCTCCATTTGTTGCTCCTGGCCCTGCCCCATCTGTGGCTGATCCATCTGCGTCGTAAACAACCCCTCCCCATGCTGCTGATAATTCTCAACAGCCTGATACCCACCATCAAACGGAAGGGGCATGTCCAGGCCTTGCATAGGCGACGGGACCTGCATGGGCGATTGGACCTGCACGCTCTGCATCGGTGACTGAATGGACGGCAAAGGCGACTGCACTCGAGGAACAGGCGACGCTACCCTCTGCACAGGCGACTGAGACTGAACCTGACCTCTCGCCAAAGGAGGAGGAGGCCTCAACACCGTAAACTGTACCCTCTGCACGGGAGACGGTACCCTAGGCACCGGAACAGACACATTCATCGGCAGCGTAGGTAATGAGATGGGCGGTGGTAACGGTGCTTGGTCTTGACCTTGGAGAGGTTCCGTTTCTTTGGGTAGTTCAGTTGGTGTTGATGCAGGAGGAGGTTGAGTTGACGGAGGAGATGTGCTTGATGATTCGGTTGTGGCTACTTGTGATGCGTCGACGGCCTGCTCTGCTGATGCTGGTACACACCCATCTAAATTCAACTCACGCATGCGCTCCCTATCGTCCGCCCTCGCTCTGATAAGCTCAGGCGAATCGAAGGGGCCAAGGAAGCAGGGTGGGGAGATGGGGGAGGGAGATGGAGGCTGGATTGGGGTTTTAGGTTGTGGGGGTTGGGGTTCGTCAACGGATCGAGGTTGGGTCGAAGCTTGAGGTTGGGCCGCAAGTTGAGGTTGCGTCGTAGGTTGAGCCGAAATCTGCTGCTGAGTCTTTTGCTGCAAATTCCGTGTCTGCAATCCATTCTGAAGCGGGGAACACTGCATCGATGCAGCACCACCCAAAGACCCAGTACCCAAAATCCCCAACCCCAATCTGGGCGGCAACATCAACGCAGGCAAAGGCCCCAAATCAATCGCATCCAAAGGCGGCGAAGACCGCGTAGGCGATCCAGGTGGCGTATGGTTCGGCGATCCATGGCCAGCTGCTGAAGAAGTCGTACCTAACCCGCGCGCAAGCGAGGAAGAGGGCCAAGTAGCAGTAGCGGAAGACCTGGCCAACGCGGACGCCAACGACCGCGTGACGAGGCCGGGGCGGATAGATACTGGTGTGGGCATGGTTATGCTTGTTCGTGTTGAGGTGGTGGGCGAGAGTGGGGATTGGACGTGCGTTGGGGGGTGTTGGATGAATGGGTTGGGAGAGGGTGGGGTGGGGGTTGATATAAATGCTGAGGGGGGTTTGTCAGAAGTAGTTTGAGGGGTAGAGGTCCAGGTAGAGGTATAGATTGTTAGAGCAGGAGGAGTCGAGGAGGATGATGATGATGGGTCGCTGGGCAGCGCCACAGCCGCCGACGACTTTCTTCTCATCTTTCTAGGAGCTGGGATGGGGATCGGCGCAGCTGAGGTAAACAACGGCTCTTCCCTCGCTTTTCCTTTTCCTTTATCAACGCTCTTCCCTTTGCTCTGCTAAAATGTCGTGAATAAGCTGTGAAAACGAAAGAAAAGATAAAACAAACCTCGAGACACTCATCCAACTCATCTTTACGCATTTTTTTCTTCCTAGTCGACACCGTTATTGGCTGCTCCACTTCGAGCTGGAGTTCCTCATCGCCACCTAACGATTTCCTCTTGCTCGCGCGTGTCATTCTCGTTGTCGTTGTCGTTGGCGGTGACGGCAGTGGCGTGGGCGTCGTTGGCTGTGGTAGCAGTTTCCTGCGTTTCTCGGCACGGACAGCGCGCGGCGTCGACGTCGAAGCTACGTTCGGGGAAGGATGCGCCCATTTGCTGCGTCCTGGGGTTGGTGATGTCGGCGACGCGATCTCCGATGCTCGAGGCCTTTTTCTCGGGTTAACTTGTTTATTCGCAGGAGGTGATTGTGGTTCTTGATGAGGTACGAAGCGAGGACTCCTCCGTACAGGAGATACTGGCGGACTGGTATTGCTGTTACTGGACGACGACGAGGCTTCAGTGGCACTCCGGCATGAAAGATGTACAGCCATCTCTCGGTGTATGTGATGAATAGTGACTATTGAGAGATAAGTAAATATCGCAACGGAAGGACGTATAGATACCTGAATGACAATTATCGCCCAACAAACGCCACAACGCTCCTTAGTCCCGTTCACAGATAGCCTTTAGTGTAGATTCCTTCCTGGTATGGTGAGAACAGCAAACTATGAAATCTTGCGCGGCTAGCGGAAGACTCGGGCTGTTAAACGTTACAAGGGTAAAACGTGTGTGCACGGAGGGGGAACAAGCAAAGCAAATGAGGCGGGAAGGGGTCCTTATTCCCACGCATTGTATAGTAAACAAATCAGAAAAAAATTCCCTTTTTAGGGTAATGGCACTGCCTTGGATGACTCATGCCTGGGTGGTCTGTGCGCAAACGTTCATCCAATCGAGAGCACTGTGAAGGGGGAGGAGATGGGGGAAGAGGAAGGGAGGGAGAGAGACAGTTTCGTATGCAGTTTATATACGTCGAAGGACCCGTCGTTGACAACCCACAACCACGGATCGATGATCACGATCGGGCGCGCGTCCGTCCGCTTCCCAATAACGAAACCACGTAAGGTAAATCACACAACTCAATGATCTTCCCCTATACGTCGACTCGCAAGATTGGAAAGTGACAAGTCTTATTCAAAACCGGCCCCTTTGTCGCACAACCCTGTCCGACTTTGTTCAGTTACGCTAAACCTAAATGCATTTGACACATATCACTCAGATCTCCGTTTACCGTTTTACCGTTCACAACATCACGCGACGGCACAGAGTTCAAACGCTCGGAAATTCCGAGTCCTGAGATATATCGGTACCATCTCACCCTGGCCTCGAGTCCCTTCACGCATAACGCAGGAATCTCGAATTGGCGCGACGACTCCCAAACGCGAATGCTTTCTTGTCTTAGGCCACGTTCAGTAAGCCTTGGCTGCATTCAGACGAGGCAATTTGAAAGTGCGCACAATGGACATTTATTTTAATTCCGGAACTGAATTCTCTCTCGTCGATGTAGGAAACCACGAGGTCAACTGAATTGATAATCGGGTTGACAGTAAAAGATCACCCTTGCTCGAGCGTCGAGTATCATCCTTGCCGGAGCGTCACCATGCTTGAGCAGACCGTCATCCTTGCCGGAGCGTGAAGTCAAAGCTCACCCTGCTCGAGCGTCTCCTGACTAATAACCCTGCTCAAGCTTCTAAAGCTACATAAACGACGATCACCCTGCTCAAGTCAAGCCACAATCACCCTGCGCAAGTCACGCCCAAAAATCAAGCGATGATCACCGCCTCGAACTTCAGTCAAGCGACGATCACCCTGCTCGAGAAGGGGTGTCAGAATCTGAATAACCCATATCGGGAGGGTCGGCAAGTCCAAAAAAAAAATAGCCCACCTTTTTTTCGGCAGTTTTTTACGTTTTCTTTTCTTCTGGGATAATGAGACGGTATGTTCACATTCCTTACCATTGTTTCTACGGGTGGGCGTGAAGAGAGGGCTGATGCGACATCCTTTTATTTTACCTTGTAAAGGACAGGTATCATCAACCCGACCGATTTAGACGAACCCATGACGATATCGTACGCACAGACAGAAACTCCTACGGTTCTTCAACGACGAAAGGTACCATCTCTTACTTCTCCATTTTACCTCACTGTTAGCGTTTTCATAATACACGCATGACCCCCTTCAAGTTGAAGTTCCCTCTTGAATAATGAGAAGCACCGTTTAGTGCCGGAATCCGATCTAAATCAATGTTGAATGCCCATTGCACATCTAAACCGTCATTCGTTTCTTCTTTCCAAACGTTCTCTTGTCTTGCCAATGCACCTCCCCAGGGCCTGAAATTCTGACGTTCATAATCAAGCCGATGGTTTTATATCCTGCAAGTTCGTGCTCCGGGGATGTCTTTGAGTGTCTACTCAGTAAGAACGTGCAATGTAGACTCCATCTCGACTGGGCCATCCAAGGGTGGGTATAGGGAAATTCCACCGCTGTGGTAAATTATTCGAACTTTCCATGTCAATACTCATAACCTAGAGTTTCGGTATCAGAAATGGTCGAATCCGTTATCATCGTTGAACAATCATTAATCATGGCTTGAAGAAAAGTCAAACTCTTCTACGCCTTCATAGGTGAATAATTGGGAGCCCAGAGCAGTTCTGATTGTAAGGAAAAGCGGCAGATGAGAGATAGATGTGTTATAAGGTATATTTTATTTCGCAGGTATAATTAACGGGCCAAGCCAAAGGGTCTGTAGCGTGGAAATTTCGTAGAAGGGTTTGAGTCAAATTAGAGGGAAAAGACGAAGAGTATATTATGGTCAATTCAACGAGGCCCGCGAGTCTGATTGTCGGTCGAGAAGGAACAGGTAAATATTTTGCTTCAATGTAATAAAAAAAAGAGATTGACGCTTTAGGGCAGAGCGTCTCCCACATAGTTGGGACCAGGAAACCAAAGCGCTGTCGAGATTACTGCAAAGAAAAGAGGGCAAAAGACGGCGGAGTTGTGTAGCATGCCGAAACATAGTAAGTGATGCAATTCACTCAGCGCTTCCTCTATGCCTGCCAGTAGAGGAGAGTCGGATACAGAGTGAAGGACCATGGATTCAAGTTGCGAACTGCCAGTTGTGACGGTCCCGTTGAGGAGGAAAGGAAGAGAAGCATGAGTTTACACAGCTCGTATGGTCGTGCTTGTATCAGCGGTCAGAGTTGGGGAAGCAAACGGATGAGATCCCCTAATTCGCGCCGACGCCGACACCTGTGTTTGTGGTGCTGTTTATCTCTAAGCAGCATATATTCGGAGAATATAAAATACTCAGCTTCAAAGTGATTTCAAACAGCAGCTGAGGGTATGCCCAACGAATGGGCAGGGTGGAAAAAATTGAGACAACAGGCTATGCCCACAAAGCTCGAGCACGCACACCGATCAGTCGAAACACATCCAAGGATGGCCAAGAACATGATCTGCATGTAACGATGAATAATAAGGTATGCCACAAGCCATAAACCGACACCCCCTCGTGCGCACACAAGCCGACCGAAAAGTGATCCTAGTACTCCCCTGTCAATCCCAGCGGAACTCTCGACAAATGCAGCCAGTTGGTAATGCATATGACAAGTATGATCATAATTCAGCGATCGAAGGATCCGCGCGAATCCCGTGCGATGCGTCCGAAGAGCTGCTTTCGCGCTCATGCACTACAACCAGCGTGATGTCAAACACACAGTGTACCCTTCGGTAAGATGGTGACCAGGTGCGAGTCAGATACAATCGTCGATGGTACACGCAAGGGAGCTGACAGTATAAACCGATGGACCCCAAGAGCCGATAGCAGCTGGATAAAGGAGGCCAAGGGCCATCCCTCCCATGGCCACTCAATCGGAGTAAAGTCTGGTTCCGGCAGGTTGTGCGTCCGTGACGAGATAAAGCGGCGGTACCTCCGCTCTCTTCTCTCGGGACTAATTTGCGCCGATAGAGACGTTGTGATGGTGTCTAGCGACGAGCAACCTGAGCATGCCACTGGCCTTGCTGAAAAAAACGACACAGCTGTTTGGATATGTGCTTGCTCGTGAGCATAGGGGCTGAGCTAGTCAGCCTCCTGTGTAGAACGAGCATCGTAGCACTGAGTCTCCTGTCGATGATGGAAGTTCAGTTGAAAGAGTGTGAAACAGTCAGGTCTATATTCGGGTTCACATGCATTGCTAATAATAGATTTACGATAGCCACTTGAGGGCCGGTAACTTCGCTTTCACACAACGTGGAGTTCACCGCTTGCCCTCCAACCTTACCTACATAAATTTCAAGCACCTTTACTGCATGAATGGACTTGTCATTACAACTGTGCCCGATTTGAACTCTTTTCTTTCACTGCTCTCACTCATAGATCTCAAAAATCGGAACAAGAAGCTTATACCAATAACTTGAAAGCAGTGCTGCCTGGCCTTATTCCCAGTACCAATGATACTTTGGACAGCAAGGGAGGCACCGACTCGACAAATATGGGAAAGCCAACAAAAAAGACGGGTTCAAATTACGGTGCGCCTGCTCAAACCCAACTCCTCAACCCTGCCAGTGTCGTTGAACTGATCTCCGCATGCAGTATATTATCGTCTATATACTACCCTTGGCTCATTTGAATCAAATCACCCCACCTATGCCAACGACCGTTTCCTCGGCCGCATTCCCTCAAAGTCCTTCGCCCCCCCTCACACGACAGCGTCTATCAAGCGGTTCTTGTGCAAGTTCGAAGGCCTCTCGGAACCCAATAAATCCCATTTATTCTTAGGGCTCTCAAGCCTAACACCCGAAGAGGACTCGGCCCATTTGTCTCTGTACTCTTCTTCCGGGCCGGGTTTGTCTGAAGAAGACCCGTTCCTGTTGCTCGTCCTTTCAGACAAGAGATCCACGAACGCCAGACGGCCGGAAGAGCTGCCGGGACGCCTTGATGACGGTGATACTCCGTACGGTACGTCTCATGGCCAAGAAGCCCAACCGCAGTTAATGTTGGTTTTGCAGTCCATTATCGCGTCTACTCATCTGAAGGAGATGAAAAGGCGAAAACATCCTTTGACGAAAATGACGCCTCGTTGGGACGCATCAACACCCTTCTCGTCGCTCCGCCACGCACCGTTGGGTCTCTCAAAGCATGCATTGCAAAAATTGAAGGTCTCGTCACTCCAGGTCATGCGCTTTACGAGGACATGGAGCTCTTTGAGGATATGGGCAGTAAAACTTCTATGAAGGACTCCGATTGCTTGTCTTTCCTCGGGGACAGTTATCCAGGTAGCAACGAATGGGATCCGGTAGCCCTTGTTAACGCAGCCTTCAATGTACCAGTCCACGAACGGGAGAGTATATCACCGCTTAGGAGCCAAGCTAAACCCCCCGAAGACATCGACAAACTTCATACGCTTGTGGCACAGTACCAGATCGTATCAGACCCAGACCCAACATTCACACAGACCGCTCGGTTATTCTACATGTATGGTGAGTGGAAATTCCAAACAATTCTATCGTGACGTCCATATTTCACGATTATAGATCATGGAATAAACAAACCTGCATGGTTATCCACGCTGTCCTATAACGATATGGTATGCACGAACGGAATTATCGTGCGCAGGCAGAGCCCCTCCAACCAAGGTAAGTACTATCTCTTGCTTCCCGGTTTTACAATCACGGCGCCGGCACGCCCAGTGTTGACGCTTTGTCGTTCAAACAGAGTTTTACGGGGGATACATTGTGATGAATGCTAATAATCAAAGAGGCTGTGGGTCGTCCCTGACTTGTATGGCTTTTTTTATTGACTGCTTATTTTCGATGTCAGTTGTGCTCAAGGGTGAGCACGAACCCTGTTCTGTTTAAATTTATATTGATCATTTGCCAGAATGTTTAGAATTCATAAGTTGATTTGGCAGGGAATGTATTTGTAGGATAAAGCGCAAATAAAGGCTTCCGCCTAGAATCTCATAGATGATCTCTTGTCAATGATCAAGCGCGCCTCGGACGACACACTTGGCCCTACCTCAAACTAAACAAACAAAAACTAACTTTTTTCAGTCCTCCTTGTTGAGCCGTCACGTTCAACCCTTGTTCTCCTTAGAATTTTGATGCTCAAGAACACGAGCAGAACAAATCCTCTTGTATTTTTGCTAGAAGCAGCAAACCATTCAGCATTGGAGCAAGAATTTGCTGCAAATGCGAGGCGGGGACCCGAAGTAGTAGGTACGGAGCAAGACAAACACAGTAAGCGTAAGTAGCAGAGGGACGATGGCAACGATAACGTGCAAGGATGGGATAGAAATGGCATAGTCGAGAAGTGCGCTGAGATGATGAATAAATTCGGGCGGTGAAGTCACGTAGATATCATTTTTTTGGGGAACGCGGCCTTTGGAGTAGTGATATTTGTGGTTTTGTAAGTGGAAAGGGGAGTACCGTCAAAGGAAGTTGAGGACTTTACAAGAGGATTGGGGACGCGGGCTTCGGAGTAAAGATTCTTGCAAGGCATGGCGTAGTAGAGAGGGAAGGAGCAGTTAGAGAGGGAGGAGAGAACGTCAACGAGGGAGTCTGGAGGGGGAAGAGCGGGTGCTGGATCAGAAATTATCCGAGCTGGAAAAGTGTTCCATGAGGATTGTTGAGTGGATGAGAGATGCAGTCCGTAAAGCCGCTGTTCTATGGAATTATGTTGGGCATGAGCTTCCGAAATTATTTTCTGTTGATTTTCCGTTCCCTGGGGCCTGACCCTCGCCCACACCTTCCCCCCACTAGAAGACCATAGACCACTGCTCACAATATCGCCTAGAGCGGTAGCCGTTCCCATACACAACCCTATGGCTAAAGGCCTCGACCATAACTCACATGGATGAGCCAAACAAATGCAAGTCCTTCCTGTAGTCGCACATGTGTGGAAGCAAAGGCAACGGATAGTGATGCTGCCTGCGCCGAAGGCTATCGGGATTGTTGGGAGAAGGGAGGATCCCGTTAGGTAGGGAGAGCTGGGAGGGCAGAGAAGCATGAGTTTACCAAGCTGGTGAGGTGATACGGCAAACTATGAGCCCGGAAGTGCGAGTCTGACAGTAACGCAGACTGGGATACCAAGTCCGCACCCATGAAGGGTAAGCATGAGCAGGTAACTTGAAGATGAAAGACGAGCTGGAGTACTGATGGCCTCGTCTAGCCCTGTGTCGAGCTCTTCTTTTGGAAGAACAGTAGGAGCACAGACTAGTTTTATGAATGGAGCAATGGGTCGTATAACGCTCAACGATGACGCGCAGTGGATTCCTCTGGGAGAATACGAAGCAAACTTTCGCTTGCTTAGGGAAACGGACCGTCTTCCTCCCCTCCCTCCCCACAAGAAAACCGTTCAAAACTAGCCACCGGGCCTTTCGCTCCTATTACTATAGGCCGTGGTTCGTGGAATCTGTACTGGGATTTCTGGTCCTTCGGCCCACGGGGTCTGACAAAAACCGGGATCTCAACATTGTCGTTATCTGGTGGACCGCCAATGGACCGCCCGAACTTCCAAATCCACTTTCGGGAGACGTTCCACCGATGAGCATGAAGCCCAAAAAGATCTGAACACCAGCGTCGCTTGGGTCCGTAACTTCGAATTTAACAAATCAGTACTCAGTAGTAACTGAGAAAAGAAAGCATATGGCATGCATACCTCTAATACCCTTCAGTAACACCTTTTTTATTTATTGGTTTCTTCTCGATAAAGGTATTCCCACGGCCTATTCAGAATGAACGGCCCCGATCTTGACTCGTAGGATGGCAAAGAGGCCTCTAGAGGTACGGAAACATGCTGGTTGCAATTGGCTATCTCTGAAGAAAATTCCGTCACGTCGACGTGACTCAAGGCTTGAAAGCAGCATCACTATCACGTCCTCCTCTGACACGTACGTTCTCATCTACATATTGCTATATAAGCCGGATTCAAGGGAAGGAGACTTGATCAGACAGCCCACGCTGCCTTTCAGGATTGCAAATCATTGGGCGAGAACTTGGTAGGTTTTTCGGTTTACATCCAGAGGAATCCGTTGATTCGGTTATCCAGAGAGTACTTTATCCGACCCATCGAGACCCATCGTTTAGAATGGATTCCATTCCTTTCATCGCAACGCACGGGATCACCTCAATCCATCACCTCCCCATAGAAATCCTTGGAGACATATTCCTTCTTTGTATACTAGTACAGGGATCGCCGGCGGCATTCTTCGAATTTGATAAGCCCGTCCAACCAAAGCGTGATCTAGCACCATTGTCGGTCAGTCAAGTTTGTCGTCATTGGAGAGAGATCGCTCTATCGGTACCCTTATTATGGTGCTCATTGGCGGTGCCCCACGCTCTACATCCTAAGTTCGCCGAAATTTGGCTTGCCCGCTCTGGCAACCTTCCCCTTTCCCTGCACCTGGGGCCACCTTTCTCGCATGAGGCCCGGCTCCCAGAGAACCATGCGCACATTTCTAAAATCTTCAGCGTATTTTCGAAGGAAATGCATAGATGGCGGACAATATCTCTGATTTTCAATGAAAACCTTGCACGCCAATTTGCCGCTACAGTCGACGCCAAGGCGAAAAATTTAGAAGAGGTAGAGTTGTATTTCGTCGGAAATACCACAGACTTTGCAGTGGAGATTTCTTTTCTCCTCCGGTTCTTCCCCAAACTTCGAAAGCCATCGTGGAAAGGGAAAAGAATGTACCAAACGTCGCGGCCGGACATCCCTTTCCATCAGCTAACGCATATCCACCTCTCGCGAATTTCCTCGGCTGGGCGGGTGTTGCAAAGCCTTACGAAGTGCACAAACGCGGTAGAAATATATTGGGACGGCGTGATATCTCGGGACTTGTTGAATATTGACCAATTTCCACAAACCCCACTTCTCCAGCTCCAGTTGCTCAAGCTTCAGGGTTCCGGAGATCTTATTCGTGTTTTATCGAGATTAACCTTGCCCTCCCTGAAATGTCTTCACATACAAACGTCTTCCGCAACATGGGATCATAGACTGCTCGAGGACTTCTTTAACAGGTCTTCCTGTCCCCTGCAGCAGTTAATTCTCCAGGGCGATCTCGACCTAGAAGGCGCTATCAAATGTTTGACTATTCCTTTCCTTGGGTTGATCCCGGACATAGAGGTTCATTTACCATCTTCGGTCTCCTTGGATGTTTTCCGAGAATTGAAGGATTCCCATACGCGTACACTTGATCGCCTGAAGATTGCCTATCCCTATGACGATAGTTCACCAGTTTTGATGTGGGAGTGAGCATTTGGTATATTACTAAGTTTGTAGAACGTTCGCACTTGAATAACTCTACCCATCATGTCCGAGTCCCACGGAGGACAGGTGTTTGTCAGTTTCGAGATAACCAAACAAAACTGGCCTTGTTCAACGTTTCGTTAACCTTGTTCTCTTTTGGTCCGCTTTCAAAATTCGAGCTCAAATGACGCGGGAATTTAGAACAAAGACCTTTGTATTATCCCTCAACGAACCAGACTAGCCGCCACCCCAGTCACCACGGTTACTTTGTTCTACGTTACCTGCGCCATATTGAACAACCATTGAAGTACGACCTCGCTTGCGATGTGCCAATCAATTCCTCAAATTCTCCCCATTTCTGAACGTCGGTATCTTGGTTATATCTCTCGAAAGTTTCACTGATGACATTGTTCCCAGACTCTGATCCACCATGACCTTTCTTTCACAGTCCCCGCATTTTGTAGGCCATGACGTCCTGGGATTGGCGTCGCCTAGAGGACTGCGTAATGCAGGCAGACACTTTTCGCAATTTTTTCTTGGGAGAGATTACGAAATCATCACCACTCCTGTTGACGTTTCTAAATCACTCCGCCTCAATACCCTCATTCCATATTCCATGCTGCAGGATGTTCCTTGCATCAACAACTTGCTTCCGGTCGAGATTATCGGGGAGATCTTTCGGCACTACGTGTTCGATGTAAATCCCGACCCCATCACTGGGTATTCGCGCATTACCGCTCATGCGGGAGCGCGGACGAGCGCCATATCCCTCTGCCATGTTTGTTCGTACTGGCGCACCCTTGCATTCTCCATCTCCAACCTCTGGTCTTCACTTTGCGTGATTTGGCCCAAGATGGGCTACATCCATCTAGTGCGGCTTTGGCTGGAAAAATCGAGGTCGCGTCCTCTCTCCCTCTACCTTGCTCAGTACCATTCTTCGGAGGACCACGATATTGTTGCCATGAGGCAAATTCTCGAACTTTGCATTGCTACTGCCCCGAGGTGGCGAGATATATCTCTCAATGTAACTCACGCTTTGCAAGATATGTTTTATGGGTTGGAAGAAGGTTCTATAGAATTCCTGGAGTCTTTCGACGTCGGCCTTTCGAAGTGGAGCCAATGCCAACAAAGCCAATTACTCAATGCGTTTTACGCCTCTCCATTCCTCCGGCGAGTCGAGTGGCGCTTATTTGAGCGCGCTCTTCCTGCAAACCCACCTTGGAAGCAACTTTCAGCGGTGACGTTGAATTGCCAATGCGACGCTGAGGAATTTTTCACCGTTCTTTCACAATGTGATAGGTTGGAATCTCTCGATGTTAATGTTCGATTCATTGTGTCGGCGTCACCCACTTCACATTCCACCTTGTCACTCCCCAATCTCTTTGATCTGAGATTGGGTATGATGTCCACAAAAGATTTTGAATTATTATTCAATTATTTGGTTTTGCCTCGATTGGAAATCATCGATATGCGACATGGTTTTGAGGATTCCTCTCCTCAGGGATGGATATCTCTTCGAAATCTTCTTTCTCGATCTTTCTGTCAGTTATCTAGCTTCACGTATGGCGGTTACAATCTGGACGAAGCTGAATTTATTAGTGCTTTGACTTCTTCCAACCTATCATCCCTGGTCGACCTCTCACTCTCCCTACCTATCACAGATAACATAATCGGTTCCCTGACAAACGAACAAATACGCCATGAGTCTCCACCACTGCCGCTGCTGAGACACCTGGCATTCAGTAACTGCCAGACGTCGGACGGCGTCTTATCGACTTTTGTCAGCTCCAGGATGCTAACACTCAGATCCGTTGAGGTTTACCTACGCGGTGTCTCAGCGTATTCAGCTGATCTGACGGCGATGAAAAGTTTTCAACGGGAAAACCTTGCCATTAACATTGTCTTGTATAGCGAAGTATCGAATTTGCGCAACAGCGTCGTCGCATGAAGGGGAGTCCCTAAAGTGGTGACGTCGTGCTCATGGTTCCTGATAGCGTGCATAGTATATAGAGCTACGTTGGAGCTAAGTACGTACTGGAATCGAAGACCATTCCAAACGCCTTATATCGAGCTGGTCACATATCTATTGAAAACGAAGGCGGACATTGTTTGGACTCCCAGGGATCACTTGGTATCCTGATAATGGTTTGGGGTCCGGGATAGCCGTGCAACAAATCTCAACTTGTGTGTTTTTATGGACTTTCGATTGTATCGCCATCAGTTCGGCCGGGTTGAGCCAACAATCCAGATAAAACCTTTCCAACTGTTTCCAGTCTATATTTAGGTCATGAATTGTCTGTTCTGACGACAATGTTAGAGAAAGATGAGACAGTTGGAGCTGTAATGAATCGAAGAGCTGATGCGTGTCGATTGCGGATGCCACTGTCAGTGTTTTCAAACAATGGGGAGAAGGGGTGCGTGTCTTCCGAGGAAGCGTCGCGTTCAAAATCGGGGTGTCTGTACCAATGTAATCCACATCAACAGTCTCAAGGTTTGGGCAATGTAGCAGAATGCCAACAAAGTCGTCAATGGCGATGTTGCAGCCTGTTAGCTTGAGAGTTGCAAGATTCGGAGTATGACGGAGGTAAGGGAGCCTCAACGTTTCGGGAAGGGAAAACAACTGGCCTCTCCAGTGGAATCCGGTGATGTGAGGCTTTTCCCCAATGTCGAGGAATTCAGCCGGGCGGAACGCTTGCACTGGGACATCTGAACCCGCAGGACACATCTCCTCGTCAAGTGAACCCCTGTCATCACGAAAAATACACTCCTCCTCATCAACTTTAACTTCAAACGTGACATCCTTGTGATCTGCCAGTGGATCACCAGTCGCTATAGCCCACGCCCCGCATAAAGCCGCGTATGACTCTGTCATGGAGGGATTTGCGCGGCGATTGACCAAGTAGAAGTTCATCTTGATTTTCCCTTGGTAGGTCGCTTGTTGCCGCTGTATAGCGAGACCCCGCATTACTCGGTTAAACCAATCGGAGTCTCCACGACAGGAATCAATGATGACTTCCAAGAGGTGCAGGTTAACGGGAGGGGGGACTTTGACTGTCGACTCTACGGGCGCGGGATGCTCCACTTGAGAGTTGAATTCAAGTTGGCTGCTGCGAGGAGGGGATCCGAAGAGGTACCTCACAAAGGTACGGAGTAAGAGAAACACAGCAAGTGAACGCAGCAGAGGGACGGCGGCAACGAAAACGTGGGAGGATCGGATGGAAATGGCACAGTCCAGGAGGTTGTTGAGAAGGTTGATAAATTCGGGGGGTGAACTGATGTAGGGGGATATCATTTTTCTGAAGGACGCGGTCGATGATATGTGCGATATTGCAAGTGGAAGAGGGAGCACCGGTAGTACCGTCAAGGAAGTCGAAGACTACAATAGGAATGGGGACGCCGCGGGACTGCCAGTGGGGGTATACGTGATATGAAGTCGGTTCTGCAAATGGGAGGAAAAATTGCCGTCAAAGGAAGTTGAGAACATTATATTATATACTACCAGGATAGCTGGAGGCGTCGGAGATGGTTTTGTTCCATTGATCCGTCGCCATTGCTACTATTGTTCAGGGTGAAAGCAACGTGGTCCTGGAAACAAAATTTCCCAGTGCTTTTACTTTTGTTAGGCTTGAATTGTCATCGTCTGGGCCCGTTGAACAAATGGAAAGATTACACCATTGGAAATTACGAACTCGGACTCACAAAAGCTTCTTCGGATGCAGAGCATCAGTTGAGGTTGTGGCCGTGCGGCCTGGCTACTATTAAACAGATCATTTCCTTCTCCAATATAATATGCTCCTCGCAGCCATTAGACGGTCACATAAATGACCAACTTCCGCAAACAATTGTGGCGGGTGAGTCGATAACGCAAATATTATTTGAATTGGTCAATACATAATCGCCGTAGCGAGCTTTGCGCCCGTAGGCGCGCTGCAGTGGTTATTGTCCACTGATCAGTATTTCTACAGTCCGCTTGTCACGACTTGTTTGGGCTTGTTTCAACTCGTACGAGTCCAAACGAGTCCAAACGAGCCCCAAGTCACAAGTTGACAAGTAGATCCAAAAATCCCACAAGTTGAGTCGCGAAATCATTTGAAAAGTTCCAACAAGCCAACAAGTTGAGAAAAGCTGTAAATTGATTTTTGGTATTCAATAACAAAGGAGCAGTAGCTATACTAGGTTATTGTATAGTATTAGCAGGAAATGCTTCAATAGCTATGAGGGAACGACGGTACACCAATTAGGGTCGTATTGGGTATATATCGAGTGAATAGAAGATGTTGGGGATGATGGATGTGAAGTACGAGGAAGATACTGTGGAGGCAATGGTACTTCCCACAACACCAGTGCATCCTGCCCAGCTGACGTATCACTGAATTGCCGTGAAGTTGTGGTCATACCGGGGTGGTGCAAAGGTCGACGGTAGGCCTCTAAAGTAGAAATATCAGTAAAACATCGGCTCCGGAAAAGTTCAATTTTGCCAATCGTGAACCAGGGACTGCTTACCTTCATCCTGGGCAAAGTGCGCAAGGGCGCTCATGTCCGCCACTATAGAGGTCATGACGCTACCAGGCGGAGGTACGCTTGAGTGATGAGGAACGTACTTTTGACGTTGACTACCTGTGAGTGAGAAATAATCAACGTCTTCAATGGGTGGGCCAAAGGAAGGAAAAACGCACCATGTCGTGCCACCACTTAATACTTATCAATGTCGATATCCTTGACGAGACTTCATACGCCAATCCCAGCATTGTTGGCGAGGATATCGACCTGGCAAAATGCATATTTCACTGCCTGTTCAAGGACGCTGACAGCCTCCGGCGAGGTTGTGTCAATACTCACCACCAGGACCTGGCCTTGCTGTTGATCTTCAGAGTTTCCACTTTTGTTTCCTCCTGCTTCCACACATTCCACGCCCCTAGGACCAAGCCGGACACACTTGCCTTGGCAAAGGCTACATCAGGAAAAAAAAAATGTATATGTAATTTTCTGATTGAACATGTACCCTCAGTAGTTTTCTTCAGAAAGTCAGTAGCTTCCATTGCTCCAAGTAGTGCTGATAAACTCTGGTTATGCACCCATAGTCCAGGTACACTCAGTTCATAAACTCAATAGCTTCCAATATTTTCAACTCATTTCCCCATAGACCTTGATTGTTGTTCCTACAGTGTCAGTAGACCAAGTAGTTTCTGCTCGAAATATTGAGGTTGCTTGACTATTTCAGTAGACTCCATGGATTTCACCATTTGTCATATACATTGTCAAAAATAGTGCAAACACCGTGAATCGAACCCTCAGCTCCACAAGACATCTCGGGGGTGGACAAGAGAGCAATCTAGCAGCTGCACCGTACAACTGTTTAAAGCAACTAAACAGAGCTCACTAGATGCTGTTGTCACATAGCCACACCCAAATCTGAGGTGAGGACTTAGACAAAATTTCATTCATTGATTGTCGGCGTTTGGCCACGCTTGATTTGGGCGTCCCACAACCTGCCCACAAACTCCTCAACCACTACCATCATCGATCATCCATGACGCCCACTCACGACCGCCACACGACCACCGTCACCAATGGCCACCACAACCCACAACCCTCATTGACCACCCACAACCAGCCTGGCATGCCCCAACACCACAAGAACAACGCAGCAACGCCACGTCACCAGCTCTGGCAAGAAAACGAGCGCCTGCAACATCGACGCGACAATGAGGACAGTGACAACGTTGTGTGCCAACCCAGGTGAGCTAACACAACCCCTGCCCCCATTCCTTTAGTCATACAATGTTCAGGTGCCACGTCGCTTCTAGCGACGTGGCAACCAAACGACGAATGACAACCAATTCGCTGTTCGTCGTCCGGACTGACACGACACAACGACGGTGCAACGCCAACACAGGACAGCGACGACTCAACAACAATACGGAACTACCATGCGACTACGACACGGGACACGGATGTGCCACGTCATCCCAGATGGCGACAACGCATGCCGTCATCACCGTCCACAGTAGACAGGTGAGCACATCACATTGTAAGCCCCACCAGCTCCTCTTGTTCCCCTTTCTAATAGCCACAACCCACCTAGCGGCCATCTAGTGATGTGCAAGGGTTTGTCAACCCTCCAAGGGTCAGGGGTAAGGGTCAGGAGGGTAAGGGTCAGGGTAAGGATTTTGTGACCCTCAACAAACCCTTGACCCTTCTGAAGGGTCAGGGGTTTTTCAGGGGTTTTTTTAGGGGTTTCATTTCTCTAATATCAAGGTAAGTGCTCCAGATAAAATGATTTTAAATCACATTGAATCAGATAAAATATCATCCAAAGAGACCTCACTACCTTTGCAACACTTAGTATTGTTCAGATACACTGAATTCCTCATATTTCATCAATAATTTACTAAAAACCATGTGTACTGTCATAAATATACTTGAATGATGTGTATTTCACAGGCATCTTGCTATTTATTTACTATCTATAAAGCTTGAGCAGTCATTTGCTCCAAACCCTTGTTCAAACCCTGCTGGGGTTTCTTACCCTCCAACCCCTGAGATACCCTTACCCTTACCCTCCAAAACCCTTGACCCCAGCCAAGGGTCAAGGGTTTTGGAGGGTAAGGGTCAGGGTCAGCCTGAGTTGACCCCAGGGTTACCCCTGCTCATCACTACGGCCATCATAACCACCGCCATGTCACCACCTCGCCCTCTGCTACATTGAGCAATGTGACCCGATGACGATGACGACAACACACGACAATGGCTACATGATGATGGAGATGGATGGACGACGACGATACAGGTGGCGGCAATAACGGACGACCACAACCACAGTGCACAACACGACGAAAATGACCATGACGATGGACGATGCAAAGACGATGATGATGGACAACAACATCAACGACGCTTGAGCGCTCCCTCCCGAACCTGAATGAGGATACCCTGGTGTCCCTTCATTCATGTGTAATGTTATCCATTATTTTCACCTTTCATACTTTCTTGGATATTGGCTTTAAGCCTCTTTATTAGTGTGGCTGTTATTGTAGACCCCCTTGTATTAGATAGTCGAAATGCCATTTATACCCCTAATTTAATTTGGAAACAAGAAAATTAGTGGCCATCTACAAAGAAATCAGTAGATTCAGTACACACAAGTAGCTCTGGTAGCAAGGTGTACCAGTGCCTACCTAAGTGGAAGGAGGGTGTACCGAGGGCTATCAGGTGCAAGGGAAGAACTACCCGGGCTACTGAGATGTCACAGTAAACTACCGAAGTGACTCATGGGGGGGACTAGACTACCAGGGTATTATAAATACTAGAGCTACATTGACCTACTGACTCAAGAGATTTTCTCCTGATGTAATGTGATTCCCTTTACAACAGAAAAGGGAACGTTAGAGTCTGTTGAGCCTGGCACTCACACAAACCACCAAAGGGCCCTGAGACCAAACCCATGAATGCGAGGTGGCTTAAGGAAGGGTTGAGGCAGGAGAAAGACGATGAGGGAGGAAGATGAGGAGGGGCAAGAGCCAATAAGAGTAAACACAGGCATCTTGTCACCCAAACTGCAGAAAAGCAGACTGGTATAGGGGGTGCTATCAAGCCAAACATTCTTAGGTGGTGAGGTGGAGGGGTGGGGAGTGGACAAGCTCTTGATGGCATCTGCATTGAACAGATTCCCAGATCCTCCTTTCCTCAAACTTCAAAGCTTCAAGCTTCAAGCTTGAACATTGAATGTTGAACCCAGGTAGAACCTTTTATCAACTGTGTTTCTCTCCAAAACAAACAACACCTGTTCCCGTTCCTCAACCACTTTCTCTTTTCTCCTGCAACCCCCCTCTGCAATCCTAAATCCAGTTCCTCAATCTTCCTCCTTTCACCTTGCCCCCAATTAGTGCTTGGAAGTCCGGTTTTTTGCCTTTTTGGTCAGTTTTGCTGCTAGCACGTTGCCATTAAAATTCCCCAATGAATCTGGGGCACCAGAAAAGGAAATTTTTCCGGTCTTAGACCGGAAAAAAGACTGGACTGACCCTGAAATTTTGTGTTCGTAAACCCCAATTGTAGCAGGGAATTTTTATGGCAATGTTCTAACTCAAAAAAAGGGTTGAAAACCCGAAAAACCGGACTTCCAAGCACTACCCCCAATGCCTCCAAGCCCATCTCCTCTTCTGCTTCATCATCCTGAACCGAGCTCAACTTGACCTAGCACTTCTTAAGGGGAAGGGGTTGAGCTCAGGTTGGGTGCGAGTTTGGCTTGTGCTTGATGACAGAATGAAAGGGCCCATCAGAGGGGAGTTTTGTTCAAGGTAGGAGAGAGAGGGTTTGGCTCGAGGTGGAAGAGGGATCAGCCTGTTATTGAGACATTCAACAGGGGAGAGCGGAGTTGGAAGGGTGGAGAGGTCCAAATAGAGGTGAGACTCTGTGAGAGGAAGGTTGGGATAGAATGTGGCTCAGATGGGATGGACCTTAGTTTGAGGTTGGGAGGGAGTTTGTTTTGAGGTAAGAGAGGGAGTTCAGCCTATTGTTGAGGACATATTTGGCTCGAAGTGTCACTCAAGGACGTCACCAGTGAAAGCCCACAAGTGAAGCTCCGCCAAAGCCTCTGCCAGACTGAAGAACCCATCTCTGCTTCCTGTGAAGGAATCGGTGATCATTGAAAGGTTGAAAATCAAATACAGTCCAAAAGTTTGAATTTTGGTCTTCTCTATCGTCCCTATTCTTCCATCCCATTTACTTCTTCATTGTACCACTCGTACCTTGCCTCGGTGCTCGATTTTTAGAATTGGCTATGGGGAGGCGGGGTGTGGATGTCTTCTGCCTTCTGCATCTGAGTGTGGGTTCGCAGAAATGGAAGGCTCAGATTGTGGTTTGGGTTGGACGTCAAACGCAGCAAAGCGCCAAATTTCACCAAAAAGTACCCCTCTCTGTGCCTGGGTGGTTCATCACAAACCTCGTGCCTGTCACTTGTGGAACTACGGGTTGGTCGGTGGGGGTTGCCCTGGCAAAGACAACAGACGTAGGTGTGCTGATCCCATAGGACATGGGTAGAGAAGGCAAAGGAGCCTGAGAACTGATAGCTCAAGTCGGACAACCCCACTGGAGTCGTGATAGAGGAGGTAAGGGGAACTGTGACCCATGTGTGTCAAGTAAGGGCTGAGCAGGGTGAGGCAGGTTTTATTGTTTCTTGCCAGTGTGCCCCTCCTCCTGCATCGGGATATTCTTTAGCACTGCTCACATTCCAAAGGAGCAGAGATGTTGGCACTGGCACTAAGGGGAAAAGAAAGATAATTAGCATTCTGCACGCCGGTAAGACAAAGCTGAGTCCAGAAAATAAATTGGGCACTACATACGCAGCGTTGTCCACCTTTGAATTGCCAGAAGAACGTCAAGCATTCCAACTCCTAGGATGAAGAGTCGATCGTCTTCTCTGATGTCATGTTATAGTTGCCCCTGTTCAAGTTATCAGAGCGCTATGGATGAATGTAATTTGGCGTAACATTCTGTGTGCAGCAGCAGGGCATCGAAGGTTGTGGGAGGTTGTTTTTTACAGGTTGTCTTAGTAAACATGTTCCTGTACTTAAGTAACGACGGTTCAGTGTAGGCTCACTATAGATGATTCGGGGACAAGGGCAGGGACGGACTCAGAAGTTAGATTTCGGTGGCTCACCCATGTGAGTTTGATGCATCATGGTGAAAGCCTTCACCAATAGGATACTACGTGGATGGCTACCACCCTAGATGATATTGTGGGAGTGGTCGATGGTTTTCTAGTGGGAGGAAAAAAGGATTCCGGAAGCTCATGCCAAACACATCCCAACAAAGATTTCTGGGACCCACTGGCCACAACAACGTGAGACAACACCTCGGAACAACAGCAACTGTCATGAGGGTTAACGTTATTCAACGATGCTCGTCATGGCACTCTCAGGATACTACAAAGACCGTAGTAACGTTACATATTGACTGCACAACCTCCATAACCCTCGTCGCAAATTTCCTCCCTGGACCTCTGTCGCTTAGTTGCCTTGTTCATTCGTTTTTTGAGTGCAGTGCTCAGCTCTTTTTATAACCATGTTACGAGGTGGGTGTGGTCATCCCTACCAAGTGGTCTTCTCATTGTCCCACTTTACAGAAGTCCTCTCCGCCTCCGAGCCGTCGTATCACAACATTGGTACGCCCTTCGGCTGCTTGTTCTATATTACTTCTGACTCAACCTCGCTTCTAGATGAAAAGCAAGCTTTTTACCAGGATAAAGAGCCTCTTCCAAAGAGCAGACCGCAACCCAGTGGGGGAAGACGTACTACAAGAGAACCATAACCACCCCAAACCCAAATGCCTTTTCAGGCGCTTGACCTTCAAAAGAAGCAGAGTCCTCGTTGGGACACCCCAGCTCGGCGAACGTATCCCGTCCACTGTCATCCTCAATGACCAAACCTCCGTCATTCCACTCTCAGAAACCCACCGTGGCCATTCGCCCCCCATTACGCTGGGTGAGGATACGATAGCAGGTCCTTCGACCCTTCAACCACCTCTTAAGAGGACCGAATCGGGTGAGGATGGGGATGAGTGCGAGTCAGTGTATTACACTCCACCTGGCATGGGGGATTCGGTATCTCTTCATTCTTCTAATGCCAATGGAAGTGTGGAGGAGGCTGTGTTGGCTTTGGGTCATGGCCATGATCACGCCGACGAGGAAGTTATCGCCTCTCCAGCAGACATCTACTCCCTCATAGACCGCGGTCCACTCGGCTCCTCCCTCGCTGACATTGAGAACAACAATGATGCACGCACCTCACGCACCCCTCTCACCATCCCTCAACTACCCATTGGCCCCATCTCTGAAACGTCCTCTGGTAGTGCTAGCTCGGCCAGCCCAAGCTCAGACCCAGAACAATCACCACAACGTCGGCAACTGACGTGGGTCTCTTCGCGGAGCGTTCAGACGGAACGTCATAGTTCTTCGAGTCGCTCTCAAACGGAGGACTACGTCTCCTTGAGTCGGTCTCAAACTGAGGAAAACTTTTCCTTGAGCCGCTCTCAAACTGGGGGGTCGTGCAGCCCACTGTCCCAGCTTTTAAACTTTAAAGGACTACCGCCCAACCGTTCCTCATCGTCTGACGCATGTGCAGGAAGCCTAAGTCAATCGCTGACTCTATCTTTCCCAGACCTATCGCTGCCGATCCGGAGACCGGCTCCACGGCGATCCATTAACGACTTCTTACCCTACGATCTCATCCTGCGGGTCTTAAGCCAATGCTTACGTCTCCCCATAGGGTGTTTCGACGGTGCACTTTGGCGTCATATGACGGGGACATGCTGTCAATTACGACGTGTGTGTCGGAAGTGGAGGGACCTCATCGTCTCAGCGGGCCTCATCCTTTCTTCTGTAATGCCTCCGTCGCTGTCGTGGTGCGTGCGACCACCATCGGAGGTATTGTCGTGGTATGAAGAGCAAATCACGAGGAAGAGTGTGGTTGATAACTTATCTCTCCCCCTGAGACAAGATTGTCCGGACACCGGATGTCGGTATGGGGGACGATATCATCTTGATCTTACTTTCCTCCGCGTCTTATCACCCGCCATACCCAAATGTCGAGCGTTGAAAGTATCCTTACCGCGTGGGTTCCTTGCCGATTGGCTGCAGCTCAATAGCACGACGATACCCATGTCCTTCGCTACGCCTAACCTCCGCTACTTGTCCTGGACGTTCAACCTCCCCTTATCGGCTCCCATCCCACCTCAATTCGAGTTCCCATGGTTCGCATTGAGACATGTCCAGCATGGATTGACGTGGTCTTTGTTAACGATTGTTGAGCTTGATTGTCCACTCACCATCGAAGATTGTTTGTTCGTCCTTTCGGAGGGACAAGATAACCTCGAATGTGTATCTTTTAGAACTGTTGACGGGCTTGGGGTAAAATGGACATCTACAATCACATTGCTCAGGTTGGACTCCCTGTCCGTTGAGGGAATTGGCGATCTAGGACCGCTGTTTTCGGTTCTGAGGATGGAACGTCACCGACACTTGGGGATGACTTCACATACGCGTGGGGCGGAGGTGTGTGCGGCTACCCCTAGTCCGCATGCTTTGAACGTTCGTTGGAGTTCTCTGACGCATGTCGATTTGTTCTGCCATTTGACGAAGTTTGACCTTGTGAGGTTGATGTGCGGACTGTGTAATGTCGTTTCTTTTCAATGGAGGGGACACCTCACCCCCGGTGCTTCGATTCCTGGGGCCATGGGGGCCGTACACATGCTGAACCACCTAACGGAAGTGATCGTTTACTCGAACCAATCAGGGTGCGAAACCATCCTCGATATCTTGACCGAATCACACGGGGTGTCGTTGAGGAAGATCATCATCGACAAGCCCGTCATGCATTTCTCCGCTTCCCTGATTCCAATACCAGGAGAGTGGGCTTTACGTAGTCGCAAATTGGACGAAATGAAAGCTGCGCTGTATAGTATCACACTCAACGACGTCGAACATCCCATCAGTATAAGCGATGCATGGGCCATCCTCTCGCAGTGCCGACAGTTAAAGGAGCTTGACGTTCATGTTGCAGGGCGGGTGCCCCCGAATTCTGGGCTACTACTTGCAGGCGTTGAGTTGAGTTCGGGTCTTCAAATACTCAAATTGGATTTAGACGTTCCTGTTTCTATCCTCTTCCGGAATTTACGCCTACCCAACCTAGCCACACTGGAGATGACGTTTTCAGACAGCAATCACATCCATGCCAAAGGCCTTGATGCCGCCCTTGAACGCTGGGGTTGCCCTCTTACATGCGTCCTTCTGCGCAACTCGAATATCGGTGAGGGGACCTTGATCAAGTGCCTGACGAGCGTCTCTTCGACTTTGAAAGACCTTCTCATCTACGGCGCTGGTCCTCTATCCGGGTGTACTATGGGTAAACTCGCGCTTCAGCGGCTTATATTACAAGAAGGACTAAAACACGATCTATGTCCCAAACTCGAGAGCCTCACTTTGGAACCGTGTGTTGCGCCGGATGGAGCGTTGGCTCAGCTGCTGTATTCGAAGGCTCCGCCTTTGAGGTGCTGTGGGGGGGTGGGTTGCAACCTGTGTATTGAGAAGATCGTTCCGCTGAGGAGGGTGAGGGTTTCTTTTCTCAAGGTGGTGGTTCCGAATATGACCGAGGTTCGGGAGGAGGATTTTAAGATGATAGGGAGGTTGAAGGAGACAGGGATGAACATTGAGATCGTTGACTAGGACTTGCGCTACAGGTAACGAACGGGTAACAGACGCTTTTCAAGGGACTTTTGTCTATTTTTTCTTGGCGGACTACGGAAATTGGAATATTACATTATTAGCTTTATATTAATTATACAACTGTTGGTCTGCTTCTATATTCAATGTAATGCTTTCATCCAACTGTACTGAGAGTCTGTCTTCCAGACTTTGAGCGCGTGGAAGATTATGCGCAGATACGAGCAGATACGACGTGAATTTTGGAGTTCTTGCCACCACTGCCAGTCTTCGGGAGGCTTCCTTTTTAGGGAATGGCACGTGCTGACTCCGAGGTTGCCAAGGATTTGGTGTTTTCGTTTGGTCCTCATCCGCAATGATGCTCAAGGTCCTTCGTAAAATCATTCGACCCCGAGCCTCACAAACCCAACTCCCACAAGAGTCTGACCCACCCCTCTCCTTTGATAGTTTCATTGTAAAAAAGTACGACGTCTCTCCCGAAAGGGCTCATGCGAGTCATCTCTCTCCTCCCTCAATTGGGACAGTTCCATTACCACCACACTTATTATTTTTCCTCATAGACCACCATTTTGTTGGTGATCATCCGACTTTGAGAACCCTCTCTAAGACCTGTCGCGTTTCGGCCACTTACTGTCGCCGCCTCATCTACCGTTCGGTCCCCATTGGCCACCGTGATAGAGGTTCTCTCTCTGGAAAGAAAAAACCTGCAATAGCTTTCGCCGAATTACTCCGAGGATTCCCAGGAATTGTGGAATACATTGAAGATCTTCAGATTCTCGACGGTGGATGCAGGATGTTCGAAGGCTTGCGTCCGATAACGGAGGAAGAGCAAAGTCTGTGCTTCATCTTGACACGACCTATGAAAAATTTGAAGCGTTTGGAGCTCATGCTCAACGTTGTCTGGACCTTGATCCCTACACCATTACAAGAGGCGCTTTGCACTGCCTTCCGGCTTCCGAGCATATGCACCTCATCCATCAAAAAACTTCGTTTCCCCGTGCACTTTCTTGATCTTTTTCAAGATTTGAGGCACATTGAGTTCTCTGGTGAAGCGGCGGCGCCCATCATGGTTACTACCCTACCTCACGCGACTCAGTTGGTCACCAATTTCGGGGATCCGGATCGGCAATCAGTGACCACCTTCAACTTTGCACGTCCTTGACAGTTTTGAAGCTTTTCTTGACCGGTGGTTTTCCCTTATGTCACTGACCTTGAATTTGTGGCTGATTGCCTGCTCACAGATTTACACCCTCAAAAGTTGAGTGCTTTACGCTCTCTCACGTTCCTGACATTGAGTCAGGACCTTATAAGTCCGTTGTGTGCGAAGCCGACTAAACAATTTCAGTGGATATTATCTATACTGGCGACGTGCAGTCAACCGAATGTCATTGAAGGCATTCGCATCATTCTCCAAACTCCCTACCTGGCTCAATGCAGAGAATCCGGCTGGTCTGGGCTTGACGCTTTACTTACGGCACCTGGCGGCTGTCCGCGCCTGACATTCCTTGAGGTTGTCTATCTCACTAAGGAGTCAGAGATCGAATCGTCGGGGGTTGATTACTTCGACAGGATTTCAGCTCCCCTTTTGCCCCTTCTAGTCCACAGGAGTACAGGTAACAATGACTCCTCGCGTGTACCAATTTCAGATAGGATTTGCGGATTACTGATCGTTAGCATTGTAAATCCTTATCTGCTAATTTCCGGTTAACCGTCCATTTTCATTGTTTCCCGTCCGCTCAGTTCATGTTGACGTCGTCATAAAAACAGCCAAAGAATCATTTTCGCCAGGGCCTCCACTTTTAGTCATTTTCCTCATCATCTCGAATCGGTTTCAACTTGAAGATCACAATCATACTCGCCCAACGCACAAGCATGCGATGCAAAGCCACCAATAATCCCCGTTCGTTCTGCGACTTCACACAATATACAATGAAGAAAACATTAGATTGCAAGAAAGCAGACTGCAATAGCAAGAAATTACGAAAACAAACAGAAAAAGAGAAAGACAATCAAGAAAACCCCAACCTAACCAACAGAGCCCAACATACTACGAGCGCGCTTCCTCCTATCTTCTGACCCTTCTCCGGAACCTTCCCCAGACCTCTTTGAACCGCTAGACTGCCCACCAGCCTTCCAACGCTCTAAACTCCCCTTGAACCTCGCAACTTCCATTGATGACGGCACAGGTTCAGGAAGTAACAGAGCCCGACACGCCAATGCCGCAGACACTATCCTAGCCTGCTCCAGGTACTCCCCCGCCCTTTGTGTGTCCTTATCTGCCGCCTGCAGAAGGGCGCGCACCCGAAAATTCGCGTTTTGAAAGGCCTCGAGATGGTCTCGCAGCTTACCGTTCTGAGCCAACGTGGCACCAAGAATAGGGAGGATGGCTTGAGAAAACTGATCAGACACCAACAACGAACGTGACTGGGGGAAAACCACCCACCTGTACCATCTCTCACCAAATCTTTGACATCCTCAGCACTAGCCCCCTCCTCCGACGCTTCGCCAACAAACTCTCCCAGCAACTCCTCCAGTCCCTGTACTCGAATCTGCAGCGCCTCGCGTTCCGCCTCAACCTCCCTCAAAGTCTCCACCAACTCCATTCTACGAGCCTCCGAATCCTTCCGCTTCTCGTGATCGTTCTCTAACTGCTGAATCTTGAGCCTCAACGCCTCTAATTGAGGCTGCAACACCCCCAGCCCCTGTGGGTTTTCTAACACCTTTTCCCTCTTGGCCTTCGTTTTCTCCATGGCTGGGACACAAAGTTCGTCTTCAGATATTTCAGATATTTCTAGTTTGACATTTGTTGGTAAGCTGGCACTTTGAGAGGGTGTTGTGGTAGTACCTGTCGAAAAACTTGGCGCAATCTTATCCGTTGAAGCGGAGGCGGTTGCAATGGCATCCTGGAGAGAAAAAATCTCATCAGCTTCGGAAAAAGAGGTTTGCTGGACAGGGGACTGTACAGATCTTTCCTCAGGAGGTATTGTTGAGGATGAAGATATTGCAACAGCGGCAGATGGACCCCTACACCACTTGCCATGCTCCTGGAACTTGTGTGAGTTGTCTGAAACATCTGAATAGATGAGGAGACTCACCGAAAGTCGTGCAGGATCTTTATTACTTAGTAGATTGCACCGCGGGCAGGTAAACACGCCATCACGTCGTTTGATGTTCTCTGTTTGACCGCCACGGTACTTGACTTTGACGATCTGCTGCGTCATCGTGCGGCGCTCGTATTTGGTGAGAGGAGCCCTATTTGAGGGCGCAGCGTTGTTGGTGTCACCGGAGTCATTGGGAGTGGAAGGTGAATTTTCTACTGCTATCAACCTGTCGTGAGATTCGTATGTCAGAAGAAGGAAAAAAATTTACATAAAACCATCGTGAGGAGTACAGTCATTTACAGGTCCTCGATACACACAAATAAAGACAGGCCTCAGACAAATGTATTAAGACAGTAAAGTACAATCTAACTATGCAGGATCATTACTTAGTACATACATACATGTAATTGAGACCGAAATTGACTATCTACGGAGAGCAGAGGGAGGATGAAGTTAATCTGTTCAAAAGTTGCTTATCGCGGAGAATTATGTCCTCGATACGGCCGTCACATCAGGCGTGACACCCAAAACGGCTATGTCTGATTAGATCACGATGAGATCATTCCTCGTCCTCCTCACCGCTCTGAGTGTCGTCGTCGCTCTCCCTGCCAGGTTCAACGGGTTCGACATCTTCAGCATCATCTGCAGCAGCAGCTTGTTGAAATGCACCCTTCTTTGTCCAAGTCTTGGGCTTTTGTGGCTCAGCTTTCGGCTTGCTCGGTTTCTTCCACCTGGGTCTCTCGCGCACTTCTTTTGCCCTGTCCCGCTCGAATGATCTCGTCTGCATGTTCCTTGAGGCACCTATTGCTGAAGGGAAAGTTCCGTGCAGCCATCTCGAGAGCGTAGTCGATGAGAACAGTTGCTTCAGTTTCTGTAAGCCAGCACTTCTCGGCATTGAAGTCAGACAACTTTGTTCCCCCATGAGTATGCTTCCAGAGAGTACTGTGTGATAAGGTAACATGTTGCCCAGTCTTTTGCAGATGCGCGGCACTGATTCGGTCGCAAATTGTACGAAGACCAAGAGGCTTGCCATTTTTGCCTGTAGGAGTTTGTTGTTCCTGTTTCTCCATTTCGGTTGCCTCGTCCTGGAGCAGAGATTTAACTTTGGCTGCAGCCGCAGCTTTGTAGAGTTTGGAACGTGCATGTTTCATCGTGCAGGGATCAAGCTACAGCTGCTGAAGAAATCCAGTTGCATCGAGGATGACACTTTGCTGGCAATTCCCCCATTTGGAAGGTGTGACGTGACCGATGGAATTCTGCTTACACCTCCTCAAATCCTCACATCTCCACTCCGAAGCCTCCATCTGTGCTTTTGATATCAGTGGCAGGTAGGCTTGAGTGTATAAAGAAGGGTTCCTGCTTGAAAAAATAGATGGTAGTCCGGATTGTTTTGAATGACATGTTCAATATTTCACAAATGTCCAAATCTCGACAGATTATACTTCCAACATTGCTTCACACAAGCACCCACCTCGAAAAGCGAGGGCTACATAGACATAAAGTATATATACTAGTAGGAAAGAAAATTAGGACAATTGGAACACTGGATGTGAAAATATCTGGGTTTGTATCGAGGACCTATCCTGTATCGAGGACCTGTAAATGACTGTATATGTCTATGAAAAAAGAAATCTGAATGCGGACAGCAGCGAATGCATTTCGAGAATGCGTTGAAGAGAAAGTTGGCTCTTGTCACGTTTCGTGACACAGCGCGCTCGACCTCGACTTCGGTTATTGCCACCGACCAGCTCAAAGCTGCGAACATCGACGCCAGTGGGAGCCATAGCCTCAAAAAAGGCTCCAAGTCATCTCCCTTGATTCCTCCCGTAAGCCAGAGCCATGATCCACTTGTAAAATCCGTGCCTCGCCATCGCTTCTCCCACATATTCTTGTACTACTAGGCATTCCTACTGTGGCTCTTAGGGGCCTCTTAGACGATATGGAAATTAGGGGGCGTTAGTCTGAGTAAAGTCCTCATTGCCCCATTCTTACCCTTGACGCTGGTGAACAGCCTGAAGACTTGGTCGAGCACGGCGCTACCCGTCGTCGTTTTACGAAGTGTTCTTCACAAGTGAGTGGGATTATTCTCTTGCTCTTTTCATTGCTTACCGAATTTCAGTAAAGCGGACGCCGACTACATCGCCTCTCAGTTTCTCTTGCAAAAACCAGCTCAAAAGCTGCTCTTGCTGTGCCCTCACCAAGCCCTCACTATCCGCGACATTGATTCATGAGACGGCGGCCTATGTTGTGGAGGGAGAGCAACGAAGCTTTCTCTTTTTTGTCAAACCAAAGTGTGTCTTCTTTGCCTTTGACACCTCAACTCTGACGGTTTGATAGAAAACATTCATACTACCTGAATGGCCGCGTTGTCTTCTTGCTGTTTACGCAAGTGGCAGCGGCTGCTTTTCCTTTTCCGCAACATCTTGTATGGCAGGTTTGTGCTGCTCAGGTGGCAGCTTGCAGTAAGCCATCTGCAATCCATTCTAGTTCTCGCTCAATTCATTGTAGAATGTCGCTTTCCGTCCGTTTGGCATCTACCACTTCATCGTCGCATCTTGATCTCCATATTTACCATCACCATCTCCTTGCCCCTTGCTGCCCTCCTCTTCGCAATCTCCCGCTTCCTCTTGCCCATCTATACCAGATCCCGATTCTACCATTTTCCTCCGCCTTTTCACCGCTCATTTCCTCAGAGGATCATGGATGCTGTTCATGCCTCTATGACATTTCGTTTTCGTTCTCGATGCATGGTTCTTGGAGTTCACAGCTGCCTTCATCTGAGAAGCCGAGGGGTCCCTGTTCGAGTCTGTTCCAATCACCACCACTCACGACAATTCCAAACACGACACCCATCTCCGCCCCTGAAGTTACGTTGAAATGCTTAGCTCTCTCCGAGCTCAGAGCAGTTGCAACAGGCCAAGACAACGCCGCTCGCAACTCCCGCCCAGGTAATCCGAGGACCCATATTCCGGTCTGGGGGAAAGTCCTCCCCAACCATCCTTGACGCTTTTGCAGCGGATTGTCCGATAGGGAAGGCTGCTGAGATTTCCGGTCGTCGGAGGCCCAACTGCCGTTGATCACCACCAAGAAGGGAGAAGAGATGCAGCAAGACGCGAATGTGAAGCCGGGGCTGCTGGCGCGGGTGATAGCGGAGCTCGACACGGCCATCCGGTCTACGTCTGAGAAGCATGTTCCTATCCTTGTGAGGGGTGTGGTAGGTTGTGGTTGAAGGCGGAGAGGACCAGCAAAGTCGGTCATGTTTGTTTACCAGTCTTGAGGGTAAGCCTTTCCTGTTACCATTGAAGATGGGCATTGATCAGTAACAATGTGCAGTTCTCTCTCACTTGATGTGCGCGCCTTTGACGGAAGACCGATACGGTGACAATACCCAAGATTCTTGAGACCATGCTGCTTTTCCGCTCAACAATCGAGGAATACCAAATCGACTACATACATCCGACTCTGGAAGAGGAACTTTCGCAGAAGGAGATACGCGAGAAAGAGCGGATCCGAGAGGAAGTGGAATGGGGGGTTGGGAAGTGCTGAGAGTTTTTCCAAACACTCTCCAAAGCGCCTTCCTCTGAGTAAGGCGCTTTGAAGAGAGTCTTTGCTATTCTCCCCAGAATTCTGATGCAACACATCGGTTGCGCGGAAACATGGACCTCCTTACATAGTCGAAAGCTTTCTTGCCAGCTCCTGTCGTCTCCTTGGCGCAGACGCGAAGCGTTCACTAACGGCCCGTCGGGACGTCAAGTTTGTCTAGGAGTTGTATGTAGCCCCGCCCATCATGTCCGAGTCCCACGGAGGACAGGTGTTTGTCAGTTTCGAGATAACCAAACAAAACTTTTGCCTTTCAACCTTGTTCTCTTTTGGTCCGCTTTCAAAATTCGAGCTCAAACGACGCGGGAAATCTAGAACAAAGGGCCTTGTATTTCCCTTCAACAAACTAGGCTAGTCGGCACCGTAGTCACCACGGTTACTTTGTTCTACGTTACCTGCGCCATATTGAACAACCCTTGAAGTACGAGCTCCTGCGATGTACTACCAATCAATTCCGAAAATTCCCCCATTGCTGAACGTCAGTGTCTCTGTACTTTCTTCAAAAGTTTCACTCACGGGATTGTGCCCAGACTCTGATCCAGCATGACCTTTCTTTCACAGTCCCCGCATTTTGTAGCTCATGACGTCCTGGGATTGGCGTCGCCTACTAGAGGCCTGCGTAATGCAGGCAGACACTTTTCGCAATTTTTTCTTGGGAAGGACTGCGAAATCTCCACCACTCCTATTGACGTTTCTGACTCACTCCGCCTCAATACCCTCATTCCATATTCCATGATGCAGGACGTTCCTTGCATCAACAACTTGCTTCCAGTTGAGATTATCGGAGAGATTTTTCGGCACTACGTGTTCGATGTAAATCCCGACCCCATCACTGGGTATTCGCGCATTACTGCTCATGCGGGAGCGCGGACGAGCGCCATAACCCTCTGCCATGTTTGTTCCTACTGGCGCACCCTCGCATTCTCCATCTCCAGCCTCTGGTCTTCACTCTGCGTGATCTGGCCTAAGATGGGCTATGTCCATCTCGTGCGGCTCTGGCTGGAAAAATCGAAGTCGCGTCCTCTCTCCCTTGATCTTGCTCAGTACCATTCTTCGGAGGAACACGATATCGTTGCCATGAGGCAAATTCTCGACCTTTGCATTGCTACTGCTCCGAGGTGGCGGGAGATATCTCTCAGTTTAACTCACGCTTTGCAAGATATGTTTTGTGGTTTGGAAGAAGGTTCTATAGGAATGCTGGAGTCTTTTGACGTCCGCCTTTTCAAATGGAGCCAATGCCGAAAAAGCCAATTACTCAATGCGTTTTACTCCTCTCCACTTCTCCGGCGAACCGAGTGGCGCTTATTTGAGCGCGCTCTTCCTGGAAACCCACCTTGGAAGCAGCTTTCGGCAGTGACGCTGAATTGCCAATCGGACTCCGAAGAATTTTTCACAATTCTTTCACAATGTGAACGGTTGGAATCCCTCGACGTTGATGTTCGATTCATTATGTCGCAATCACCCACTGCATATTCCACCTTCTCACTCCCCAATCTCTTTGATTTGAGATTGGGTATGATGTCCACAAAAGATTTTGAATCATTATTCGACCATTTAATTTTGCCTCGATTGGAAGTCATCGAGATGCGACATGGTTTTGAGGATTCCTCTCCTCAAGGATGGATATCTCTTCGCAATCTTCTTTCTCGATCTTTCTGTCAGTTGTCTAGCTTCATCTATGGCGGTTACAATTTGGACGAAGCTGAATTTATCAGGGTTTTGACTTCTTTCAACCTATCATCCCTGGTCGACCTCTCACTCTCCGTACCTATCACGGATAACATAATCGATGCCCTAACAAACGAACAGATACGCCATGGATCTCCGCCGCTGCCGCTGCTGAGACACCTGGTATTCAGTAATTGTCGGACGTCAGATGGCGTCTTCTCGACTTTTATCGGCTCCAGGTTGCTAACAGTCGAATCTGTCGAGGTGCACCTGCGCGGTGTTTCGGCGTACTCAGATGATTTGAACGCGATGGAAAACTTGCAACAGGAAAATCTTGCCATCAGCATTGTCCTGTATGGTGAAATATTCCGCAGCACAGTCGTTGCGTAGAGTCCCACAAGTAAATTGGCGATGTTACGTTCGTTGTGGTTGCTGCTAGAGTATAAATAAGTATTACACTGAAGATCTACGATTGAACATGGACTCGAACCGCTATGCGAAGCTGAATACATATCTATTGAAACCGAAGACGGACATTGTTTGAACTCTCTGCTTGGTATTGTGCTACCGGCCAAGGAATAGCAGTACGGCAAATCTCAACTTGGGTCTTTTTGTGGACCTTTGAGTGTATTGCCTTCAGCTCAGCGGGGCTGAGCCAACAATTGAGATAAAGTGTTTCCAACTGCTTCCATTGTATATTTAGGTCATCAATGGTCTGTCCTGAGGACAATGTTAGAGAAAGATGTACCAATTTGAGCTGTAACGAGTTGAAGAGCTCGTGAGTGTCGATTGCGGATGTCACCGTCAGTTTCGTTAAACAATGGGGAAAAGGGGTGCGTGTTTTGCAAGGAAGTGTTGTAGTCAAAATGGGGGTGTTGGCGCCAATGCGGTCGACATCAGCAGTCTCAAGCTTTGGACAATACTGCAGGATCCCAACAAAGTCGTCAATGGCGATGTCACAACTTGTCAGTGTGAGAGTTGCGAGATTGGGAGTATGGCGGAGGTATGGCAGCCTCAACGTTTCGGGAAGGCAAAACAACTGGCCTTTCCAGTGGAATCCGGTGACGTGAGGCTTTTCCCCGATGTCGAGGAAGTCTGCCACGGAAAAATCTTGAACTGGGGCATTGAAACCCGTAGGACACATTTCCTCGTCAAGCGAACCCCGGGCCCTCTCATCACGAAAAATACACTCCTCCTCATCAACTTTAACTTCAAATGCGACATCCTTGTGATCTGGGTCACCGGTCGCTATGCCCCACGCCACGCATAAAGCCGCGTATGACTCTGTCATGGAGGCACCTGCGCGGCGATTGACCAAGTAGATGTTCATCCCGACTTTCCCTTTGTAGGTTGCTTGTTGCCGCTGTATAGCGAGACCCCGCATTACTCGATTAAACCAATCGGAGTCTCCACGACAGGAATCAATGATGACTTCCAAGAGGTGCGGGTTAACGGGAGGAGGGATGTCGACTTTCGACTCTACGGTTGGCGGCGCGGGATCCTCCACTTGAGAATTGAATTGGCTGCTGCGTGGAGGGGACCCGAAGAGGTACCTCACAAAGGTACGGAGAAAGAGAAACACCGCAAGAGAACGCAGCAGAGGGACGACGGCAACGACGAAGTGGGAGGATTGGATGGAAATGGCATGGTCGAGGAGGTTGTTGAGAAGGTTGATAAATTCGGGGGGCGAACCGATGTAGGGGGATATCATTTTTCTGAAGGACGCGGTCTGCAGGGTAGTGTTATGTGCTCGGACTCTGCAAGTGGAAGGGGGAGTACCGGTCGTACCTTCAAAGGAAGTCGAGGCCTACAATGTTATGGGATTGGGGACGCGGGCTTCCGCGCCGGGGTATACGTGATATGAAGTCGGCTCTGTAAATGGGAGGAGAGATTGCCGTCAACGGAAGTTGAGGTCATTATATATACCAAGGATAGCTGGAGGCGTCGGAGATGGTTGACTCTCCCATTGTCCAACTGATCCGGAGTTGCCATTGCTATTGTTCAAAGGTAAAGCAACGTGGTCCTGAAAACAATTTTCCCAGTGCTATGAGGTGCTGTTGCTTTGGTTATGCAATTGTCGTCGTCCGTCAGGTCCGTCGAACAAATGCAGAGATTGGACCATTGGCAATTACGAACTCGGACTCACAAAAAGCTTTTCTGTGAGGCAAGAACTTGCGGCTGTGCGGCCCGGGCTTGGCCTGGAAGGATTCTTATTGTTCAGCGGTCTTTGTGTTTCAAGGAGGTATGCTAATTGGCGAGTCGCCGTTGACGTGGAGCGCGCTAATTGGTGTCGTTTAGAAAATTTCAAGGACGGTACTCACTACTTAACTGTTGTGCGTAAAACGTTGAAATTTTGACAAAAAGAAAAGAAAATCAGCGAAACCATCTGCGCGTACAGTACTAGGATGTATTGAAAGATCATTAACCAAAGCCGAAATATCTTTTTTGAGGATGTGGATTTTGCTTGGAGTGTAGCTCATGGACATTGCCAGTGAAAGGCTAAAGCCCATCATAGTACAGTGCTTTGCATTGCCGTCCTTCCTGTGAAGGAATCTGTAGTCATTCAAAGCTGAAGATCATGATCAAATACGGTCCAGAAGCTTGAATTCAAGTCTTCTCCATCGCCCTGTCCCTTCTTTTCATGTTCTCTTTCTCCAGCTCGTCGTCTTTCGGCTCTTTCACCTTCTCCTAGTACTCTTTCATCCCACTTAGTTATTCATGTACCGCCCATGCATTGCTTCAGTGTTCGATCCTTAAAATTGTGTGCTGTGGGTTCACAAGTAGCGGAAGGCTTAGATCAGAATCGGATTTGGGCTGAAGCTGGAGAGGACGTGAGGATATGAAAAAGACCCAGATCCAAACGCGTCAAAGATCCAAATTTCACCCAAAAGCACCCCTTTGCGCCTGATTGGTGGATCACAAACCTCGCGCCTGTCACTTGCGGGCTATGCGTCGGTGAATGTGGGTTGCCCTGGCAAATGCAACGGATGTGGGTGCGCCGATCCCATAGGGGTACAGAATGCGAAAAATCCTTAAAACCGATAGCTTAGGTTGCACAACTTCAATGGAATCGTAGTAGAAGGGACAAAGGGAACTGTGACCCGTGCGTGGACGGAAAAAGTAAGGGCCGAGCAGGGTGAGGCAGGTTTGATTGTTTCTTGTGCTCCTCCTCCTGCGTCGGGATCTTCTTTAGCACTGCTCGCACTCCAAGAGAGGTTGAGAGAGCAGAGATGTTGGCAATGGCACTTAGGGGAGAAGAAAGATAATTAGCGCTCTGCACGCCAGTAGGAGAAGCTGAGTCACACATACTCAGAAAATGAATCGCGCCTTGTAGACGATACACATAGTTGATGGTTGTCCAACTTGAAAGGAACGCCGTCAACCATTCCAATTTGAGCCTGATCAGAGTCGCCTGACTATTCCTTAGAGTCGACCATTCTCCTCCGGCGCATGTCGTGTTATAAGTAGTCGGACGAGAAGTCAAAAATGTCATCAGAGCGCTATGGGCGATGGTACTGCGCTGGCCTGCGAAGGTATTTTGGCGTAAAGCCCTGAAGCTGAAGCTTGAAGCTTGCAGCTTGAACTGTGGCTGAGAGAGCCTTCCCCGAAATATTTATCCAAATTATTGGTAGGTGTTTGGCAACAATCGCGTCACAAGCTCCGTTGCAACCAGTTGCCACCCTGGATGGGACCAAAATTGTGACTAAAAACTCTTTGGTTGGTTCTGTTTATAACGGCCATTTTGATAGGAACGTCCACAACAAGTTAGAACCGGTTGTGATGCCTAATTAGAAAACTCCGACAATTTTTCATGCACGATTGTAGCCAATTTTGGGCTAAAAAACAGAAAAATGGGCAACTTTCAACAGTTAGCACCGGTTAGAACGCCGATTCAATGCCGTCCCAATCTCAGCTGGTTGTGACGAAAGAATTAAATCTCCGACAGTCTGTCTGAGCTTCCGAAATTCTTCCGTTGGTTTTCCGTTTCCTGACCTTTGCAAACACCTTCCCATTACCTCCAGACGAATCGACCACTGCCCACAATATCATCCAGAGCGGTAGCCATCTACATAGAATATCCTATGTGTAAAGGCTTTCACCATGGCCCATCGGCATCAAAGTTCATATGGATAAATCTAGTGAGTCCTTCTGCCCTTGTCCCCGAATTGTCTCTAGTGAGCCCACACTGAGCCGCCGAGCCGTCATTGCAGGAACATGTTTACTAAGACAACCTCTAAAAGCCAAACTCCCACAACGTTGCTTCTGCTGCTGGACCCACAACAACGCGAGAACAAGGCCCAGGGAACAATAGCAACTGTCATGAAGGTTAAACTGCTCGTCATGGCACCCTCGGGATACTACAGAGTCTATAGTAACACTGCCCTCCCTCAGCGTTTATCGTCGTGCGACCTGTTGTTCTTATTGACCGAAGAACCTCCATAGCCCTCGTCGCTACTGCCTCCCTGGACCTCTGTCGCTTAGTTGTCTTGTTCGTTCGTTCTCAGCTCTTTTATAGCCATGTTACGAGGTGAGTGCGGTCATCCTTACCAAGTGGCTCGTTGCATTATACGATTTACAGAAGTCTTCTCCGCCCCGGAGCAGTTGTATCATAACAGTGGTACGCACTCCTACTGCTTGTCCATATTACTTTAACGAAACCTCGTCTAGATGAAAGTCAAGCTCAAGTGGATCGTTAACCTTGCTACGAAGATTCGAACCAGGCGTGGCTCACGCGCCCGAACAGAAACCACCGAAGTTGCATCCAATGAGGAGGTCGACGAGCCCGGCGGGCGACCTCGAAGAAAGCTTTTCGCCAGGATAAAGAAACTGTTCAAACGAGCCGACCGCAACCCAGTGGGGGAAGACGTACTGCAAGAAAACTACAATCATCCCAGAGTCCCCGCAGTCCCCGTTGGAACCCCCCAGCTCGCTGAACGTATCCCATCCACTGTCATTCTCAAAGACCAAACCTCCGTCATTCCACTCTCAGAGGACCACTATGGCCACTCACCCCCCATTACGCTGGGTGAGGGTACGATAGCAGGTCCTTCAACCCTTCAACCACCTCTCAACAGGACCGGTTCTCCGAACTACGGCCCTTCTGCATCGGTGTCAACTGAACACTTTACTGTTCCCTTGCAGCGACGTGATCCTCGGGTTCCAAGTTCAATTTCACCGAGGGAGGGCTCATTGTTTACCGAATCGAATGAGGATGGGGATGAGTGCGACTCAGTGTATTACACCCCACCTAGCAAAATCGATTCGGTATACCTTCATTCTTCTAATGCCAATGGAAGTGTGGAGGATGTGTTGGCTTTGGGTCATGGCCATGATCACGCCGACGAAGAAGTTCCAGTAGACATCCACTCCCCCATTGACCGCGATTCACTCGGCTCCTCTCCCGCTGGAATTGAGGACAACAACGATCCACGCACCTCACGCGGCCCTCTCGTCATCTCTGAACGACCCATTGGCCCCATCTCTGAAACGTCCACTGGTAGCGCTAGCCCAGCGAGCCCAAGCTCAGCCCCAGAACGACCGCTACCTCCTCGGCAACTGACATGGATGTCTTCGGGGAGCTCGTATTTCTCTTTGAGTCGCTCTCAGACGGAGGATTACGTCTCCTTGAGTCGCTCACAGACGGACGATTACGTCTCCTTGAGTCGCTCACAGACGGACGATTACGTCTCCTTGAGTCGCTCACAGACGGACGATTACGTTTCCTTGAGTCGCTCTCAAACGGATGATTACGTCTCCTTGAGCCAGTCTCAGACTGAGGAAAGCTTTTCCTTCGGCCGCTCTCAAACTGGGGGGTCGTGCAGCCCACTGTCCCAGTTTTCAATCTTGAAAAGACTACCACCCAACCGTTCCTCATCGTCCGACGCATTTGCAGGAAGCTTAAGTCAATCTCTGACCCTATCTTCCCCAGACCTATCACGGAGATCCATCAACAACTTCTTACCCACCGAACTCATCACGCGGATCCTAAGTCAATGCTTATGTCTCCCCATAGGGTGTTTCGATGGTACACTTTTGCGTCGGATGAAGAGGACGTGCTGTCAACTACGACTTGTGTGTCCCAAGTGGAACGACCTCATCGTCTCAGCGCACCTCATCTTTTCTTCTGTAGCGCCTTCGTCGTTGTCGCTGCGCGTACCACCTGCAGAGGAGGTATTGTCGTGGTATACAGGGCAAATCACGAGGAAGAGTGTGGTTGATAACTTATCTCTCCCCCTGAGACGAGATTTTGGGGATAGTGGACCGTACCATCCTGATCTTGATTTCCTTCGCGTCTTATCATCCGCCATACCCAAATGTCGAGCGCTGAAAGTATCTTTACCACTCGGCCTCGCTGCCGATTGGCTGCAGCCCGATAATAACAACAATGCGACACCAATGTCCCTCGCTACGCCTAACCTCCGCTACTTATCCTGGACGTTCAACCTCCCCTTATCGGCTCCCATCCCACCTGGATTCAAGTTCCCGTGGTTCGCACTGAGACATGTCCAGCATGGATTGACGTGGTCTTTGTTAACTACTGTGGAGCTTGATTGTCCACTCACGATCGAAGATTGTTTGTTCGTCCTTTCGGAGGGACGAGATAACCTCGAATGTGCATCTTTTAGAACTGTTGATGGGCTTGGGGAAGAATGGTTATCTACAATCACATTGCTCAAGTTGGACTCCCTGTCCGTTGAGGGAGTTGGCGATCTAGGACCGCTGTTTTCGGACCTGAGGATGGAATGTCACCGACGCTTGGGGATGACTTCACATACGCGTGGGGAGGAGGTGTGTCTGGCTACCCCCAGTCCGCATGCCTTGAATGTTTGTTGGGAAACTTTGACGCATGTTGATCTGTTCTGCCATTTGACGAGGTCTGACCTCGTGAGGTTGATGGGCGGAGGACTATGTAATCTCGTTTCTTTTCAATGGAGGGGACACCTCACCCCCGATGCGGATGCCAATGCTTCCATTCCCATGCAGACGTTGGACCGCCTAACGGAAGTGATGGTGTATTCGAACAAAGCAGGCTGCGAAGCCATCCTCGACATCTTAACCGAATCACGCACGTCGTTGAGGAAGATCATCGTCGACAAGCACGTCATGCATTTCTCCGCACCCCCGATTTCGTTGCCGGGAGAGCGGGCTTCAATGCGTAATCACAAATTGAACGAGATGAAAGCTGCGCTGTATAGCATCACACTGAACGACGTCGAACATCCCATCAGTATAAGCGATGCATGGGCTATCCTCTCGCAGTGCCCACAGTTAAAGGAGCTTGACGTTCGTGTTGCAGGGTGTGTGCCGCCCAGCTCTGGCCGGCGACTTGCGGGCGATGAGTTGAGTTCGGATCTTCAAATACTCAAATTGGATTTAGACGTTCCTGTTTCTATCCTCTTCCGGAATTTAAGCCTACCCAAGCTAGCCACACTGGAGATGGCGTTTTCACGAAGCAATCGCATGTGTGCTGAAGGTCTTGATGCCGCCCTTGCACGCTGGGGTTGCCCTCTCACACGCCTCCTTCTGCGAAAGTCGAATATCGGCGAGGAAACCATAATCAAGTGCCTAACGAGCGTCTCTTCGACTTTGAAAGATCTCCTTATCTACGGCGATGGTCCTCGATCCGGGTGGACAATGGGTAAACTCGCGCTTAAGCGGCTTACATTAAAGGCAGGACTAAATCACGATCTATGTCCCAAGCTCGAGAGCCTCACTTTGGAACCGTGCGTTGCGCCAGATGGGGCGTTGGCTCAGCTGTTGAGGTCGAAGGCACCGCCACTGAGGTGCTGTAACTGGATGTGTGATACGTGCATTGAGAAGATCGTTCCGCTGAGGAGGGTGAGGGTTTCTTTTCTGAAGGCGGTGGTTCCGAATATGAGTGATGTTCGGGAGGAGGATGTGAAGATGATAGAGAGGTTGAAGACGACAGGGATGGATATTGAGCTCGTTGACTAGGACTTGGCCTGAATACTTGAAGATTGACAGCTAACGAACACTTTTTCAAGGGACTTTTATTGTATTTTTTCTTGGCGGACTACGGAAATCGGAATACTACATTACTTATTCCTATGTACCTATTATGCGACTGTTGCTGTCTTTATGTTCATTAATGCTTTCATCGCTTTCATTCAACTGCACTGGGAGTGAGCGCATGGAAGAGTAACTTATTCGCTCAATTCGTCCGGCAGCATATTTCCCAAAATGACTCCTGCGATCCTTTTCTTCACACTTTGACATACTCTCTTGATCTTTATCTGCATTCAATGTCGGGAATAATTGAATGATATTGTGAATTACTTACTGGTTATCATATTACGATCAGCCGAGTCAGGGCGGGAAGCGGGACCGGTCCGCTGACTACTCTTTTGGAGTGCCATCATCCCAGCCGATCATGCATAAAATCCGAGGTCGCTACGAATTCGGCGTTTACCTTCAAGTTTGCCCCCATCCTTCATGATGCTCAAGGGCCTTCGTAAAATCATTCGACCCCGAGGCCCCCAAACACAACTCCCACAAGAGTCCCCACAAGAGTCCGACCAACCACTCTCCTTGATTCTGAGAAAGTACGAGGTCTCTCCGGAACGGGGTCATGCGAGTCATCCCTCACCTCCCTCAATTTGGACAATTCCACTACCACCAGATTTATTATTCTTTATCATAGACCACCATTTTGTTGGCGACCAACCGACTTTGAGAGCTCTCTCTAATACCTGTTGCGTTTTGACCACTTACTGTCGCCGCCTCATCTACCGCTCGGTTGCCATAGGTCATCGCGATAGAGGCCCCCTCTCCACAAAGAAGAAACCTGCAATAGCTTTCGCTGAACTACTCCGAGAGTCCCCAGGAATCGTGGAATACATTGAAGACCTTCAGATTCTCGACGGTGGAGGCAGGATGTTCGAAGGCTCGCGTCCCATAACGGAGGAAGAGCAAAGTCTCTGTTTCATCTTGACACGACCTATGAAAAATTTGAAGCGTTTGGAGCTCATGCTCAACGTTGTCTGGACTTTGATCCCTCCGCCATTACAAGAGGCGCTTGGCACTGCCTTCCGGCTTCCAAGCATATGCACCTTAGCCATTGACAAACTTCGTTTCCCTGTGAACCTTCTTGATATTTTTCAAGATTTGGGGCACATTGAGTTCTTTGGTGAAGCGGCGGCGCCCATCATGGTTACTACTACCCTACCTCACGCGACTCGGTCAGTCAAGCCAGAGACATTCACGTTGACGGACTGGACTGGCGTCAACGTCAAGTATCTCTTTTCTTCCAACTCTCCACTGCGCCTGTCTCGCTTACAGTGTCTTCGATTTCGGGGGTGCGGATCGGCAATAAGTGACCACCTTCAACTTTGCACATCCTTAACAGTTTTGAAGCTTTTCTTGACCGGTGCTTTTTTCCTAATGTCACTGGCCTTGAACTTGTGGCTGATTTGCCTGCTCACAGATTTCCACCCTCAAAATTTGACTGCTTTACGTTCTCTCACGTTTCTGACATTAAGTCAAGACCTTACAATTCCGTTGTGGGTGAAGAGGACCAAACAATTTCAGTGGATGCTCTCTACATTGGCGACCTGTAGTCGACCGAATGCTATTGAAGGCATTCGCATCATTCTCCAAACTCCCTACCTGGCCCAACGCGAAGAATCCGATTGGTCAGGGCTTGACGCTTTACTCACGGCACCTGGCGGCTGGCCGCGCCTGAAATGCCTCGAAGTTGTTTCTCTCACTGCGGAGTCAGAGATGAAATGGTCGGGGGCTAATCACAAGATTTCACCTCCCCTTTTGCCCCTTCTAATCCGAGGTGGAGTAGAGGTGTCGTCCCTTTGCGTGTACCAGTCCCGAACAGGATTTGGGGATCACTGGTTATCGTAAGTCCTTATATGTAACTTCCTGTTGTCGAATTTAATTGTTTTCCGTCCGCTCAGCTTATGATGAAATCGTCATAGAAACAGGTAAAGATTTATTTCGCCAAAGCCTTAAGATTTACTCATTCTCCTCATTCATCCCAGCAGCTGAAGCGGTCTTGAGATCGCAAGCGTACTGAGCCATCCCAACGCACAAGCATGCGATGCAAAGCCACCAATATTTTCCGTTCTTCCTGTCAACCTTCATCATGTACTTGATTGGAATATTCCACATCAAATAATATCCTAATCTCTTTCGAAAGATCCTCCTGCCGTCCCATAGCCCATCGCGTCCGAGGCCTTTCTCATCCTTACTGGCTCGACTCCCCAGCGAGTCCCAAAGTGCTCTCCTTGTAGTGTTGCGATCCGACTTTCGCAAAATGGCCATTGATCGTCCGATGCAGCAGCCATCAGTTCCGTGGCCAGTCCAAACATGGACCTCCTTACCTAGTTGGAAGCTTTTCTTGCCAGCTCCTGTTGTCTCTTTGGCGCAGACGCACTCCAACGCGAACGGTTGACTGGCAGCCCATCAGGACGTCAAGTTCGCCTTGGAGTTCTTGTGAGTTGCCAAATGTCTCCATCCATCGTCGAGAACATGTTCTTACCAGTTTCTATAGTGTATCCTTTCATCGCCGCTGCTTGGTAGTTTGCGTGTCTTCTTTTCCGCACGACGATTTGGATGAAAACGAAGAGGCGGCTTTTCAATGATTGAGCAGCCAGTGCGCTCCTGGTTCTCCGCACCCACCTCTCACTGGCATCGACAATCCCGTTGTGGTTGAGGAACTGACTTTGGGGAACCAAGTGGACGTCCTTTGTACCGTTGTGGACCCCTATGTTCACTGAAGCGAAGGCAAAAGGGATTTTGGGCGCCCCGTCATGCAACCGTCATGAGGACAACCAACTTGACGATGAGACGCTATCCATTGTCCTGGAGATGTGCCCATCGACAGCCTCCTCCATGCGTCTTAGTATCGATTTTGTACCCCGGATTGAGGCTGTACGTTGACGTGAAAATGACCTTCGTGTTGTCCTCCTGGGCAATTGTCACGATCTGTCATCATCGCCATCTATGAGCCTCGATCGATTCTTCTCTTGGCTGCGATATTGCCCTATGAAGGCGCTTTCAAACTTCAAATCGTGTGCCCAAACATCGTTTGAGCCGGTGGAACTCCGGAACTGGTCCATCCATGCATCGTTGTCTCAGAACTGCAGCTAGATCATCGCGAAGGTCGAAAAAGATATGCTAATGTACATCATGTGGTTGTCAAATCGAAAAGTTCAGTATTTGTCTATTCAAAATGCATTCCAACAAATGGCGATCCCCTTCCAACCAACCAGCCCAAGATCTCAACCCTCCTTAACAACTTCCCGAACAGCCTCCGCAAAGATCTGACACCCCTTGGCCAAATCCGCCTTGCTCACATTCAAAGGAGGGATGAACCTGATGACCTGATACACCGAGGTCGTGAGGATCAGCATCCCCTTCTCAATGCAACTGGCAGCTACGCGGGACGCCATATTCGCGGGCGTGCTGGCGTTGTAAGCCCCTGGTCCCGGTTCCGAGATCGATTCCGTTGGGGAGACAGGGGAAGAGTTAGTAGGAGACGAGGGCCGCGGAGGAGAAGCGAACTCGACTCCGACCATGAGTCCTCGCCCGCGTACGTCGAGGATGTGTGGTCGGAGATTTGGGTCGTACTTCAGCGCATTGAGCGCTGAGAAGAGCTCTGTGGATCTGCAAGGTAGAGAGTAATCAATCTCTGATGGAAGAGGAAGAGAGGGTGGGCATACCGAGCCTGAACGTTAGCCAAGATGTTCTCTTCTCTGAAGACATCAGCAACAGCAACTGCTGCAGCGCATGACACAGCATTGCCCGCGTATGTTCCTCCCTAAGTTGGAAAGTCAATCAAAGCTTTAGTAAGGAAGTCACTAAGAACCGACCATGGAGCCAGGCTTGAGTTTATCCGTCACCTCCTTCCTCGAGATAACACCACTGAGCGGGAACCCATTCGCCAGTCCCTTCGCAGTGACCAAAATATCTGGCCGTACCCCACTCTCCTCAATAGCAAAGTAGTTCCCAGTCCTCCCGAATCCACTTTGCACTTCGTCCACAATCAACATGATCCCATGCTTATCACATCGTTCCCTCAACCCCTGAAGGAATTCAGAAGGTGCGGGCACGTAGCCACCTTCGCCTAGAACGGGCTCGATGATGATGGCAGCAGTATCTGAGGGCGCAGTTTGTTGCGAGAGGAGTAAGTCCAGCTGGTAGAGCGCGTGTTGTGTTAGCGTATGGGTGGATGTCAATGGCTGGAACCCGGATTGGTGCCAGTATGGGAATGGCATGGTGAATACCCCTGGCTGTATCGGAGAGATGGATTAGGCGGGGAGTGTAGGATGAAACCAGGGGACAGACCATGAGAGGTGCGAAACCTTGAGAGTACACGGTTTTACTCTTTGTCAGTGCCATGGCTCCGAAGGTGCGGCCATGGTAGGCGCCTGTGTACCGACTTCTTTAGAATGAATGTACGGAGGATAGTTATTCAAGGACAGACCCTGCACGCAAATGATATTCTGCTTTCCCGTGAATACACGAGCCATCTTGACAGCGGCCTCTACCGCCTCCGAGCCGGAGTTCCAGAAGAAAAACGAGTCCAAGGATGGGTCCGGCATGATTGGGAGTAGGCGCTCGATTAGCCGGAGATATGGTTCATGCAGGGAGATACTGCACTAAGGAGGAATTGTCAATTTGGGTCGTAATAGTGTACCTGGCCTAGTATGTTGCTTACTTGGGAATGAACAAGTTTGAGGCATTGCTCGGCTGCTGCTTGGCTAACACGAGGGTTAACATGGCCTACGAAAGGGAGATTAATAGACGTAAGGGTGATAACATTCCAGAGCAAGGTGGGAGTGGTGGCGTATTCCGAAATTGAAACATGGCATCCTCAATCTTTCCGGAATGGGTGATGATAGCGCCCATCTCGCTGGTAATCAAGAACGTCCACGTCCGTTTAAGATCCGCAGCGGGGCATTCGAGGAAGAGACCGACACACATGTGTCCAAGAAAACGCCAACAGAAGAACCATTTCAAATCCCATAACGGTCGGATCTCCTCGACACCGTGAACGCCACCGTCCTCGCCTCATAACAGCTGACTGCACTCACCCAGACTAGTGACTCCAATGCCACATGTGAAGTCCAACAATCTCTGACCATCCTCGTACACGACATACGAGCCCTCCCCTTTGGCCATGATCCCGCCTTTGATGCGACCGAGCCCCTTCGTGACATGGTGAACGCCAAACGCCTCCAACTTGTCTGAGCTCATTGGCTCGAAAGGTGGAGTGCTCGATGAAGACATGGATCTCGTTAGAGGCACATCGAACCTCGTGCAAGTGGTTCCGCTGCTACTGCCAGTGAGCCTGTGCACACACCGTCAGCATGGAAACACGACGCTACAACATCGAGCACCGACCTTACTGTGGCACAACGTGATGATAGTCGAGCAGCAGTTGACCCAGACGTGATCCTGGCTCTGAGCATTGCGTGTTTGAGAACAAATGTGCAAGTGTGGGATGGAGAATGAAATGGTAAGATGAACGTAATCGGAGACAGGCTTTATGTGAAAGCCGGTCGGAGGGGTGAGAAGATGACGATATGCAACCCAAATGCAAACCCCACATAGCGATTGATCAGGGCAACGCGACAACTCAAGGAACCCTTCGGGATGAGACCTGTATGCAACAGAAGGAGAGATTCGGAATCCCCTTTCCGAAAATCTTAAGACAGACGTGAATGATGACTATTACTTCACTACTATGATCTGAACGATGAAGCTCGCACTAGTCAAGCACCTTTGCTTGAAAATAAGGAATATGCACGGAAAGGCTTAAGCGCTTTAGATTGCAGGTTTAACAAGGCCGGAACATAGGTGGAAGGCAAGGGGGCCTGTGGGACTCTCGAACGTTCGTGAAACCAATGAACTAATGACGCAGTTGGGGGGCACAAGGCTGGTCCAATATGAGCGCTTGATCAAATGCCGTAAGGCTAAAACAATCACACAGGCAGTTGAACTCACCGCAAATGATTGCGCTCGTCAAGCGCTGGTGCAATTTAAGCTTGAGGCGGTTTTATGGATGACAATCCAGCACATCTTTGGGACTCCATGAGGCGCCCAAGATTCTAGTCACAGTACCAGACTTCGTGGTCTAAACATTGATCACTGGGCCTATTGAGATTTCTATCGCTTGCAAACGGATTGGCAGGAGATCCGAGGGTCGGCGGAGTAAAAGGCTAGTGGAATATTACGCCCTGGTACGACCAATCAGTGGGATGGGGGCAAACACTGCCACAAGAGGGGCTGACGCTGCTGAGGCAAAAGGTCCCGGATAGGTGAATTCTGGAGAGGCCTATGGAAATTAGAGTTTCACAACAATAGCGAGCAAGCGTTGAGGCACTCGCCATCTTCAGTCTTCTCCCCCAGCCAGCACAATCGTGTTTGTTGATATCTCGAGATTCGACAGCGGTCTAGCATGGGGGTGGCGATCGATTCCGAGAACGGTCAACGAAGACCCATCGTAAGCTTCATTGGCTGATAGATGGATTGCCGGGAACACACAGGCATTTAGGAAGAAGACACACATCTTTCACATATCCAGTCCCGAAGCAAGTTCGATTGGGTCCCACGCATTACCAGTTTGTTGGTCTGTGGCTGGCATTGATCCTTTTGATTAGCCAGCAACGGCCGTTTTGTTGCTTCCCGGAGTAAATTCTGGAGGCTGTAGCATTAGTTTCAACCCGAGGCACGATATTGATTTGTATAAAATCGTTAAGGCCGGTGCGCAGACAAAGCTAGAAGGTTCAGGTCCAGTTCTAAGACCGCCAAGTAGGGACTTTGAATGGCTCTTCGCTATAGCAGATAGATCTCAGTGAGTACTTGAAAGTTGAGTTGCAGCGGTAGAGAATTTTGTTATGGAACGCGCTCTGCCACCCAACAAATCCCGGAACAGTGAACAGTGCTCTGGCGCTGCTGAGATATACCCCAAATTTAACGGTCCGGACTTTGTCGTCGTTGACACGATTTGCTAGAGAATATCCGGAGTCGTAAGTCTGTGGACCTCCAGCCCAGTCCAAATGATGTTAACGCTTGTGATTTCTTTGGTACGAAGTCGACCGACTCAGAAGTGTACTAGAAATGCGTAGGAAAGAGGCATTTCGCGCTTGAGAACCTCATAAGCAGGCCTCAGGATGAAACCGTCGACCTCGAAGGCGATTGTGATGATTCTGAAAGTGCAATGGCAAGCTGTTCGGAGTTAATTTGATACTAATTATCAGCTCCGACGTATCTCCGACACCATCGATCCCAAGCTTGATTCTGTCTTCAGAATTTCAACGTTGCCTCCAATTCATAGCTTCAAGTTGGCAACCTGTCCTCTCGTACGCATTCTTTCGCTTCTTGCTATCTCAAAATGCCCAAGGTGTGTAAGATTAGCTATACGAAGATAACGTAGACTCAGTGTTTGCGCAGGTAAGCCAAACGACTATAGATTCACCTATACGAAGATAACGTAGACTACGGGTGAATCAGTAAAGTGAAATAGAAAGTAAGTAAAAGATATTCACCTCAGTGTTTGCGCAGGTAAGCCAAACGACTGAGGTGGAAGTACGTAGAGTCCAGTATTTATGTTCTACGGAGTAACTAAAGGCACGCATTACATTTGGACGCGTGCAAGGAACGTATCATGAGTGATGAAGAATATGAAATATAAAGGAACATGTGAGTAAGGGGAAAAGAATGTAAGCAAGGGAATTTATCCAAGGATATGGAGACGGCGAGGACGTCGTCACCTTGATTATTCCAACACTCCCCCTCAAGGGACGGAAAGTCCGAGCTGAGACGCGAAATGTTTGACTTTCGCAGACGGAAGGGCTTTGGTGAGCGTGTCGGCGACCATGTCGTCTGTAGGGCAGTAGATGAGCCGAATAGAACCGTTTTCGATGACATATCGAATGAAGTGGAAGCGGATATCGATGTGCTTGGTGCGAGCGTGGTACTGGTGGTCTTTGGCGAGTGCGATGGCGGATTGATTGTCCGAGAAGAGTGTGGTGGGGTCGAGCTTCCCAGGGAAAAGTTGGGAAAGGAGGGACCTAATCCAAAGTCCTTCCTTTGCAGCATGAGTGACAGCGACGTACTCGCTCTCCGTGGTAGAGAGGGAAACGATCTCCTGACGTTTAGCACTCCAAGAAACAGCGCCGCCGTGAAGCATAAAAGCGTACCCAGAGATAGCGTGCCTATCCTCTGCCATGCTCCCATCTGCATCCGCATACCCAACCAAATTATCCTTCACCGCTCCATATGACAACCACAGATCCGCCGTGCCCTTCAAATAGCGAAAGATTCGCTTGACGGCGTCCCAATGCGCGAGACCGGGATTCTTCGAGAACCGAGAGACAGTCTGAACTGCAAACGAAATGTCAGGACGAGTGCCGAGGGAGGCATACATAAGGGAGCCGACTGCTTCCAAATAAGGGACGTCGCGCATCTTGGCAATTTCGAGCGTAGTGGCTGGAGCCTGGGAGGTGGAAAGACGGGTGCTGGTCTCCATGGGCGTCGATACCGGCTTCAAATCTTGAAAGTTGTATCGGGCAACGATGGAGTCGATATACGAGCGTTGGGACAGGTGGATGGTACGGCGTTCACGGTCGCGTTTGATCTCGATGCCGAGGAGCCAGTGAAGCTCCCCAAGGTCGGTTATCTCCACATATTCGGCGATCTGACGCTTGAAGGCAACGATGAGGGTAAGCGTGGACGCGGCGATGGTGCAGTCGTCGACATGAACGACGACGATTATGGTAGCGTGACCATCGTGACCACCGTGACGATAGAACACGGCCTGATCAACATCGCTTCTGACAAACGCCAAACGCTTCACCAGAATCTCCACGAGCTTCTGGTACCAACGACGACCCGACTGCTTCAAGCCGTAGAGTGTCTTCAGAAGATGGCAGACCTTCCCGGAGGAGTTGGGTGCAGGATAGCCGGGGGGCTGTTTCATGTAGATGCTTTCGTCCTTGGTGAGTTCTCCATTGAGATATGCACCTTTGATGTCAATCTGATGCAGCTCGAAATCCAGCTTGGCCGCCATTGCAAGAACAGTCCGAATCGACGCCAGCTTCGCAACCGGCGCAAAAGTGTCAAAATAATCAACACCTGGCACTTGCGAGAACCCCTGGGCAACCAAACGCGCTTTGAAGCGTACGACGTGCCCACCAGCATCCTTCTTCACGCGGAAAACCCATTTTGACCCAACTAGGTTTGCACCAGCAGGGAGATCCACGAGCTCCCATGTACCAGCATCCGCCAACGTCTCCAGTTCCTCGAAAATTGCTTTCTCCCAAAACAACCAATCCGCACCACGTTTTGCTTCAGCAAGGCTACGGGGTTCCAAACCCTCAGCCTCACTCATTTCTGCCACCATGGCATGCTCAACGAGGTCGACAGCCATCAACACATCTGGGGTTTCCTCCCCCTCAGGTTCCTCAACAACGACAGTCGGCACTTGAACACCAGGTGCGACAAGGGGATCAGATGGGCGAGAGGAGCTCACAGCGCGCCCGGAAAGTATTTCGAGCACGCGTTGACTGGGTTTTCGAGTACGCCTCGCACGGGGTTCATTCTCCTCAGGTTCGCTTTCAGCAGGGGTTTCAGCAGGGGTTGAGGGTCCATCAATAGGCAGGGTAGGAGCTGTGGCGGTCTGGGGAATGGTGGGTGAAACAGTGGTAAGTCCAGTTGTCGTTTCGACAAACTCCCAATCCTCCCCCTCGAGACGAGCAACTGACGCGCTAGTAGGATCAAAATAAACATTGCGCTCAACCGACACCGTCTTCGTATCCGGCCAATAGACGCGAACGCCCTTGCTCTCGTCATCTACACCAACCCAACGGCCCTCGCGGACACGGCCACCAAGCTTGCTCCCCTTCTCAACACGAACCCAACACTTTTCACCCCACTCACGCACGCCACTCAAATCAGGCTTCACGCCAAGAGCCGCCTCGTAGGGTGTCTTGCCCTCGACGGCCTTCGTCAATGTGCGATTCATCAACCAAACAACGTGGCGCGCCGCCTCTCCCCACAAATATTTGGGAAGTCCACTAGCGTGCAGGAGGGCTCGAATGCGTTCAACGATAGTGCGATTACGTCGTTCCGCAACACCATTGTGCTGAGGGGTATGGTGAACGGTGAGTTTCTGCTTTGTACCTTTTGACTTTAAATGAACTGTAAATTCTTTCCCCAGGTATTCTCCCCCTCGATCTGAGTGAAGAATACGAACCGGCGCTTCGAGCTGGTTTATGGACCAAGCCTCGAACTCCTTGTAGGCCTCAAAAGCCTCATCCTTCGTGCGAAGAAGGTACAGATGGGTAAGTCGGGTGTAGTCGTCGACGAACGTTATGTAGTAACGTCGTCCGCCTTTTGTCTGAACAGGAGCCGGTCCCCAGAGGTCAGAGTGGACCTCTTCGCCAAATCTCTTGGCGCGCTCGCCCTCGCGAGCCTTTGGGACTGACTTTCTCGTAGCCTTAGCGTAGACACACGACTCGCAGAAAATTTCTGCATCGGCCGTAGAAACGAGACGAACACCTGTAACAAAACCCTGAGTGACCAGCTTTTTCGCAATGCCTGGGGAGATGTGGCCCATTCGACGATGGAGCTGCTCCAAGGTAATAGCTTCCTCTGCTGCGTTTGCAGATTCCCCCTCATGTACAACTTTATACAGGCCTCGGCTCGACTTGGGGATGGAACCTAGTTCCTCCCCATCAGGACCTCGAACAACGCACTTGCCACCTCCAAAAGTGGCCGTAAAACCATTGTCGTCGAGTCGTCCAACAGACACAAGGGTGTATCCAACCTCAGGGGAATAGAGAACTTCCGTAAGGCGCAGCTGCGAGATGTCGGCACCATTAGGTATGTCAATCACCATCTCGCCCTTGCCAACAGCCTGAAAATCTTGCTTGTTGGCAGCTCGGAAAGGCTTCGGCGGAATCTCAACAAAATTTTCGAGATCATCTCGGTACGGCGAAATGTGGGACGTGCAACCCGAATCATAAACTTCGGTACGTGAGATGTTGCATGTGTTGCTACTGGCACTGACAAATGCCGCAACGTGTTCAGGGGTGCCAGGGTCCTCCAGCGCAAACGGCGCATCAACAGCTGGCGCGGGATCTTCGAATAAATCGTCAAAATCCCAGTTGCTCCCTTCAGAACACTCTCCAACGCTTGTCCCTTCATCTGCTGCCTCAGAAAACCAGTCGCTATCAGTAACGGCGCCACTCTCAGGCTCGTCATCCGAATCAGAGTCCGACACATCCTTGAGGTCAGGCATGCTGTCTGAATCAGAGTCCGACACAGCCTGGAGGTCAGGCATGCTGTCATCTGACTCATAGTCAGTGACGGCCACGGCAGCAAAAGCCCCCTCGCATTCGGAGTCCGAGTTCACGCCAACAGCAGCATTGGCAGAGCCGCTTTTTGGTGAGTCTTTCGATTTCTTTCCGTCCTTCGCTTTGTTGGGGCATTTATCCCTAAAATGCCCTTCCCCTCCACAGCCCCAGCAGGTACCACGAGGATATTTGTGGTTACGGCCCCCAGCTTTCCCGCCCTTTGACGAAGACGCAGACGCAGTCATAGCTTCATCGCGATCATCGTCCTTGGGAGACTTCCCATTGGAACGACGTGACCGCTGAATTTTCTGCCGTTCGTACTCCTCAGAGATGAGGGAGATGAGCACGTCGGGATCGATGGTCTTCGTTGTGTGGAAGAGCTTGGCGGCGGCGAGCTGGTTTGAGGCAAAGTTGGAAAGGGACACAGGGAGGGATGAAATGATGGTAGAAAGGTAATCTTTGGTGTCGATCTCGACGCCAACCGTTGCTAACTCCTCGCGCTTCACACGTAGGGAATCCAGGAACTCTCGGACATTGCCCTTCTCAGGGCACTTCATGTCCAAGAAGCGCGCGCGAAGCTCTGTTTGCGCAAACGCGCCTTTCTGGGTAAATTCCGTGGTAATTGCTTCCCAGCGTTCCTTAACTGACGTCTTGTTTCGAACACGCATCAGGGCAGAATCCGGCAATTTCTGGGTGAGCAGGGACCTGGCCGACCGCTCGTCCTTGTCCCATTTCTCGATAGCGGCGAGTTCCTCAGTAGTGGGTGCAGAGGGATTTGCGGCAGTGGGGCGTGGGGTGGTACCAGAGAAGTGACCCCAGAACCCTTTAGGCTGGACAGCGTCTTCGAAACGGAGGGAAAATACAGCCCAGTTGAGGCCAGTAGTATCGAGCTTTGGAACACTTGACGGGAGGATATCGTTGAGCGAAGCACTGGTGACGGACATAGTAGCAGCGTGCAAGGGGTACACAATAAAAATAGGCAGGGTGCGCGGGGCCCAATAACCTGTAAGATTAGCTATACGAAGATAACGTAGACTCAGTGTTTGCGCAGGTAAGCCAAACGACTATAGATTCACCTATACGAAGATAACGTAGACTACGGGTGAATCAGTAAAGTGAAATAGAAAGTAAGTAAAAGATATTCACCTCAGTGTTTGCGCAGGTAAGCCAAACGACTGAGGTGGAAGTACGTAGAGTCCAGTATTTATGTTCTACGGAGTAACTAAAGGCACGCATTACATTTGGACGCGTGCAAGGAACGTATCACGAGTGATGAAGAATATGAAATATAAAGGAACATGTGAGTAAGGGGAAAAGAATGTAAGCAAGGGAATTTATCCGAGGATATGGAGACGGCGAGGACGTCGTCACCTTGATTATTCCAACAAGGTGACCAAGGTCGTCGGGATCAACCTCTTGCTGGTATCGGCCCTGGAGACAGAAAACAAGTGGACCCACAAATTAAAGTTGCGGCACCAACAGCCCTCTGGCAATGGACAATAAAAAAACTGTCGACCAGCTGACAAGTGTCAAGACGGACGAAGCCACTGTCCTCCCATTTCTTGACTCCCATCTACATACATGACGACCACAACCGAACGCTATTGTCCCAATCGGATGTTCAGTTCTTGTCCCTGTTCTTACTGTCACTAAGTCTGTGTGTGCTTTGAAAGAACCAATTCCAAGTGTTGTTTCGTTGCTTTGCCTCTCTACCGTCTACGTGACAACCAAGCTTTACAGGACCCACTTGTTCTTCCTTGCGCTAGTTTCGACTTCTATAAGAACACCCAGGTTCACAACCACTACAACTCATTTTCTGTCTTCTTACCGACATCTCTACGTGACATAAAACCCCTGATCTCACATCCCTCGACCTGACTCTATCAGGTTTCGTTCTCCAGGCCCTGTCACAAAATCTGCGGTAGAAAAGCAGGGCTATATATAATCGATACGTCGGTCGTCTCACATCCTCAGTGCTCAACACCAACCCTTTCCTCATTCGACCACCTCCTCGAATCATGCCGCATTATAGGCAAAACGGCAACATTCACGGTGTCCCATCACGACGACAATTCAAACCTGTTCTCGAAAGTTGTTCTCGGGACGAGCGTTGTATCCCAAGCCCTTCATCGGGTTCAAACCAGAAGCAAATGGTTGACCACCACCCCTCTCAATCTTCGGATTCTTCCCTATTAAAGAGCTTCCCGCTCGCCCCGCGGATGGGCTGTATTCCATTGCCCCCATGTCCACTCCTGCCTCTCGATGATTTCGAGATAGTCAATTTTAAATCCTCATGTGAATCCTCATCCTTCGCACCCATGGATGTCGACGACGGTAGCTCGTCACCCCAGCTACATCCGGCAATGGAAATTGATTACGATGACTGGAATGCACCCCTGCTAGATTGTCGGTGCATCCTCTCGACGCTCGAGGACATCTCTGACCCTTTCAAATGTTGAGGGCACAAGCTGATTGACGGAGTTATGGACCAGATTACAAAAGGAACTTGAAAGCGACAGCCCACCGGTTTCAATTAATACTAAAGCAGGAGTATTGTACTAATTAAGCATCAACTTGAATTTATTTGTCGATTGTGTAGTTCCGTTTCGCTCTTGAATAATTTCAACGAAAAGCGCGTTCACCACGGGCCGATACGATATGTAATTACTAGGTTAATGTGAGTCACGGCAAGGCTGAACCGCGGTTTTGGGACCATCGACGTCACGACGGTGATACAAGCAAAGTGAGCAATGATGAGGAGGTTGGAACGTAGCGAGGCTCAAGTAACGCATGTCGCTGGTTTCAAAAGTGTTGGTGATGAACTTGTTGAGCGGACTGTTGTTGAAACGTTGAAGCCTGACTCGAATATTACAAGGCCAACTTGTAGCTGGGTTCGATGACGGGTTTCCGGGTGGTCCTTCCAAGTCCGTTCCCTTATGTACTCACTGGCAAACAACACCAATATCTACCACAACAACACCAATTACTACTACTCGTTCTCAAACAACTACCACAACGTTCCTGATCTCCTTCTACATAACACTGAACTGTGTTAGGCTTGAGGCTACGTGAGTATGTATTTTGATCAAAATCTTGACTGACCCCTTTTGTATTTAAAGGATTCTATGAGACGGTCTCAGCTGGGAGATATCATTGTTGCACTCTTCAGAAGATATGTCAAATAACAATCAGCAAGCGAGAACGGCGAGGTAAGCTCGAAGCTGACCTGGCGGCGCAACACTTTGAGACGTGGCTGACTCGCACGTTGTTATCCAGACAAGATCCCTCTGTTGCAACTAATGCCGGCTCTACCTTTCTTGATCTATCAGGAGTGAATCTCTTCGATAATTTCGAAACACACCAACCTACTTCTATCAATCACCTTTCTGCGGAAATTCTTGCCGAGATTTTTCTTCTTTGTCGAGAAGGCGTAGTCCGCAGGTTTGATTTTCCCGTGAGGCCAAGGCGTCGGGAAGCACCTCTGTTGCTTTGTCAAATTTGTCGCGATTGGAGAGAGGTGGCTTTGTCACTACCCTTCTTGTGGAATTCATTGGCTGCCAGTGGTCTTGGACCTTTCATCCCACATCCTGCACTCATCGAACTCTGACTATCCCGTTCTACCGGTCAGCCCCTCTCCCTGCACTTTGCACTGTCGCTCTCAAACGCCAGTCGTAATGATCATTCTCATGCATCCAAAATATTTGGATTATTCTCAAAGGAAATGCACCGATGGCGCACAATATCTTTAATCTTGAACCAAAATCTTATTCGACAATTCGTGGTTGCAGTTGACTCAAAGGCGCGGAACTTGGAGGAGCTAGATTTGGTTTTTGATAGGAAAGTTTCGGCGCGAGAGGCAGCAAAAGTTTCCTCCCTCCTCCCACTCTTCTCCAATCTTCGCAAGCTGTCATGGCTCGGAGATTTACCAGCAAAGTCCTTGCATGACATACCGTTCCGTCAGCTCACACATATTTATATGGAGTTGTTTATCTACGGGGGGGATGTGGCGGAATGCCTTTCACATTGTACAAGTGCGCTGGAGATTTACTGGAAGGGTGTGACATGCGCGCAGCGGTACAAGACCTTTGAAAAGGGAACTCAAGCCGCTCTGCTTAGCCTCCAGTCGCTGTCTCTACTGGGGAATGGGGATCTTGCCCTTATTTTAAGTCGGCTTACGCTGCCCTCTTTAAAAGACCTGCATCTACGCACAGGCAACTTAGGTAGCACGCGGCGTGACCATCGCTTGCTTGAGGACTTTTTGAACAGGTCTTTTTGCCCCTTGAACAACTTCACCTTTTATGACGGCAGTCTTAACCAGGAAAGCATTTGTGATTACTTGGCTATACCGTTCCTCGAGTCGATTCCTTCCATCAAGATTTTTTACAGAAATGCAGAGACTCTTCTTGGAGATCTGAAGGATCCCCGCTACCTGTCTACTTTTGAGCGACTTCAAGTTATATACCCCTCCACTGCCTGCCCTGCTTTTACTTGGAAATAATGATCATGTGTCCAGTGGATTGATTAGTAAATTCAAATCATAGTTTCGACGTATTCATTCATTCTCATCATTAATCTGTATTTATTGATATCCCGGCTCGGAGTCAGCCTTGACACAAGGGGGTTCAGGGATCTGAATGCCGGACCGGGGGTTGGGTAGGTAGGTCGGCCATAGGCCGAAAAAAAGATTTTTGGAACCCTCTATGAGATAGTCCTAAATTGGTTTTCCAAGGTGATTTACAGTATTCCTGCATCTAAAATATCATTGTATAGTAAATTATCTTGACTGGATATTATATTTCCTTATATCTGGCCCAATTTCTGGCTTCAAAATTGTTTTTCACAGTTGACAGCTAACGAAGTATCAATAGACCAAATTTCAAAACGCTCCGCTTAGTGATTTTGTTTACTTGTGGAGCCTCAGGGTATGTGCAAATAACCTTACTGGGAATCTATGACTATATATGCAACAAGTGAGAAGGGGCGGGAAGGCAATGCCCGCCAAATGGCTGGCCGTAGTTGTTTGGTCAGCTCCAAAAGTAAATAAAATCACTAAGCAGAGTGTTTTGGAATATGGTCTATCAATACCTCGTTAGCTGGAATCTTCATCAAATTTTTGTCTAATGTTTTAATCAACCACAATTTACTGACAAAACAGTTAGAGACCAGTTCTTGACACCAATGGGTATGCTGTGTGACCTAATTTCAAACTTGAATCATCTTGATGCTTTCAACACATCAGACACTCTAAATGGATGCCTGTGCAGTGTGGTATTGCACTCAGGATACAATGGCTTGGTAAAATGTAGAAGGGTTGGATGTGAGACTCAACAGGTGAGTATCAGTCTTGCACAAGTTAATCACTACACTCACTTATTTTTTAGTACCACCTACAATGTGTTGCATTGGAGATAGCCCCACGAAATTGGGTATGCGAAGCCTTAGAGGATCAGAGTGATCATGTTGATGATGTCATATTGCCATATATAGGCATGTGCCTGATTACGTAGGTAGGTAGGTCAAGCACACAGGGGGCCTTGCAAAAAAATTCGACCCCAGCTACTTTTTTTAAATTCTTGAACCCCCTTGCCTTGACATGACAGTTTGATGTCATGCAAACTCTTGAAGGCATTGCCAGAGAATTGGCCTTAGAAGGCTCCGACCAATAATCAGTGTATTAGGTGCAGGGATATTCAAGGGGGTGCCGGGATTTGAGTGAAGGACCGGACGTCGAAATTATTTTTAGTGGGACTGGGGCTGAACCAACCAGCCAACGTAATCAGGCACGCGTCTAATTTAGGAAATATGATGTCATCAATGTGCTGCCTTTCTCCCTTTTTGCTCCCTTCCCACCACTCGATGCCTTGCAGATGGTGCAAACCCATTTCTTGACCTCCTCGTCGAGCCTCATACATCCTAAATGAGACTAAAATGATTCTGACACATTGAGAATAGGCTGAAATGTGAGTACTTGAGTACTTGGGTACCCTTGCGTTTGCACTGAATTGCATTCTGCAGATGCATCCACCTGAAGGCCGCAGTCACACTCATAGAGAACAACGACCTAGCTCTTTCGATGCACTTGCTGCTTAGCTATCCTAGGCTGTTCGATGGGCTCATTTGACAAGCTCGAAGTGTTTGCAGCGCTGAAACTTGCTTTTCACGATCAGGGGATCTATCTACCAGTACGTCGCCACCTCTTACAATCATAGAGTCAGAAGATAATGCAGGAGTCTGATTAAAAAGTTCATTAGATGATTTGTAGGATACCTTTCCATTCATTGAAGAGCTCACCTCGGCTTCATTCAAACAAATACCTGCACATTTCAGACATTTCGTGTGCGCGTTGAGGACCCACTATGTCCTCCGGATTGTCAAGTTCAGACTCTTTGCTACTCGTCAAATTCCTCTTCATCGCTATCGGAGTCGTCGTGGGTCTCGTTTTCCGTAAAAAGGTAAATTCGAGCTTAGGCTTGGAAAAACTTGGTATCCTGCCTCATTTATCAACGTCTTATCTCATATGATAGTTAGCTTTTGGCTTCTTTGTGTGTAGATAGACTGTGGCAGACTGTGGCTAATACATTAGAAGGTATCTAAAGATCTCTGGGTCCTTTTTGCACTAAAAAATTTGGATGTCAAAAAAAAAATTAGCGGCCTGGCGGCCGAACCAACCAACCGGCCCCTGGTCCGGCATTTAAATGCCGGTACCCCCTTGGGGATATTGCTAGTTGGAAATATAAAATACCCGCAACTGACGCGGATGATTAACACGATTTTCTAGACTCGCGACCAGTCTGTTTGCAAGCTCTATGCAATGTTTATTACGATGATAGATTATGTAAGACTATACCTTACATAATATATAGACAAAAAGAGAAAAATGGCGAGCTTGCGAACAGACTGGAATACTTCGTGACCCTTTTGGGCGGAGGCGTGAGTCTGACATGCCTGCAAGTGTGTCGACGGACTTAGTCAAATTTCGTTGATTTCACTATGATTTCTCGAAACCTCTATCAGTGTCAATTAAGATCGTTTCTATTCAACTTCTATGCATAATCTAAGTTACTGCTCAGTCCTCCCCGTTCTGAACAGTTCTGTGCAATATGACTGCTTCATTTACGTCTAAGTCAAGACTCTTGCTTATGAATGTGAACCCAAAGCCTAATCGATGATCTCTAAAGGTCTGAATGCGCGAGGGTTGCATGTGTGTACCCAGCTGGCTCGAAGCTGACCTGCATCTCGACGATGATGGCAGCGCGTCTGGGCACAATTCCGAGCAGGCTGCAGCTCAAGTTCAGACGCTGAATTTTAAGCCTTTTGACACGTCGACAGGTCAAATTCTGTATTCCCTTTGTGTAGATACGAATCAGACAAGTGTTCCCAAGTACATACGGAGGAAACTCATTGCCTTTAGCTGAACACCATCATTTTGAAAGAAATTTGACGAAGTCCCGCGTCACGCTACTGTGTAAATTCTGTGACCGCCTTTGTGACTGACCAGTTATTCCAGCCGCTTTCGCTCACGAGTTAACGAGTTACGAAAGTGGATGGTCACGAGCCTAACGATTTTCGTTTTTACTGAGCGCGTCACGTGTAAACCATCTTTAGTCATGACGGTGACCTTCCGGCGAATTCCATGATCTGGTTTGTCAATCCTCTCCGTATATCGTATCGCTGAATCTTCCACAGAACTGGCCACTTTTTATGTAGCCTAGCACCCTCATTCGTCTGAATCAGTATCTAACATTTTGCAGGACAGCCTCTCAGAGTCTTCGAAGCCTCCCAATCGGCGATGAACCTGAGCTTTGCGCTTGGATGCTTGTCTCCCGTTTCCAAAGTCCGAGTGAAACCGTTACATGTCAGAACCGCCAACGGAATTGACAACTGTAACATTGGATTTTTGTTTGTGCCGACGAGTAGCCGAGTTGAAGCGAGGTGGAAATGTATGTAAAGAGGTACGAGTCTGCGTCAGCGAGACTCGCACACCAAAGCAACCCGACAACTGATGACATGATTCAGGTCAGTGTTGGCACGCGGCCTACTGTACTAATTCCGCATATGCGGGTATCGTCCAGCGTGGCGACTTTGTCAGCGTTGAATATTAAAAGGCTCGACACCTTCCTTTCGAACTCATCACCAAGACCTACATACCACTTGTGGGCCAGAAATACTTCAACTGGCTGCTTTTTTCAAACTCGAACTAATATCTAGGACATCCGATTAGGAATCGATGGACACTAGCAATGCGGGAGAGCTGAAAAAAACTCCATCTGAGAAAGAGGACGTCAAATCAGATCCGCCTTCACAGCTACCCACACCGCCAACGAGGAGCGCGTTCAAATCTATTCTTCTGGTCGTCACCATGACTTTGGGCATGATGGTTAATGTGGGTCATCCCGGGCCATTATGAGGGCGATTCAACTTACGTCTTCGATATCAGACTGCGGGAAGTACGTCCATAACCATGACCTTACCGACGATTGGTAAGGAATTCCACCTGCAAGAAAACGAGCTACAATGGCTAGTGTCCGCGTACCCCCTTAGTTCTGTAAGATCTCCTGCCATGCTCTTGACGCCCTTACTGACTGTTCCACCTTAGGGTTGCCTACTTCTTGTTTTCGGTCGAGTCGCGGACCTCTATGGGAGGAAAAAAGTTTTTCTATGTGGATCCCTTTTCCTCGCTATTTTTACCCTCGCATGCTCGTTTCAACATGGTTAGTTGCGTACGCTCTTAGACCATCTATCCTAATTTCTGACGAGTTACCCCGCCGCGAACAGATGTCATCAGTCTCGACATCATTCGCGGAATCCAGGGCATAGGCTCTGCAGCCATTGTACCCGCCTCAGTTCGTCCAAATTATTTGAAGAGATATCTCCCACATAACTGAAGTTCTTGTAGCTTGGAATCCTCGCTGACGCTTTCCCGCCATCTCGCGCACGGTCCTTGGCGTTCGCTACTTTCTCAGCGGGTGCTCCCCTCGGAGGCGTCGTCGGATCAGTCGTAGGGGGCATTCTGACACAATACACTGCGTGCGTCCATTTTCCTGCGACTTTCCAATCCCCCGCTCAATGTGGTTAATCATTTGAACAGGAAGACATGGCGCGCCCCTTTCTACTTGATGACAGGCCTCACCGTCCTCTGCTTCGTCGGCAGTTTAATCTCCATCGATCCGGACGTACCCTCATGTGACCCTGACAAGCGCATTGACTGGCTGGGCGCTTTCTCGGTCACTGCGGGGTTGGTGCTTATTGTATTCGTCCTCAGCCAGGGAGAACTAGCACCGAGGAAGTGGGCCACGCCATGTACGCATGCCTGAATTGCCATCTCCCCGTGGTTTGATCAACTTATGCGGTGTTTATACAGATATCATTGCACTTATAATATTAGGCGTTCTTCTCTTGGTATTGTTTGTCATATGGCAACAATACCTTGAAAAGGTGCAAGATGACCCCAACGCGGTGCACTCAGCACTTACACCTCCACCTTTGATTAAACCCTCGTTGTGGAAACGCGGAGAGGGGAGGTTCGCTGCTATGATGATCATTGGGTTTGTCAACTGGGCAGCATTTCTGGCTTGGATTTTCTGGGTTCAGGTATCTACTCCCCCTTTCGTCCATACTGACTTTACAAAAGGCTGATTTAATCTCTCGGATATAGCTGTACTTTCAAAACTACCTTCAATTGTCGGTTATACAATCCGTCGTCCGATTTCTCCCCATGGTAGTATCTGGCCTGCTTTGCAACACTTTCGTAGGCATCATGGCTGCACGCGTCCCCGTCATCTACCTCACTGGTGAGCGTCCGTCGTAAACCGCATTTCACATCTCACGCCGCACATTCGCAGCTATTGGTACTGGTGCTACCGCAGTCGCTTGTCTTCTCTTTGCGTTAATCAACCCCGGCGCATCATATTGGGCCTTCACGTTCCCAGCGTCGGTAATATCGGTGATGGGAGCTGACTTTGTTTTTTCCACCGGAACGTTATTTATAGCGAAAGTTTCGATGCCTCATGAGCAGAGCGTTGCCGGCGCTTTGTTCTTGACCATGAATCAGGTACAGATGAATGATCTACGCTTGGATCTTACTCACTAGTCGTGTACTTGTAGCTGGGCACTGCTCTGGGTGTGGCCACCACTACAGTCGTCTTCAATCGGGTCGACCTTCATAGACACGGAAGGGACGGAATCGTAAGCTACAAAGCAGCTCAGTGGACCGCTTTTGCGTTTGGGGTTCTTGGTACGTCGCTTGACTCCCGCCATTGTCTTGATACTGAGATATCTCTAAACCAAGGGACTCTTCTGTCCATCCTATTTTTTAGAGGGGTAGGCCCTGCTGGGTTTCGCGAACCTATAGACAAGCCAGAAACGCTGAACGGTGATGAAGAACGAACAATGACATTGGATAGTAACCAAGACATAAAAGTGAGAAGTAAAGAGGTGCCAAATTTAAATAGGTGAGTTGTGTCCTCTGATGTTATTCCTGCTGTGGATACTCAACGCGAACTCGCGTTGCCCGATACTATCAGAGTGTAATAGAATGGCGCCCAATTTTCAAACGAAGCAAATAATTCGATAGACGCGTCTCTACGACTTCGGAAAGCATTGCATGACATCTGACCATTTTTTGCGACCCCCTCTTTCAGGAGAACTTAAACCAACTACATACTTGTTCATAACGTTGTCAAATGTAGTACGAATTCGAAAATATTGCCGTGTGCCATGTCACAAAAATTTGGCCAAGGAAACAAAGTATTTGGGTGCATGAACGCGTGCGGCCTGTAACAGGGTGCACGATGGAAAGAAAGGTGTGCCACTGTGCCTGGACATTTCGTTCACGTTGTTGATAACCGGGCCGGAATTCCGTTATCTTAGCGCTATCTATATCCCACTCATCTCTAACTTCGATGCTTCATCATTTGTACCCCCACCATGCCCAATAAACCTCTCTCATCTCTCACAGCCGCGCGATACGGCAAGGCCAAAGTACGCGTCTTCCGTATCGTAAGACAAGATAAATGGCACCATATCGTTGAATACAACGTCGAGGCGTTGTTGGAGGGCGATCTCGAATCTAGGTCTGCCACGTCTCCTTCATCACACTGGACAACTGACTGACTGAACATGGATTCAAGCTATACCGAAGCTGATAACTCTGTCGTCGTGGCCACTGATTCAAGCGAGTCTTTACCTCATTAATACGCGTCATTCGCCGCTGTGTACTGACGGCTCGTCATCATTCCAGTTAAGAACATAACATATTGTACGTCCCTCCAACCACCCACCCACCACATCTGTGATCATCTTCCAACTGACTCCCCGAATTAGACCTAGCGAAAATCTCACCATACATCCTCAACCCCGAGAAATTCGCACTCCATCTAGGAACGTTCTTCGTCTCCAAATACGCACACATTCACAAGGCATTCGTGACCATCGAGCAGCTCCGATGGGCTCGGATTCCCGTTGAGAAGGGGAACTTGAAGGAACACCCACATGCGTTTTATCGAGATGGTGATGATAAGAGGGTTGTCAAGGTCGAGGTTGATGCGTCGAAGGGGAAAGATAAGTTGGTGGGGAGGGTTAGTGCAGGGATTAGTGATTTGTTAGGTGGGCTTTGGTTCTCCTTTTCTCCTCTCCTTTCCCCGCTATTAGATGAGTTAGCTTACTTACTCATTTCCGATGATCAGTCCTGAAATCTACCGGATCCAAATTCGAAGGCTTCATCCGGGACGAATACACAACCCTTGTCGAGGTGGACGACCGCATTTTCTCGACTTCTGTGGATCTGGAGTATACGTTTTCTGAGATCGCGTTGAAGGCGCCTGGGGATGCGGGGAAGCTGCAGTTTGTGGCTCCTGAACAGGTTGAGGGTGGAAGTGTGTGGGATGAGGAGGTGCCGGAGAGGGCTAGGAGGGCGACTTTGGAGGTTTTCGCGGAGGATGAGAGTGCTAGTGTTCAGGTGAGTGGGATTTTGGGAAATAGCTTTTTTGTTTGGGCGTTTACTTGTCGAAGTTTTCGGAATGGGATTGACATTGTTTTTTCGGTTCTTCCGTCGAGTTCTCTTCTCCGGTTCTTCTTTGGATCTAGTAATACTGATTCACTTCTGTGTTTATCTTCTCTGGGTCCATTATCCCATTCGTCGTTCATTTCGTCTATCGCTCTGTCATCCCAAGCTTATCACTAATTGCGTATGACCTTCCTTCGTCAGGCAACCCTCTACAAGATGGCCCAGAGGATAATCGCAGAGAACGTTCATATTCAAACTGTGACGTATACCCTTCCGAACAAGCACTACATCCCCGTCGATATGAAATACATCGGGGTAGACAATCTGACTCCGTTGAGTGTTCTCCCGTTTCTTTAGTTCTTGTTTTCTTCTGTTTTATGTCTTATCGTCGTTCTTATCGTCATGGATGACTTTGGATATGCATGTTGCGCAAGACGTTATCGTGCTTCGACGTCATCTTCTCGTCAGGGCCGATCTGCTGATGACGCTATGTCGTCGTTCTGATCTCTTTTGCGCGTCTTTATCTTTTTATGGCCAAGTTGTTTCCCTTTTTGGTCTTCTTTGTTGTTTTTTTATGTTCCACCCTTTGACTTTGACTTTCTCGGTTCCGGCTGAGTCTTCTCTGGCATAAACTCAGTGTCAGATGAGTGATCTACGCCATGTCATACTCTGTTCTACTCTGGGCGGCGCCTTCCTGTCGCCGCGGAGTGCTATTAGAGCTCATACCGTTCTCTGGGGCTTGTTTTACCTTGCGTTCTCCTCATGCTGAGGGAAAAGAAGCTCTACACGTGTCGATATCGCAGTAGGCGATTGATTTTCTCAGCATCACATCACGAGGAAGTGTTGGCTTTCCTGACACTGCTTTCCGCTGTGATGAGTGCTTTGAAACCCCTCTACATTCAACCAAGATGTTTTTCTTGTATGCTGCGACATACCTGGTGCCTTTGTTTCGTTATTCATTTTCCTTGTTCGGCTCCCAAAAGTTCCCATCGGATCTCTTTTCGGTTTGTGGGAGACCCCGAAGGATTGATGCTAACTAAGGCTTTTTTGGCGTTTCTTCGCTTCCCTCTTTTTACATGTCTTTTGTCTTTCTCTTGGCGGCGAGTTATTTGTCGCGCGTTATGGGCGGCATATATGAGACGAAAAGCTAATGTATGCGTGTCTGTGTATAGGTCGAAAGCGGAAGTTTTTACGCCGGTTGCTGCACCCAGGTGCGTCACCCTGTTTTTTGAATGAAGCGCGACTTTCGAACCCCATTTCTGGGATACTGACGTCATTCGATCGTTTAGTGGGTTGATCTCCGCCACCATCTCTCGCAAACAGGGGTAAAGAGGGTACGTCAAGCTGGGTGGGAGTGGCGAGGATGTCTGCGTCGTCGGTGGTCAATACCTACAAAGATTTTGAAACGATGTTTTAGTTGGAGGGTACAAATGAAATGGCAGTACGTTCTGATCTAAGAACGAATGGAAGGGAATGACGGTGTTGTCAAGGGTCGTGGGAGAGTGACGTCGGTTAAGAGAGCAGAGGGATTTTTTAGGTATGTAAAGAGCTGCAACGTCGTCATTCTTTCTTCTTCTCAACACGCTACTATGGGCGGAGACCATAAATGTCCCGTTTGCCAGGCCACGTTTACTCGTCCACAACATGTTGCTCGCCACATGCGCTCCCGTAAGTCTCACCTTCGCGTCCTTTCCCTTTTTGGAGCACGGAGCTCCACAGAACACTCACTATCTTTCCCATGTAGATACGGGCGACAGGCCTTATAAATGTCAATACTGTGGGGATCAATTCGCGAGAAGGTTGGTCATAACATTTCTTCCATTCCTTGCTGACTTCTGTTCTGCTAGTGATCTGCTCTCGCGACACATAAACAAATGCCACTCCAACGAAAAACCACTCGTCAACACAGGCTCACGGCGAAAGGGCTCCACGTCCGCCTCTCGCGCGACAACATCCAAGCAAGCCTGTGACCAGTGCGTCCAATCAAGTCTTCCCTGCGATGGTAGCAATCCCTGTGGTGAGCCGCATACATTTCGCAGATTCATATCAGATCTATCGTCCCCCTTCCTGAAGCGCCTCAACTTCTTTACAGGGAAATGCGTCCACCGCAAATGCCGCTGTACCTTCGTCAAGTTTCACCGACAAACCGCGCCCGTTGGCCCCGGCCACAACCCAAAGCCGACGAATATCCCACCCACTTCCGCCGCTTCCTCATCTCGGGATCCGGTCTATCACCAAGCGATGGATGACTTTGTTCTCGGCCCCGCACCCACTTCCTCCGTCCCAACCGCCCCCATTGCTGCCGATGCTATGTATTCGCAGTCATTCAACTTCCCATCGTCCTATGCAAATTCCACGGCTTCAAGCGAGGATTACGCGAGTAAGTACCGCGCACACCAGCCCGAGCCGCTGAGGGTGCCTGGAGCTGGTACTAGCGATGGTCCAACGTTTTACGCAAGCGAAGCACTGCCCAGCTCATGGTGGAGTCAGCAGCAGCAGCGTCCTGATCAGTTCCAAGGTCCTGATTCTATACATGGTAAATCTCTATACTCCATTTGACCGCGTGTAATGTCTTTGTTGAATTTTCGTTTCGTTTTCTCCTTCCCTTGTCGCGTGATACAGATAAGGATTTAGAAGCTGACCTGGCAAACCACTTGATGAGCACGCATCGGCATCATCAACAACTCGGAATGATGCCTGTGGGATACCCAGTATCATATCAACAGCTAGTCTCCCGCGACCGACGCGGGTCGGTGGATCTGGCGAGTGGAAGCGATGGGGGGTCGTCGACCGTCCCTTCGTCTACGTCGTCGACCGCAGGAGATCAATACCAGAGTCAAATGCCATTCAATGTGCGTCCCCTTCAAGGCCAATGTCTCAAAATTCACCCATTCCTTGTCTCTGGGTAGATGAACAGCCTCACCGAAAACCGGCGGAGCGACTTTCAAGCGGCATTTGGGTCAATGTCGCTTGATGACCCAAACGTCCTCGCGGGGCTGTCAACGGACGGCCCGCCCTTCTTTTCGGGCGCCATGTTGGGCGAACAACAGTTTTCCGACACGGACGGGACGCCTATGCCCATGAAGCTGGGGAGCGATCAGTCGCACTCGGTCTCACAACAACAATTGGGCAGAAGCAGCAGCGGCGCAGTACCCACCCCCTCGAGAGAATCGGATACCCGAGAACTTCGCGAGTTTTGGAAGGCATATATGCGCACGCCGCTTACCGGTCCGGGGCCCGATGCTCATCATATTGAAGGAGGAGGAGGAGGAGGAGGAGGAGGCAGCGTAGCTGCGCACACACCCATCAGTTATCGTCGTCCTAGGGTTGCGTCGCTACCGAATAACAAGACGCCCGTGGTGGAGAAGGATCGGTTCCATGGACATCAACATCAACTACAGCAGCAGGGACAGAACACGTCAAATCAATCTTCCCTACGGACGACGCTGCGCCAGCAGGAGCTTGCTCAATCTCCTGCACATGCAGCGGCGGTCACGGAGGACCTGCGCTCATACGAAGCAGCTGTGATGGCACACAAAACGCCCATCACTTTGAACCTCCAACCTAGGTGTTTAAACCGTCGTGCAGCGGAGGGTGGGAGCAGCGCGGGGAGTAGCCCCGTCGTCGGGTGGGGAAGATTCAGCGGTGCTGGTCACCTTGCTGGGGGAGAAGGTGCTGGTCAGCCCAATTTACCAGGTGGAGACGGTCGGCTGGCGGGTGCTTTTGGCAGGCACCAGCAGCAGCAATCGTTGAGTGTGTACGACGCGAGCAGTAGTAGCGCCAGCCCAGCGTCGCACAGGTCGCCTTCTGCCGATGTGGAGAGTGGTGGTGGTGCGAGTGGTTCGGATGCGGATCAAAATACAAGCCAAGGAGGATCTGGAGTGCGGCCGTCTTTCAAGCGCGTCGCCTCACATACCCTAGAATCGGATACCGCGAAGGTGCAGAGGATGTACAGTGGTGGTGGTGGTGGTGGTGGATTGGAGGAGGCGAATTTCAATCCTATTGCTTCAAGTTCTTCGACACACGTGTGGCTAGAGCCCGATTCGTCATCGTCTACCAAAACTTCAAGTTGGCGCGAGCCTTCCCCGAATTGGCGTGATCACGCCCCAGTCGCGTCATCTTCCTCCTCCTCCAGGAACGTTAGCATGGATAGGAATCGGCCAACGACAACGATATCAATTATGAACGCCAACCCCCCGCCTAATATCAACCTGATGATGATGAGTCACCCCGATCGAGTCGTTGCGGCCAGTTTAGCGGAACGCAGGCGGATGAGGAGGATGAGCGCTCCCGCTCCTCGGGGATTTTTTGCTGCTGATGGTGTTGGAGGGGGTGATGGTGGAGGTGGTGGTGGATATTGAACTGAACTTAGAATCAAGATGGGTTTGTTTGTTTTGCACGTCTCCCCTGACTTCTATTTTTTTTTTGTTTCACCGACTGTCTTCGTACATGCCTCGCGTTTTCTCGATTCTCTAATCCTCAAATTTTACTTTATCTTCCATGAACTATGTTTTTGGAATTGACAAGAATTCTAGTTATGTAATACCTCGCAACCTTCGTTTTTGAACTTCACGCGTTCTCTACGCGATGGCTCTTATATTTTCGCGACTCGCGTCTGTATGTTGTAGCTGGTACCTGTATAGATTACTGCCTCAGCTTGTATCGATATGTATGTCTCCAATTTTTGCGAATGCTGTTGGTGTTAATGGTACCATTTCTAAAAATAACACAGCAGGCGCTTTCTTCAGAGCCGCAGCGGTACCGCACATTGACGTTTCGGTACCGAGTGCAGCATAGCCCAAGCACAGCCAGTACTGCGTGCACAGCCTGTCGAGGCCTTAAATACCTGCACTTCTTGTGCTCCGCAAGGCAAATCCTCGACCTCTAAGAAACTCTTAAGGCCTCTTTGCGAACATTCTCAAAAGTCTACGGACTTATAGCTTTAACATTCAAATCTTTGCCAACACAAAGTAGACATCTCGAGCCAAAAAGATCCACCAAAGACCCCACCCTCCCAAATCACCAAAATAATCCCCATTCACACTCTCATCATGTCCAACTTCACCACCAATGTAGAAGTCCAAAAAGCCAGACTTCCCATGGATTTTGATGGAACTCAGGAAAAATTCATAACATGGTTCAGAACCATCAACTTGTACATCAATGCCCATCCCGACATCTTCAAAGAAGACAAGGCCAAAATCAATTTGACCCTGAGTTACATGACTGAGGGGCTTGCCGACATTTGGGCAGAGCTATACACAATCACTCATACAACCACCAATGATAAAATTGAATTTGGCACCTGGAAGGACTTTGTTGAAGAGCTTAAAAAATTCTTTGACACAAAAAAAGCAAGAGAGGAAGCTCTGGCCTGTGTTACACATGAAAAGGGACAGCTGGAAGCATATATCTTGAGGTTCAATATGCTTGCCATACAAGCTGGATTCAAACTTGAGGGAGAAGAGAAATTGGCAACCAGCAAACTGCTTGGAATTTTTTTTGCCAGAATGGATGTCAGCTTGTGTTGTAAAATCATGACAAGGGTGAGCTGGGACATCTCTACATTGGCAGAAGCACAAGATGCTGCTCGGAAATTTGATGCAGCTTGTCAGAAACAGCCTCTTGCTGATTCTCCACTTTATTAATGATTCAAGATGGTCACCCTGGGTACATAAAGAATATGGATTGAGTGTGGACAAATAGAAATTTTTGATGGATCAAAGTAGTATGCTTCTGGAGCCTTTCCTTACAGACCTGGATTCTTGTTGTAGCAGTGATAGAAACTTTATGAACTAAGTAGTACTCCTTATGACTTCTACTTCAGATCACCTTAAAAGTAAAAATGTCAAAGTAAAACAATGTCACCACAATCCTCACTCTTTTTGGAAGACTATTGATCCATATCCACTAGATAAAAAGGTCCATTTTTATATGTATTCAAGTAGTGCAACTGTGCCATAAATCATTTTTCACCCTGGGTATGACTAAAATTTCCGAGAATAACAACTTTATCACAACCTTCAAAAATACTTCACCATTTTAGCAAGTTTCTGGTCAGCATTAACACAGCTATCATTGCAAAATTGGCATTAAGTACAATTTTTTTGGTTGGACTATATGACAGCTAAATGCAAAACCCTAGACATCTCTGCAAAATTCATAGTCTCCACCTTGCTTTGCACAAGTAACTGTGTTCCATGTCATCATTGTGGCCCATGCTGTTCAATGATGTATGTGGAGCCTAAAGTGTGCTCCATTATACTACAATGCTCTGTAAGTAAGTACTACAGACATTTGATGGAGTGAAGGATTGCATTGCATATGCCCAGTTTTTCTCAAAGTGATTGCTTTGTGCAAAGCAAGGAGATTTGCAGAGGTCTAGGGCTTTGCATCTAGCTGGACTTTGAGAGGAATCCATTCTCCAAAGAGGTTACAAAAACAAATTGCACCTCCAGTGGAGCCCCCCAACCCTTTATGCATCATGTTCCACACCTTGCAGTGTGCTTCCCTTCCCACAGGCCATAAACAATCACAATGGATTTGTATGTTTTTAGAGGTAAAATATGTTTATTGTATATACCTGTTAGATGAGTGGGGTCATCATGTTGACAAAGTTTTAAGACTTTTAAGACTCTTTTCAAATAAGCAAAGGAGATATGGTTGGCATTCTTATTGTTCCTCAGATACTCAGGTTGCCTATTATGTTAAATGTATACATGGTGCCCTGTTTCAGGTGAATGAGATCTGCTAGGACCCTTGAAATTCATGTCAAATCCCCATCCTATACCTGGAGGGAAAGGCCTCACGCCTTTCCATAAAAAAGTCAACAAAATTTTAAAAAATCCATGAGTCAAATGTCTAGATAAAAATTGCCTAAGCTAAGGGGAATTTAATTTAAGGCCAGATAAAAATTGAGGCAAAAATAGATACACTCCCTTTTGGAGTGCACGTGCAGTGCCTGCCATGGTTCAAATTTAATTAGATGAGAGATTGAATTGAAAAGGTGTATCAATTCACACAAGATGATCATTGTTACCCCAGCAAGATCATAAATCACTCAACTTGCATCAAGATCATGGTGGTTGAATCATTGAGGGGAAGAAGAAAATGGCCAGAATGACATTTAGGTGATGAGGAAGATCAGATAAGTATTCCTGTGTTACATTGAAATTTGAGCCTTGCCTGAACCAAAATTGATCAAATGTATACTATCCCTGAGGCAATTTCCTATGCCTCTAGAGGAATTTTTGGAAATTCTGTTTGGACTCTGGAGTGACCCAAAATCGGCAAGTTTGCTGTTCCGGGGGACGCCGAAAGAAACATAGACAAACACTCCCTCACCCGTATTATTACCTACAGAATTATCCACCTCGATGGTGTGATCGGCACTCTTCACGAACCCAGCGAGCATGTTACTTCGGGCCGTCTAACAATCGCGATGAAATTCAACAGACGGTGTTCTGATCTTCCCGAGGTCAAATAGTGTAGGATTCTATTGATTGTATCCTGAATCTTCTGTCTCGCCCCACTGTTCTGACTTACTCACACTCCTTTGTCCCCGCCTCTCATTATGCTCGCAAAGCTCATCGTCATTGCTGGTGCCGTCTGTACTATTGTCGCGTCAGCGGTTCCAACCATAGTTCAACGCGACGGATTTAAACCGATCTACCTCCCCTCAGCGTTTCTGTCTCTAGGGCTCCCTCTCTGGTCCGCAAGACGAATGCAGAGTGGCTCATCGCTGGTCTCCCTCCAAACCCGCCAACGCGACGTTCTCGCACTGGTTAGCTTTTAACACCCTTGTTTTCCTTGCCAATATAACCCAATTCTCGAACAGCCCTTGCTCGATCAGTACCATCGGGTTCCCCCACTCTGTATGCCGTTCATTGTATTTGAAACGTTATGTTCAATTCGTTCCCTCTTGTAGCACTCAAGGGTACATCAAGCTGACCGAGACAGCAACAGGGCCCGACTACGGTTTCCTTTGCAAGGTTTTGAACAGCCATGGACAGTCCGGGGCGACAACCGATCCACAACAACGGGCCGTCGTCTCTATCAACTTGGCTGACGCTGCCAAAGGACACTCCAATATTGTCGTCACCGTAGGCCATCACATCTATGACCGCAATGTGACATGTACTTACCTCTCCATCGAGAATGGCGCCTCATCCCATCCCTACTTGGGTGACATTGTTTCGCCTTACTCATCCTCGTCAAACCTTCAACGTGGAGGTTCAAAGTGAGTTGATGCTAATCTAAACCAATTTTACCTGACACACACACTCGCAGATACATGTACGTGGGTCAAACCGAGGCAAGCCCAGCCAATGCACCCGCCACCCACCTCGGCAGTAGCTACAATGACGCAATGGGACTGTCACAGGCAGTCGAGAGCGCAATTGTGAGGCAACACCTCGGCCTCCTCCAGTTTCTATGCATGCTGAGATCGTATCCTAGTGGTCCTACGATGCTGTCTCTGGAACACTTTATGCGCAATGGATCAACACCGATTACTCCCTTCCCACAACATATATCGGACTCACCGCTGACGGTAAATATCCGCGAACACATATACCTTTGTCTCCTGATCAATCGACTTATTGTAGACGTAATGGTCCTCTCCGGCGATCAGGATACGTTTGTAAGGATTTACGGGGCTGCTACGTGGCTAGTTCGTCATCTTTCTCTTCCGTCAAAAGCTTCATTCATTTGATATATTCAGACGTTAACCTTTGTTCTCCTTTGATTGATATCGATGAAGGCTTTACACATTCTTACTACTTCCTTCAAACTTTGGCTCGAAAGGAGCATTGCGTCCGTCTTCGTCAGTGAAATTGCTACGTAAGTGTTTATACCCCTTGTCAATCCCTAGAAGCCGCTGCTTGGAAATGTAAAATTTAGTTTTCAACTTGCGAACTTGCACCACTCAATTTGTCACCTGCAACCCCACCCCTGATTTTTATTCGGCCAAGGACGTTAAGGTTTTAAGATGTCATCGTTGACCTCGCCAAGTTCGGTTGCATAGAGCGAATTGTGTGCGCACTATTCGCTTCCCGGTCATGATAAATAGACAAATGCAACGCCTAGAATCACATTTTGTCCCCCCACATCGACTGGACCCTCACACATGGCAGGTTTGCGACAACTCTCTCGAATAGCAGTTCTATGCATGGCTCTCGCCACTGCCCCACCAGTTATTGCCAGGGGAGGGAAAGGTAGAGGGGCTACCATGAATTCAAGCGTTGACGAAAGCACGCTGGGTTCCATCACATTCGCGTTCTTGGTCATTTTCGCTATAGCCTGTCTACTTCAAACTGGCAACGTCTCTATTCTCATCTTTCGACGGAGTCGACGGAGAAGCATGAACCATACACATCTTAATACGACTCCCTTTCTACTTCTCCTTCTCCTGGGAACAATTTCCCTCTTCTCAAGCTACATCCTTGGGGCCATCGTCGTCCCAAGCTTCTACTCCTCCACTCGACTGAATCCAATAGTATCTCCTATGTGGACCTTTACGGACCGACTCGGCTCGCTGTTCATTTATGGAGGAATATTCTTCATTCTTGAAGCCCTGATCAGCAACCTTGCACCGGAACCGATACTGCCACGGCTGACATTCTGCGGCTTGGGGAGGACTAGGACCCGGCGGGTTGTGGGTGCAGTACTTTTTTCACTCATGGTGATAGCCATTCTCGCTCCGGTGGTGATTCGCATGGTAGCGTCTAGTGGAGGAAAACACCGTCGCGGAAAGATGTACAGGACGTTTGGCGCCGTATACGTTGTGACGTATATCCTGCTGGCCTTTCATCCTTTGCTGTCGTCGACGTATCTATGGATGATTTCTCGAAAGATTAAGTCTGACATGGCAGAGGATCACAAAATTCAGGTGAGAACATGGTGTCGTATCACTTATATTTCAAGCTGACAACTTTTTGTGATGTTAGATCTTGTCGACAATTGCCCTTAGGATCTGCCCACTGCTGATGATCGTTGCTCTTTTCAAGTTTTCTGTTTTTATCATCCAGCACGCACCTTCACGAAAGTTCGCAATCAACAATAATATTTTGCTCATTGTCACTATACTTCTGGAGGGTGTGTCGTTGTTGATGATAATTAATCAATCATGTAGATGCATTGGTAGGCCTCAGCCTTCTCCGGCGGCAGCGCAGGAATCTCTGTAACCTGTACTTAGAGAAAAAAAAATGTACATTGTCAAGCGTGGGAAAATTTGAACAGCTGGCTTCATTTCGACCATGACCATGACCGACCTCGCCCTTCATTCAAGCACCATACATGCCTACTCATGAATGTACCTCGCATGAACCATAGCTTGAGGCGAGAAATGCTGCTAGCTAACGCAATACCAAGAAAGCGACCTCGGTCTTCTCCGTCCTTGCGCTTAGACCAGGTTGGACCGACGCGGCTTGTCCAACATCGCTAAGTACAATGATGCCAAGTCAGGTAAGTTGTCTCCTTCATGAATGATCTCCGAATCCATTCCTCTATGAAACCTAGGTCAGCGTAACAATCCATCAATTGAAGACCTTGTCGAGAAACATGAGTGGCAATAACTTGTTAAAAGTCACTCTGCGTGGTCGGCATGAACGATCGCCACGTCTCTTTCCAATATGATGTTCAAAAAGAGCTTACTGCCCGTCATCGTTATTCTCCCTTCTCTGACGTCGGTTTTCTGCGCAACATATACCCTGTCCGATGAGATTGTTGGCACAGGATTTTACAACTCATTTGACTGGCAAAATATCTCCGACCCGACTCATGGGCGAGTGTGAGCGGCACATATTTTTCTTATAATGCTTGAAATTTATCTCATCTCCTAGAAACTATGTCGACAAAACGGTGTCACAAAGCCTGAACTTAACGTTCGCCTCGTCAAATACCTTTATTCTGCGCGGTGACTCCAAGACTGTTCTTTCCGCAAATGGAGCTGGGAGGAACTCTGTGAGAATCCAGTCGAAGAAGACATATAGAACACATGTAGCAGTGTAGGTTCGCCTTTTTGCTCTCGCCAAATAATCTGACAAGCTGATTTAACGTACGCTAGGTTTGACGTGCGTCACATGCCTGAGGGATGCGGGTAAGCCTGGAGTTGTCTGCCATCTCCGATGCCTAACACTGTTTAGGACTTGGCCAGCTGTTTGGGAGGTCGCCGGATCTGGGTGGCCCAACACCGTAAATATGCCTTGTGTATTTGTGCCGACGGAGACTGACCCATCTTCATTATTTGGCAGGGCGAGGTCGACATAGTGGAAGGCGTCAATAATCAAGGGCCTAACGCCGTCTCCTTACACACAAGTGCTGGTGAGAGACTTCAGAAAGAGGCTGCTCCAAAACCCTAATTTCAATTCACAGGATGCACCATGCCGGCTTCTCGTCAGCAGACTGGGTACGTCCTCCCTCTTACCCCGGAACCGCATGCGTACCTACGGCTTTCTCTGCGCAATTCAGGACTTCCACCCAGCTGGATTGCAACACGAACATAAATGGGGGAACAGGATGCGGCGTCTTACTTTCAAGCCAAAAAAGTTTTGGGCCGACTTTCAATCAGAACGGCGGAGGATGGTGCGGAACAGCGCTTTCATAAATTATTCCTTTAGAGCCTAATCATCTTTATTACTCATAGGTACGCTGTTGAGAGGTCTGCCACTGCCATCAAGGTTTGGTTTTGGGCCAGAACAGAGTGCTCCGTTCCAAACGACGTTCAAACCGGTAATTTAGCTGTGGATCCTTCAAACTGGGTACGTCACAGGTGACTCGTTTCTTCGGGAGAGCTCATCAACTTTTAGGGTGTTCCCTCGGCGTATTTTCCGAACACTACGTGCGACTTAGCTGCCCGGTTTAGTGACCACTACATCATCATCAATCTAACTTTCTGTAAGCACGTTTAAGATCCGTTGGGAATAAGCATTGAAGCATTTATCAGGTGGCGACTGGGCCGGCGGGGCTTATGCTCAATCAGGATGTCCATCGACCTGCGTTGGTGAGTACCTCCGCGAGACGTCAATTCATGTTCTAATGCGCGTGGATGTTAGACTATGTTAACAAAAATCCTTCTTCCTTCGTTAACGCACATTTTGATTTTGCATCCCTTCGAGTTTATCAGTGAAGAGAGGCGAAATCCCTCCGGCAGTATGATCGCGTTATTGCCGATAGGGAGATGTCCTTCCTTTCACCACCCATACATATTGTTCAACGAGAGCGAGGGAACTGTGGGTTCGGGTCTGAGTGTTGTAAACGTGTCAGGCAAATCATGAGTAAAACTGAGGCCCGGTTCTTGTTTCACTGACTCGGGAGCGGAAGGTAGCTGAAGACGGCTTTTTTGGCAGTTCCGTTGCTCAACCCTTCTCCGAAAGTCTCGCGTTGACTACCATATAAAGCGTTGACAACTCTATAAATTTGTACACGGCTTTAGGCTGCGCGGCCTAGAGAACTCGTTTCACAGCCTTACTAGTGATGTGCCGGCCTGGCCTGAAAGCCGCAAGCCAGCCCAAGCCGAGCCCTCGCCTTACTAAAAGGCCTCCCCTTAAAGCCGACTAGAAAATCTCCTGCCACCCTGGATGTATGGGTAATCGTGGCACGGAGCCCAAAAAGATCAGAAATTGGCCGACTAAATACCGAATTTAGTCGTCAGTACTTCAGTGTCGGTTCGCTCCAAGTCCGCTCCAGGTGAAGCCGCTCAACCGCCTCTGATCCTAACAAGTAACACCAAGAATATTTATAAGCGCGCACTCAACTCCAATCGATAGCATCTTGCAATTGGACCGCAGAAAAGCAGACACGTTTCCCGAGTCCCGACAGAGAATAGTTGGACTATCAGGCGTGCTGTTTAACAGGTAATTGGTACCTCCCGACTCGGAATAATTCGAATCTTTGAACTCATGGTGTTTTGTACCTCAAGTCTCGATCCTTCCGGTAAGAGCCTCTCAGATGCACCCCAGAATCTGCTTTCATGGCAGGGCATAATAGAGTTTACCATCACAGTACCACAGGCACACACCAACTTGACCAAATTCAAGATCAAATCTCCCTGAGCCAAGATCGCCATTTCACTCAGGATCAGCTGGACGATCGATTTGGCAACTTTTGGAAAGGTGTTCTATTCCTGACCAGATCCTTGCTTCCGTCTTCGTTGCCGGATAGGTCACCGATTTTGCATTTAATAGCACCGTCTCAAGCTTCTTCAACTCTATACATTTACTTCTATTTCCTCCACGTCTTTACGAAATACCAGCTCATGGCAACGTCTCTTTCGCTTGGAGGTCGTTTTTCTGTATCTTGCATGGATAATCGCTCGCTTATGGCCCCTGGAGAGTACGAAACGCTTAAATCGACGACGATACATTCAAGTAGAACCGGTCGACAAACGTACAAAACTTCAATTACTAACAGAACTGTTTGGCCAGACTATCTCGAGGATGCTCTGCTTCAAGGTTTGTGTTCTTTGCGCAGTTTGGAAACGCTATTGAGAATATAATTCTAGCCTTGTTCAGCTATCGTCCAACCTCCACCAAGACTCCGCGAAGGCAGCTGCGCCGCTTTCCAAATCGGAATAGGTATATTTCGCAATATATCTTTTCCGCGACGGGAGTGAAGAGATCAGCGAAGCAAGTTGGGAGCCGCCTTCAACAGCTGCGGGAAACATGTACAGACCCAACGAGTAAGTGAATTGGACTTGGCGTCGATTGGAATTAACTCCTTTAGCAGTTTACGACTTGATCGTTAACAAAAATATATCTCCGGCGACCCCTCCGGAAGAGGACCTAAGCGACGATCCCTCCACGCCGCCCATCGCTAACGACATCGACACCGTCCCCGAGTCAGAACTGTTGACGATTCCCCAATACCTCCATCAAGATCGTTTTTCATTTCTTTTTATTCCGGACCAACCCACATTTGAGCTACCCATATCCAATCAACCCACATACGACCAATCATGTCCGACCTTGTACTATGCTCCCGTTTCTTGCGACGAACCCCAGCTACCTCCAGAATTTCCAAATATTCCTTTCGAGGTGCCGCAATATCACGACAACTTGAAGAAGTCGTTGGACTTGCTATATCACCCCACGCCCTGCTACCCCTCTTCCATCCGCCCACCTCCAATAGCGTTTTATGCACCTCAAATAGAAGATGCTAGATCATCTTCGCTTGCTGGTGCAGTACATCCGTTATTTTCTTTCCCTTGATATTTAAGGTTCGTGAATTGCCCTATTTATTCAGTTGAGGATCTAGCTAAATATTCTCCAGGAAGTAATGTCGAATATGAAAAAGGGCGCGTGCGTATGGGAGCAGGACTCTCGACAAACCGAGGAATAATGACTAATTGTAACAATAGGGAACTGTGTTGTATATCATAACTATAGATCGCATAAATAATTTGTACTAACAATAACCTTCATTCGAAGGCTTCGGAAGCGCGACCTCTTCCCTGAGCATCTAGTATGTGCGAGACTATAAGCTTTTACCCGCGAAGTACATGTACGCGTCACGGGTATGAGGGAGTGTGGTCAGGCACGTAAAGAGTAAATAATGAGACAAAATCCTGCTTAAGTGGTACTAGTTTAGATTGAAAAAACCAATTGTGCAAGAATCTGACATGGGTATCTGCGCACACACCTGAATCTACCTCCTTTCAGATTCGAGAACAAGCCCTTAACGGAGTATTTTCAGGGGCCGCCAGGACGGGGTCGCTTTATTTAAATTCCCGTTTTCTACCCTCGTCCCAACTAGAAAATTGCCTGAACCGCTCACCGGATAATATCAACCATGGTACCGGGCAAACGAGAGCACTTTTTGAATACTTACTGACACAGCTGTCTCATGTCGTCCAACGCAAATGTCAATTCATCGTTGGGTCGGCCAATGGGTACCTGCTTCTGTTCTGTGAGCGGGGAAAAAAAGCCTATTTTTAGGGTACTCAATAATAAAAAAATGCTCCTGCCAGTGGAATGCCTAAATGTTCCTGGCGAGCGGTTGGACCCGGCACACGATGTCACTTTTGTAGTAATATTTGAGGGTTTCAATGAAGCGATGCGACGCGTCTGAAAATCGGATCTGCTCATAAATTATAAAAAGTATATTTTCGGGCCCAGTGAAAGGATTGCATGATATATCTCGATTTCTCTGCGCACTGGAAAAATCAAGTATCGGTACTCGGTGAATCTGATCAAGATTCAAGGTCTCCGATCTAGTCGGAAGCCGGACTCGACACCTATCGACACCATGAGGAGCTTTTGAACATGTGCGAATTATTTAACCCCTCACTTGAATCGTGCGTATTCTCCGCCAAGTGTTATTTAGTACCGATGTCCGCCCTTGTCCGCCTTCAATGCGAGTCTTTTACAGGGGCTGCATAGATAGAGCTAGTAGGGGGGATCGAAGTCGAAAAAAAGGCAATGACAAAACCCTTGAAAAAGAGAAAATGGCAAAAGTCCCTGCAGTCACTTTGTTCCGTATAAAGCGGAGGAGGCCGCCGTATAACATTCATCGCGCACCCTCAGGAGTTTGACTTTTCGAACTCAATTACTTACCTTGCTCGAATGCCCTGGCTGTTTGAAACTTGGCTAGCCATAGTGAGGATGGAATGGCTTGAAGCATTCATAAACGATGAGTATTCGAGGATCTGGAACTCACCCTGCTTTTCTTCCGGTGAATAGCTTGAGGCCTCCATTATGACGTCAAATCTGCTGCCAAAAAAAAAATTGTCAGTTTTATAGGGTCGCAAAAAGGTTTTGACAAGTGGAGAGGTACCCACCCCTTCGTGGAGGATATAAAATGATCAGACGTATCAGCTAAAAGTTTTTTGAACGCTTTATATATGTAGAATCTCGAGGTCGAGTTGGACTTCCAATTTCTTCGCTCGAATTCCTCGAGTGTTTGTGTATTATCTGGCTATAGTGAGGGTGGAATGGAAGGTATTTATATCCGACCATCCGGATCCCCCCTGCTTTCTTGTTTTTTTTCGTGAAGAGGTCGAAGCGATGGAATGGAAGGATTCATATTCGGCTGGATTTCCTGCTTTCTTTCCTGCAGTTGTTCTCGGGTCGAGGCCTCGACTGTGAATTTCTTGGCTGCCATTTGACATATCCAGAAAATGACTGGCAGGGTGGCCCCCCCCCCGCTGCAAGGTGACCGACCAACCACTGTCCTGGCCCCCCCATATGCGTCAGCGGAAGAACTTTGAAAGGTTTGAATTGAACGCTTATATGTATGCGGAAACTCGCGGTCGAGTTCCGGACCCTCCCTGGCTTTCTTCCCAATGCGGACCGAAATCAATTACTTACCTCCGACACGTCGCTCAAATGCCCTGGGTGTTCGTGTAAGGATGAAAGAATGCTGATAGTGAGTGATGGGCGTGATTGTGCGGATTTTGGACTGTCAGAAAGAGCGAAAAAAAAAACTCGAAGGGCGACGGTTCCTTGGTACTTGTGTGTAGATCCCTAATTCCCCCGCCGAATCAATTATAAAATTATCAGATGATCATGAATGAACGAGGCGCCGCATCATTCGCATACCGATCATTCAATCGAGGTCTTCGCCTGTGAAGGAAGAAGTTGGCACTGCTTTGAATCGATGCGTCGTCGTCATTTTTATTTTGATAAGATAAGCGAAGTGAACGCCAGGAGAGTTGCGCGGGAAGTGGAATGTGAATGTGCTTACTCACCGATCAACAAGGGAGATATGTAATAAATAAAAATGGGATTTTCAAGTGAGCGCTTTTTGTTATTAGAATCTTTGCAAGAGATAACTTATCTCCCCTCTGGTAGAATCAAATTATCAGATGAATGGGAGAAATGAGGCGGACTCACCAGTCTGGTCGTGCCTCTGAGTCCGGGACCTTTGCATCCCGATCATTCAAAAGAGGTTGGTAGCTTTGGAGAGATGCGAAAAAAAAAAAAAAAAAAAAAAAAAAAAAGCGTCGTCCGAAAAGAATAAGTTGATTCTTGAATATGAAGTAGGCAAAGTGAACACCGGAGGGTGCTGCCTTATTTGAACTTCCATTGGCTACTATTGGATATGGCACGAAGACAGTGAGTCGTATATATGACGGGCACACCGATTATGACGATGAATGGTAGACCGCCGTATATGGTGGGCGGGCCGTACATGACGGCATTGGGGAAGACCCTATAAGCATAGGTACCGCTGACGGTGAACACGAGGAGGTGCGCGCTTCATTTACCACTCTGGGATATGAGGCGTTAATATCGATGATGGCAATGATAATCGCGGTTTGAAGGATGTTTGGGCCAGCCATACGAACACGAGGAGGTTGCTCAGATTCGTACGTTCTGAGAAATGATTAATGGGGCGTTAACATCGATGTTGGTGATAACGATAATGATAATCGTGCTTCTTTGGTGGAGAGGAGGAGAGGAGGTAGGCTGTAGGTGATAATGGAGGCGATAGATGGAGCGAGAACCCACGGGATTGCGTAGATGATGGATCATGGAGTAGTAGGCTGTAGATGCCGCTGCTTTTGCGGGTGTGATCAGATCGCGTTGGCAAGTGTACCACTTCGGCGAGTGTTCCAAGCCGAGTATTTGTATCCAGCAGCGGGTGCACTCTCCACGGCTATTCGGGGATGCTCAGGGAATGCCGCCGATGCACTGATCCGTGAAGATCAAAAGAAAGTTTACAATGGGTGCGGCGTGGTTTACGCGTGGCCGGCCAGCTTAGGAGTTGTGTGTGGGCCTACATAAAATTGACACCAAGAGGAGTGAAAAGACAACAGACCTTGATAATAAAGGTGGATAGTTGTAACCATGTGTTTTCAGATCTTTTTCTTTCTTCTTCGGTCTTTGTCAGGGAGTAATAGCCCTTAAGGCGGAGCGCTTGGAAAGCAAAAAGGTCATCGAGCGAGTCAGGTGTAGTCAGCCACAAACAACCAAGCACGTTCAAACAATAGCTGGTTGCCTCGCCTCTCAACGTCGTCGACCTCTTTTCTCAACTTTATTGTCTACTTTCTTGCGACCATTCGTTTCAAGAACGTTTTAATTCCTGTGTACGCCAAAGAAACGACTCTGGCAACCCCAAACCCACTCTCCAAATGCGCGAGTCAAACTTCGCATTCCCGGCACAAAATAAAGCATGTGTCTGTATCTCCTCACAGCTCTACGACCGTAGAGGTGCGTTCATCCTCCTTTTATATGTCCCGTATCTTATCTTCGTCGTAGCACTGGACACGCTGACGCCACTGCCACTGTTCAACTCACTCACCCACCTAACCTACCTAACCTCCACCTCCCCTCGCATCCGCGAAATAATGACAATGGACGGCGGCCTAGAACGCCTCGTCCGCATCCTCCACGAATTCTGCATCTCCCCACCCCCCCCGGAAATCCCATCCCTCCTCTACGGCCTCATCGCCCCCAGCTCCCGCCCACCTAAACTCCCGCCCGCGCTCAACCCAAGCTCATTCGACAAACACGCAGCGTACCGCTTCTCACTCGCCTTTCAGTGCGTAGTGAACATCGGCGTGAGGGGCAGCGAGCCCATCCGGAGCAGGGTGGTGCAAGCGGGGACGTTGGATGTCGTTGGGTGTATCCTGGAGGCGTGGCTTGCGAATAAGGGTTTCGCGGTTGGTCCTAGCTCGAGTGCTACGGGTTTGCCGAGGGAGACGAGGGAGCAGAGGCAGGCGAGGAGGACGGCGATGATGGAGCAGAGGCAGAGGGATGAGGCGGCTCATTTGCAGAGGGCTCTGCAGAGGCAGCTGCAGGTTGAGCAGGTCCAGATGCAGAGAGCTGTTAGGCAGAATGTTAGGTTTGGGAGTGAGTATCATCAGAACTATGAGGTGAAGTGGCGTTTTTTTTTCTTCTGCGAGTTTTACTCAATTTTTTGGATAGGACGAATCTATGGATGTATCGATAAGCCAAATCGTCCAACTGAACGATTCAGCGCCCAACAGCGACACAGATGCATCCACTGACACTTCTATCGCAGCTACACCCTTGGGATCAGGAACACCCACTGGATCCGTGGTTGTTCCAACCCGCGATCGGAGTGGCACCATCATCGCACGACCCGTCTGGGACCGTCCGCCCAATACCACCAACGTCTTGACCAACACAGCCACAACCAACACCGCCAGGAGGTCACCACCATCCACAGACATATCCCGCCCAGACACCGAAACGGAGGACGATGGCGATGGAGACGCCGATATCGACATGGATCGCGGTAGGATCGACGATTCAGACGTAGCATCTGCATCAGCCTCTCCATCCCCCGAACGGCCTCCCCGTCGACTGCCCCTCCCTCTGGGGAGGAGGGCGGTGGGCATCGTCACGGACGATCAAACCACCGGAGCTCTTCCACCCGATATGGGTATGGGTGGTTTGGACACCGATGCGCATATTATCATCAACGACGCTGGGGCCGGGGAAGTTGTTGGAGGTGTGGGTGTGGAGGTTGGTGTGGAGGATGGGATTGTGAGCCTTGAGGCTAATGATGATTTTGCGATGGGTGCGCCGCCTGGTGCGCCTGGTGCTATTAATGCTGAGGGTGGGACGCCTAGGGGGATGAATTTTGAGGGGAGGAGGAGGAACACGAACCCCTCTACAAATGTGGGAGAGGCGCCGGATGTTACGCCTCGTGCTGGGGTTGTGGGGTTGCCGATGATGGTTGGTGGGAATACGACTATAAGGGGGCCGGCTGCGGCTGTGCCATCGCCAGCAGGACCAGCGCAGCACCACCACCAGCATCAGAGGAACGCGACTATTCGTGCGGGGGGAGGAAGGGTGGTTAACCCTGATGCGTTGGGACCTCGTACGGACGCTGGTGCCATTGCAGCTGCCATCGCACGCACAGGCGGCGGTGGTGGAAATGCCACCACCACTACCGCTAACAACAACACCAACAACAATGGAGGCAGCCACCACACACATACTCGAGACACGGAATCAAGTGGTCCCTACAGAGACGAAGACGTCTTATTATCCCTCCAACTCCTCGCGTATCTGAGCAAATACCCACATGTGAGGCAGGCATTTTATAAGCCGCGCGTTACGTTTCATCCTGCTAGTCTTGGGTTGGCTGGTGCGAGGTATGGTGTTCAGGGGAAGAAGGAGGGTGGAAGTGGGAAGGAAAAGGAGGGGGGTAAGGAAAAGGAAAAGGAAAAGGAAAAGGAGGGGGGGGGCGGGAAAGATAGGGGAGGGGGGAAGGAAAGTTTTTTCAGAGCTTTTGCGAATGTTGCTGGTGGGAGTGGGATTGGGAGGGGTAAGGAACGTCCGTCGTCTTCCTCCTCCCCCTCCCCTTCTTCTCCTTCCACTTCGTCACTGCACAACAACCCAAGCACCTCCCCGCCTACTACTACTACCCCCCTCCGCCAGACCAATGTTTTTTCACTCGTGGAGCGGTTCACCTTTAAACCCAGTTCGACGGAGACGGACCTGCCGAACCCGCCTCCTAGGTTACCGCCTGAGATACAGTATTGGGCTGGCGTTATTATGCGGAATGCGTGTAGGAAGGATGATAGTCGTGGTGGGATTAGGCAGTGTGCTAATAGTGAGTGCGGGTTTTCTTTTTAAATATTGTATACACGACGCTAACCAACGAACCCCGTTTAAATAGTGCTCTGTGGACGCTGGGAAACTTACCCACGCGAATTTGCGAAATGCAGAAGGTGCAGGAAGGCAAAGTATTGTGGCAAGGAATGTCAGAGTACGGCGTGGAGCGAGGGACATCGGTTTTGGTGTAGTGCGAAGGATGTGGATGAGGATGTTACTGTTGAAAGGGAACGGGAGAGGGTTGAACATCCGCCACAGCAACAACCACAACAACCACATGGAGCGGGGGGGATACAGGTCGCGCAGTTTGGAGTTGGGGATGTTGTTAATGTTCCTGTTGGACGGGAGGTGAGGAGGACGAGGGAGAGGGATCGTGTGCAGGGGTTGGTGGTGGCGGCTCCTCCGCCTTTACCTCCGCATACGAGAGCGGAGGGGAGCATGGCGCGTGATCGGACGTTACAACAACAACAACATCAATTGCAGGCGTCTCCGCATACGCGTATTCGATCTCGACAAGGACATGGACAGCAAGTGCAGGCGGCGCCTGACCCGACGAATGCTGCGTATTTGACGTTCCAGGTGCAAGGCCAGGAGTCGTCTGGGAATGGAAGGAGGAGGGCGGAGACGATTACGGGGTTGGGTGGACATGCACATGCTCATAGGCTGGTGGACGTTCAGATCCCACCGACTGCGCCAGCCCCATCACACCCACACCCACACCCACATAGGATGATACCACGGCATCCGTTGCATCATCAGCCGCAAGGTCCGTTAGTCCCGCAGGAGTGGTTCTCGCCGCCGAATTTTAGGGGGAGGGGTAATGAGCCTGGTCCGTCGAGGAGGACGAACCCGAATCAGAATCAGAGCCAGACGAGGAGGATGGATGTTAGTCCTACGACGACCACGACGAGTTTGAGTTATCGGGGTTCGAGTGCGTCTGCTTCTGGGGGTGGGGATGATAATGATATGGTTTTGGGATGATGAAGATTTTTCTGGGTTTTCACACGGTCCTACTCCTGCGATGTTGGACGTCCTTGCAGGTTATCGCCACCACCACCATCCAACGAACAACAACAAAACCGTTATATGATCCATCAAGCTCGCTCGCGTTTCCTTCATTACCATCCATGAATCTCGGCCTCTCACCGTCCTCTGGCACTATCCATCCATCATTGCATTAGATGTGTTTGACTGCTGCTCTCGTTATATCACGAACATTCATCCATCCCATACGACATCTCCCCTACTCATCGCACGCCAACCCACCATTATTCATATCCCCCTGGTTTCTCCCCAAGATTTAGTGTCTTTGATCATGAACGATCTTTTACATAGTTCCATCGCTTAGGTACCGGTGTCTCCCTTTTTTCCCTTTCACTTTCCCTTCCTTTACGTCGACTCTGAAGTACACACATACATAGTTTCTCGTCCTCCTCTTCCTCTTCCTTCTCCTTCTACTCTCGATTTTAGCTCTTTTTTTTTCATACTCACAGGCGTCTATAGCATCACAATACTACCCATAATTTTTCCTACGTATCTGTTGTTCCATGTGGGTCGAACTTGAGGTTACTTGACGTCTGGAGTGACGTGCGAAGGTGTCTGGAGTCGTAAGTAACGTAAAGTGCACTTTCAAGAGTCACTTTCACAACCTTTCGTGTTCGTGAGTAACTGTTTCCTGGAATTAATTCCAGGCTCTAGCTTGGCCTGGAGGTCGAGTTTTTTTGTTTTTTTGTTTTTGCATCCAGGCTCCAAACTACCCCAGACAACAGAAAATCCCTCAAGGAATTATATAATTCGTGCCTAGATGCCCTTGATCGACTTTTGCCGGAGCGGCCTTGGCACTCACTCACGTTATCCCTTTCACATCCGAAGTCGCTCGATGTTCGTCGGCCATTTCTCATATCCTACCAAAAATTCTATTGCATGATGACTCTGAAGTTGACTGAATTTCACAAATCACGGAAGGGGCACATGTGATGGATCATCCGCGGCGGAATGTTCCCCGTATTGCAACCCTAGCAACCCTGGCAGTCGATCGTGACAGAGCTCTGAATCCTGACTGACGTATGATCTCGTGTTCTTCCTTGGTTCCTTCCTTCAACAAAAAGTCGAGGGCTTGTTGTGCGTCCTGAACATTCCCTCTGCCGCCTCTTTCCCAGTTCCCCCCCACTATTCTAACCAACTTACGCTACACTCCTTTATCCCACCTACGTTCATTATGATGCTCGCAAAACTGTTCATCGTCGTTGCTGGTGCCGTTTGTACCGTTGTCGCGTCGGCCGTCGTCCAACGGGACGAATTCAAATCTCTTAACCCTCCACTCAGCGTTCTTGATTCGAGGGATACCCCGGCTGCATACACACCACTTAATCCACCACTCAACGTTCTTGATTCCAGAGACGCCCCGTCCTCCCCCACTGTGGCCCGCTTGACGAATGCTGAACGGCTCATCGCTGGCCTCCCTCTTAACGCGCCTCGCCGTTCTCGTACCAGTCAGTTCTTATCACGTCATTTTTTTTTTTTTCGCGCGCAAAGTAACCTCATAATGGAATAGCCCATCCTCGAGGAGTACCGTCGGGTGTCCCAACTATGTACGTCGCACTTCGTTTCAGGGATTGTTGACATTTAAATTAATCACTTTTCCTCGTAGTTCTCAAGGCTACATCAAAGTGACCGAGACTGGAACGGGCAAGGACTACGGTTTCCTTAACAAGGACCTCAACAGTTTTGGAGAATTCCAGACGACCTCCGATCCGGATCAACGTGCCATTTTTTCTATTAATCTGGTTGACGCTGCTCAAGGACAAATCAATATTGCCGTGGTAAGCGACCCCAATCCCCGCCATGCGTTATACTCTTACCCTCTCTCTCTCGCACGCAATGTAGAACGGCGCCTCAGCCCGTCCCTACATTGGTGGCATCGTTGGGTTTTCTTCGGCCTTATCAGACCTCAAAACTGGATTTGCAACGTAAGTTGGTTATGATCAAAGTGAATTTGTCTTGGCAAACATGCTTTCCAGCTACTCGTACATTGGACGAACCGAGGCTAGCCCGTTTCATTCAGCGCCTGTCACGCTTGGCAATACCTTCAGTGACGCGACCGGACAGGCAAAGGCAGTTGAGAGCGCAATGGTGAGTCAAGAGAGCATTCGCTTCCATTACATTGGCGGACTAAGATTGGCATTCTGCCCAGTGGGTCTACGACGCTGTATCGGGAACTATTACCCCGCAGTGGGTTAACAACGATCACTCCCTTCCCGCGACGTATATTGGTTTGAGTCAGGGTACGTTTTCGTGAACGCACATATCTTTGTATTCTGATCGATCGACTTTATTAAAGGCCTGCTGGTCCTCTCCGGTGACAAGCATAGCTTCTCAACCGTGTTTGGACCCACCACATGGCTTGTGCGTCCCTTTTTTTCTCTTAGAAAACTTGAGCTCATTAAATGTACTCAGACGTTTACTTTTATTCCCATTTAATCAATCCTCTATGCCCTTGACTCTTCGGACGTTCATTTAGTAGACCTGAGGTTTTATACCCTTAGTAGCTGGAAATGTAGAATTTGCTTCACATCCCTACCTCAGTCTGAGGAGAATATACTGAGTTCATTCTTCATGAATATTCCTTGTGTCTTGCTTACGTTCATTCTCATCGATTAAATTACATTTAGTGATACCTCGGAGTCACCCTTGGCATGACAGATTGAGTTCATGTGAAGTCTCGAAGGCATGGCCACTTTCAAAGGCCCCGACTAATAATCAGTATATTAGGTGCTTGAAGTATATCCCTACTTGGAAATCTAACATTATGATTTGAATTTGCCAGTTCACTGGACCCATGGCCATTTATTTCCACGTAAAAGCAGGACAGGCAGTGGAGGGATATATAACTTGAAGTCGCTCAAAAGTAGACAGGTAGCGGGGATCCTTCAGATCTCCAAGAAGAGTCTCTGCATTTCTGTAAAAAATCTTGATGGACGGAACCGACTCGAGGAACGGTATAGCCAAGTAATCACAAATGCTTTCCTGGTCAAGACTGCCGTCATAAAAGGTGAAGTTGTTCAAGGGGCAGGAAGACCTGTTCAGAAAGTCCTCAAGCAAGCGATGGTCACGCGTGCTTGATGAGATGCCTGTGTGCAGATGCAGGTCTTGCAAATGGGGTAGCGTAAGCCGACTTAAAATAAGGGCAAGATCCCCATTCCCCAGTAGAGACAGCGACTGGAGGCTAAGAAGAGTGGCTTGAGTTCCTTTGCCAAAGGCCTTGTACCAGTGTGCGCATGTCACATCCTTCCAGTGAATCTCCAGCGCGCTTGTACAATGCGAAAGGCATTCCACCACATCCCCTCCGTCGATAAACAACTCCATATAGATATGTGTGAGCTGACGGAACGGTATGTTACGCAAGGACTTTGCTGGTAAATTTCCGAGCCATGACAGCTTGCGAAGATTGGAGAAGAGTGGGAGGAGGGATGAAACTTTTGCTGCATCTCGCGCCAAAACTTTTCCATCAAAAACCAAATCTAGCTCCTCTAAGTTCCGCGCCTGTGAGTCAACTGCACCCACGAATTGTAGAATAAGCTCGTGATTCAAAATAAAAGATATTGTGCGCCATCGATGCATTTCCTTTGAGAATAATCCAAATATTTTGGATGCATGAGAACGATATTGACATGGGTCATTACGACTGGCGCTTGAAAGTGGCAGCGCAAAGTGCAGGGAGAGGGGCTGACCAGTAGAACGGGATAGCCAGAGTTCGATGAGCGCAGGATGTGGGATGAAAGGTCCATAACCACTGGCAGCCAATGAGTTCCACAGGAAGGGTAGTGACAAAGCCACCTGTCTCCAATGGCGACAAATTTGACAAAGCAACAAAGGCACTTCCCGACGCCTTGGCCTCGCGGGAGTATCAAACTTGCGAACTACGCCTTCTCGACAAAGCAGAAAAATGTCGGCAAGAATTTCCGGGGGAAGGTGATTGATAGAAGTAAGTTAATGTGTTTCGCAATTATCCATAAAATTCGCTCCTGATAGATCAAGAAAGGCAGACTCGCGCAAGTCGGCACTAGTCGCAACAAAGAGACCTTGTCTACATGATAAGGTGCAAGTCAGCCGTGTCTCAAAGTGTTGCGTCGCCAGGTCAGGTTCGAGCTTACCTCGCCGTCCTCGCTTGCTGATTGTTATTTGACATATCTTCTGAAGAGCAGTGCAACAATGATATCTCCCAGCTGTGACCGTCTCCTTGAAATCCTTTGAGTACAAAAGGGTCAGTCAAGATTTCAATCAATACATACTCACGTAGCCTCAATCCTAACGCAGTTCAGTGTTATGTAGAAGGAAATATCAGGAACGTGGTGGTAGTTATTTGAGTTCCACATTGGTGTTGTTGCAACTTGTGGTCGGTCTCACACCCATAACAGCTTACTGTGCCTTATCGGGAAGCTGGCCACCTTAACTCATTGTCCTAGTTAAGGACTGAGTTTCGAACTATTTGCCATTTTTTTTACATTTTCCGTTAGGTGTACTTCTCATCTTAATGACTACATATATTTTGGAATTTTAAATTGAAATTTGACTTGGTGGTGTTTTTTTTGCGTAAAAAGACCATAAATACGGCCCTGACTGGGAAGCTGGCCACATCCGGTTTGTATTCAAATCGTGTTCGGCTCCTTACGTTTCGTGACAAATACCTATAAATAGAATAACTCCAGAGTAGCAATCCAGCAGCAATATGCCTGTATCGTGATGGATAATGGTCCTCTCAGAACAAAAATTTGCGTAGCTATTTAGAACTATATGTGTATAATTATTGAGAAGTTTCGTAATTTTTGGGTGTGTTTTGACCGACCTTTTCTTTCGAACATTCCTGTGCAAGTAATGTTGGACTTTGGGAAGTCCTGGTGATAGTGCCAGGAGATTGGGGAATAAAAATCAGAAAAAAATAGAGTATAAAAGATGCATTGAATTTAATGACTATTCCCTCAAAAGGTTAGAGTTGGTAATGATTTCTGCAAAAGATCTCCATGATTACTTTCCAGAGGCAACATTTATTATTTAAGAATGTACCCCTTGATGACACTGAAGTTCCAGTCCAATCTCAATTCAAAAATATTGTTAAAAAAGGCTACTAGCTGCTTTACTCTACTTGAGTTTTGACTGTACAAAAATTTGGGTCAAGGACCTATAATTCTGCGCATGCAAAGCTGGCCATGTTGAGGCAGCATCGTGTGAACACGGTAAAAGTGCTATGGCACCTGAATATGAGGAATCATTCGTTCATGGGGTTGATTTAAGGACAATTTTCATTTTTTAGATATTCTCACTCAATTGACCTATTCTCAAGCTTTGCAATGATATAATTTTTTTGATATTTCGTGTAGCACAAGTAGCTGCAGAAAATCAGTGGCCAGCTTCCTGATTACGTACAGTACATAATGACAGCTTTGTGTTTTAATAACCAGTTTACAACCCCACGCGTCCATGCACCCAGCGGAACTCCTAAGAATTGGTCAACTCTGAGTTGGCCACATTCTTGTGACTCAAAGTTTGAGTCAAAGGACCAATTTTCTCTTGTTTTTTTTTTTTTTTTGCAGCGATGGCATGGCCTGGCCGCCTGTCGAAACAATGTCGAAATCCACTCTTTTCAACCCTGCATCGACAGAACTCGTATTCAACTGACGACCACTCGAACCGCATGGGCCCAACAGTATTTTAAAGCAGCCGCAGCCGCCAGCCTGAGAAATCGGTCAGCCTCATCCTTTCTCTTTAGAAGAATTCATTCAATTTTGTGTTTTGAACTAGGCCCTGCTTAGTCTGTACCATCGTCGCGACATCCAGGGTTCCAAGCATCGTCGAACGCGACGGATTCCAACCGGTCAATCCTCCCGACAGCGGTCTCATATCGAAATTAGACACCCCGCCCCCCTTTGTGATCCACAAGACAAACGCCGAGCGCCTCGCAGCTGGTCTCCCTCCTCTCCCACCCGCGCGTTCCCGTACCAGTAAGCTTCCTTTATCTTACATTCGGCGCCAACAGAACTCATTTCTCGAGCAGCTAATCCTCGATCACTGGCAGTTCCATCAAACACCCCAGTAACACGGTGTACGTCGCGTGTCGAAACGTTATAAACACAATCGACTAATTACCCTCTCAGAGTCCAAGGATACATCCAGTTGACAGAGACAAGGACTGGCCCCAACTACGGTTACGTTAGCAAGACTTTGAACAGCGATGGAGAATTCAGAGCGACGCAAGAGCGACGACCGATCAGTACCACGGCTTGATTGTTTCTGTCAATTTGGGTGACATCGAGGATGGACAGTCCAATATTGTCGTCGTTATAAGCATCTCTCACACCAACGATTGCTAAATACCATTAACTTACCTGTGCCTTCTCGTTAGAATGGCGCCTCACCACACATCTACTTTGGCGGTATTGTTGGATGGTCTTCGACCTCATCAGACCTCCAAAGTAGGAGCTCTAAGTAAGTTGATGGCGATTGACTTGATTTTGCTTGACACTGGTGTAATCGTAGCTACGCGTTTCTGGGACAAACCGAGGCCAACCTAATTCACCCGCCGTCAGCATGGCCAATTCCTTCAACGACGCAACTAAACTGTCAAAGGCAATCGAGAGTGCAATTGTAAGTCATGTCCAACGAGACCGGCGTGCTAGAGCTAATCTAATGATCAGCGTCCTAGTGGACGTATGATGTCTTTTCTGGAACGTTCTCTGCGCAATGGGTTAACAATGACCACTCCTTTCCGACTACTTATATCGGATTGCTTAGCGGTAAGCCTTTGCCGAATGCATTTATACTTCAATGTCTTTTCTGATTGATCGCTTCATTAAAGACACATTGATCCTCACTGGCGATGAAGGTGACTTTGCGGCCACCTTCGGGTTTACCGTTTATGTTGTGCGTCTTCCTCTTTTTTTCCTCAGATTGAACTCATGCGACGCACTCATGATCAGACGCTTAACTTTGTTCCCATTAAATGATACTTCTTTATGCGCCACACTTCTCATGCTCTTCCATTGGAAGATTTTCATCCTATACTGCCATTACCCAGACGTAGACGCAATATTCAACGCCTTTCAAAATCCATTCATATGTTTAGCAACTCGATGCATTTATGAGCGCGGATACGCAGATTCCGCTCTCAAATACGATGTGTTTTTGTTTCACAGAAATGTAGGACAAGCACTGGATGAATAAAAAGATTACAGTTGCTCAAAAATGCCAATTAGCGCCTTCATGAGCTGCAATTTTGTAAGAATGCGTGGTTGAAAGAGATCTTAGTTCCCCGTTGTTGCCAGTCCATGGCACACGGCAATATTGTCGAATTCGTACTACTGACAATGACAACTCTGACAACGTTACGATGAAGTATATAGTTGGATTAAATTCTCAGCAAGGTGTGATGAGGCGGTCGCAAAAAGTGGTCAGAAGTCATGCAATGCCTTCCAACGTTGTAGAAATGGGTCCATCAAATTATTTGCTTCGTCTGAAAATTGGCGCCATTCTATTACACTCTGATATCAGGCAACGCGAGTTCGCGTTGAGTATCCACAGCGTGAATAATATCACAGGACGCAACTCACCTATTTCAATTTGGCACCTTTTTGCTTCTCATTTTTATGTCCTGACTACTATTTGTTATTGTTCGTTCTTCATCAGCGTTTGGCGTTTCTGGTTTGTCTATAGGTTCGCGAAACCCAGCAGCCCCTACCCCTCTAAAAAATAGGATGGACAGAAGAGTCCCTTGGGTTTGGAGATATCTCAGCACCAAGACAACGGCGGGAGTGAATTCGAAGCGACGTACCAAGAACCCCAAACGCAAAACAGGTCCACTGAGCAGCTTTGTAGCTTACAATCCCGTCCCTTCCGTGTCTATGAAGGTCGACCCGATTGAAGACGACTGTAGTGGTGGCCACACCCAGAGCTGTGCCCAACTACAGTACATGAGTAAGAGCTAAGCGTAGATCATTTGTCTGTACCTGAGTCATGGTCAAGAACAAAGCACCGGCAACGCTCTGCTCATGAGGCAGCGAAACTTTCGCTATAAATAACGTTCCGGTGGAAAAAACAAAGTCAGCGCCCATCACCGATATTACCGACGCTGGGAACGAGAAGGCCCAGTATGATGCACGGGGGTTAATTAAGGCGAAGAGAAGACAGGCGCCGGAGGTAGCCCCGGTACCAATAGCTGCGAATTTGCGGGATGAGATGTGAAATGCGGCTGACGACGGACGCTCACCAGCGAGGTAGATGACGGGAACGCGCGCAGCCATGATCCCTACGAAAGTGTTGCAGAGTATGCCAGACACTACCATGGGGAGAAATCGGACGACAGATTGCATAACGGACAAAGAAAGGTAGTTTTGATAGTATAGCTATACGAAATCAAATCAGCCTTATGTGAAGTCAACAGGGACAACATGGACGGAAGGAGGAGTAAATACCTGAGCCCAGAAAATCCAAGACAGAAAAGCAGCCCAGTTGACAAACGCAATGATCATCATAGCAGCGAACCTCCCCTCTCCGCGCTTCCACAACGAGGGTTTCATCAAAGGTGGAGGCGTAAATGCTGAATGCACCGCGTTGGGGTCATCTTGCAACTTTTCAAGGTATCGTTCCCATAAGAGGAACAATACCAAGAGAAGAACGCCTAATATGATGAGTGCGATGATATCTGTATAAACACCGCATAAGTTGATCGAACCACGGAGAAATGGCAATTGAGGCATGCGTACATGGCGTGGCCCATTTTTTCGGTGCTAGTTCACCCTCGCTGAGGACGAATACATTGAGCACCAACCCCACAGTGACTAAGAAAGCGCCCAGCCAGTCAATGCGCTTGTCGGCTTCACATGAGGGTACGTCTGGGTCGATGGAGATTAAACCGCCGACGAAGCAGAGGACAGTGAGGCCTGTCATCATGTAGAAAGGGGTACGCCACGTTTGCCTGTTCAATTGATTATTCACATTGAGCGGAGAATTGGAAAGACGCAGGAGAATGGATGTACGCAGTGTACTGTGTGAGAACGCCCCCTACGGTTGTTCCAATGACGCCTCCGAGGGGAGCGCCCGCTGCGAAGGTAGCGAACGCGAATGACCGTGCTCTAGATGGCGGGAAAGCGTCAGCGAGGATTCCAAGCTACGAGTACTTCAGTTATGTGAGAGATGTCTCTTCAATTAGTTGCACGAACTGAGGCGGGTACAATGGCTGCAGAGCCTATCCCCTGGATTCCACGAATGATGTCGAAACTGATGACATCTATCGGCGAGAAGATAAGTTGTCAGAAACTAGGACAGACCGTCTAAGAGCGTACGCCACTAACCATGTTGAAACGCACATGCCAGAGTAAAAATAGCGAGGAAAAGCGATCCACACAGAAAAACTTTTTTCCTCCCATAGAGGTCCGCAACTCGACCGAATACAAGAAGCAGGCAACCCTAATGTGGGACGGTCAGTAGGGCGTCAAGAGCATGGTAGGAGATCTTACAGAACTAAGAGGGTACGCGGACACTAGCCATTGTAGCTCATTTTCTTGCAGGTGGAGTTCCCTCCCAATCGTCGGTAAGGTTATGGATATGGTCGTGGTTCCCGAAATCTGATATCAAAAGCGTAAGCTAGATGACCCTCACAATGGTCCGGGAATGACCCACATTAACTATCATGGCCAAAGTCATGGTGCCGACCAAAAGAACAGAACTGAACACGCTCCTCGCTGGTGGTGTGGGCAGCCGTGAAGACGGATCTGATTTGACGTCCTCTTTTTCAGACAGAGTTCTTTCCAGCTCTCCCGCATTGCTAGTGTCCATCGATTCCTAATCGTGAAGTTTGGATGTCCTGGGTATTAGTTCGAAAAAAGCATCCAGCTGGAGTCTTGCTGGCCCACAAGTGGTGTGTAGGTACTGGTGATGAGATTTCGCAAGGAGGGTGTCGACCTTTTTATTTAACTCTCCACGCTTGCGCTGTGCGGTACCTCGCATAATGATGGGCGGAAATTCGACGGAGAAGCCTTCTAGAAATATGCGAAATTAATACGGTATGTAGGACGCATGCCAACCCTGACCTGAATCACACGTCATCGAGTTCCTTCGGTGTGCCGATCACCCGCTGACGCAGACTCGTACCTTTTTACAAGTCCTAAGTATTTTTATTTTTCCAACTTGCTACTCGTCGGCACGAACAATACTTACTGTTGTCAACTTCATTGGCGATGTAAAATGTAACGGTTTGTCTTTGGAGAAGTGAAACAAGCATCCAGGCGTAAAACTCACGTCCAAAAAGTGCGTTTGGGACGACGCTTGCTAACGCCGGTGAGAGGTAGGGTTTCGACTTAAACACCGCATTTTCTCCATCACGTAGAAGAGGGGGGACGACCTCAACCTGACCATTCGACGGAAGGACTCTTGCGCTGCTTGGGGCCTCTCCCAATATTTTCTTGCAAGACGCGCATTGCGGGATGTTCTGGCTAGCTCAAAAGCTTGATCTTCAATCTCGATCCAAAGTGCCAAAAGATTGATGGAAACGAATGTATTGGATGAGTGGGGATGCTTTTCAATGTGTGTATGAAAT